ACTAAAGGCAGTAAGTGAACCATATGGAAAAATAAATAAAGAATTGTGCTTACCTGCTTGCAGAAAGAATCTATCTCATCATTAAGAAGACCTTGGATCAATGATAAAGATTCTCCTTGCGTTGGACAATTCAATAACTCGGGTGGTTGCAGAGGGAAGGCTACATCTGGCTGTAAAATAGCATAGATAAACGCAACTTAGACAGAATTTAACTGTGACCAAAAAAAAATAAAAAAATGACAGAATTCAGCTATACATAGACGTCAAAGATGTTGCTTACATGCTCTTGGTCTCGACCTAATTGCGACATTGCAATTAAGTGATCTTGCAGGAGGGCCCCAGGTAGAGGCTGAATGATCGGCCTGACTGCAAGGCTTTTGTTTCTCCAGGGTAAAACAACCTCTGCTCCACAAGGTTCTTCCCAGTTTACACCGTCATGAAACCAGCCTCTCATACCCCAATGTCTTGGGCTTGAACTTCCAGACCTCACAGTTGGAAAACCTCGTCGTGCTCTGGAGTTGCTCACAGGAGAAGGTGGTGGTGGTCGAGGAGCACGTGGAACACATAGTACCACAGGTGATGGTGGCCGCTTTATACGAGGATGCTCGCGTCTTGTAGGTGGAACATTTGGGCTTTTTGTATCATAGCTACGCTTGTAATCAGATTTTGACATATTTGGGATGATTATAGGGCGTAAAATCGGATAAGGAAGTGAGTCTCCTGAATTTCCTTCAACATCCCCTGATAAAGTAGCCAAAGTTCCGGAGACTTCATCTTCACCTGCAGCTTCACTTGTTGTTGCTGGAGCTTGCAGTATTTTGGTAGATATTTCATTACCTGGCACCACATAACCAAGAGGCTGATTTGCCGGGACTAAGGGGTGAAAAGGGGAACAGAACGAAGCTGTAGTTGGGGAATCAAGTCCATTTGCACTGTAAGAAGACGAAAATGCAACCATGTCATCGACAGACCTCTTCATTTCAGCTTCATGCCAAGCCCAAGAACTATCATCAGAACTAAGGGACGGAGGGCGAGAAAAGCCAGTCCCGAGATGATCGGAAGGATTCCAATACATCACTCCACCACCGAAATATTGATTATAGTCCACTCCAGAAACAGTGTGCATCTCAAAATCTTCCTCTAACATCCAATTATTCTCGCACTCATTCCCTAGCTCGGGCTTATTTTTCTGTTCAGGAATGTCCACCAGAATTCCAGAATCATAATTGCAAGCGAATGCTGTTGTCAAGCCACAATTGCTATGAACCATCGGAGGCCAATCTAGACTCATGGGCATGGGTCGAGAAAGAACTTGTTTGTGAGAACCTTCAATGGAAGGATTTCTAGTATGGTGCACACTGGACACAAAAGGTTGGCGTACGTATGCATGCAAATTGTGACCAACATCAAGATGCAGTCTATCAGTGGCAGTTGGAAGGTGTGAATTAACATGTGAAAAGTACATGGGAGCTACAGCAGGCCACTCATAAGAAACAAATTCTGAACTGCTGGAGGCAATACCGTAACCTGCTTCTCTTCTTTGATGGTGAATCTGATGGGATTCCCCTTCCTCCAATGTTCTGGATCGTCCAATAGGCATAGTTAATTTTTCTTTACAGAAAGATTTTTGAGTGTTCACGTTCTCACGGCGTGGACCATCATCAAGATCTGCAGAAGCCAAATTGGATGAAATTCTTTCTCTCACAGCGTGGACCATCCTTTCAGCTTTGTCGTGCGATTCTTCCTCTCCAGAATACTCACATATATCTGCACCGTTAACAGATGCAGAAGTACCTGAGCTACTCCTTTCACAACTAAATGAACCATGCTCTCCAGTAATCCGAGCATCAATATTTTCTTTAGGAAGCTGATTGGCAGAAGTACAACTTGAAACACATTTGGGAGCTTTTTTGATGGCTGAACTATTAACTATGGACTTATTAACTTCCCCTGTGTTTTCCAAATTTGTACATTTCTTACTCTTGTTCTTTTCTTTCCTTTTCTTTTTAGTTCTTCCTTTCCTGGCAACCAACCCTGGGACAACTTCCTGATAAATATCATCAGTTTCAAAACAATCTGAGTTCTATTCAGCCAAAACATGAGGAAAGAAAATAATTCACCATAGTTGCTGCAGAGGCCTCAGAACTATTGATCATCGTTGATGCTGTAGGAACTTTGTTGCATTCTAGCGCTATCCCTTCTCTATTTTTGTTAAGCTCCAGTTTAGCTTGATCTTTCTGGAGATAACTATAAAGATCAATTCAAGTTGCCACACAAATATTTATCAAAATAGATAATCTGTGGACGGAATAGAAACTATGTACCTTTCCGCATTTCGTGGGCAAATTAACGTTTTTATCAGATTTATCCTCGCGGGCTGGCTTTTTCATGTTCCTGGTCTTTCCTTTGTGTTTACGGCTGGTCGAACCCAGCCTCTGATTGGATGGTGAACTAGGAGAACACTTCTGAGTGTTGTCTTCAAGTAGTTCAAATTTAACGGAATCAATAGAGATTACCATTAGAAAACCCCGTAGTTTTCTTAAGATGCAATCAACTAAGGTTGTGATAGAGCCCAATGAGCTGAAAAATACACTTTGAACTGGAACTAAGCCATTTTGACATAAGCTGAGTAGAGAAGCAAATTCTTGAAGAACGTATAAGCCACTTAAATTACTGGTCATGGTAATAGGTTTCCTTGATACATAATTTGGTTCTAATATCATGTCACAGAATGAAACTGCTAAAGTTTCTTTACGCCCAACCCTTGCACTTGCAGTGCCCTCACCAAAATTGAAGAGCCACATATCTCCCTGCGGTGCGTGATTTGCTTCTCTTAGAATCTCATATATCTGAGAGATCAAGTAACAACAAAAATTAGAAGGCATTTATTGTGTCAGGGCTCAGACTGGATGACAGAGTCTTCCAGAATGCAAGTTCACACTAAAACAAAAGGAACCTTAACCTAGAAGGAAGTATAGACAAACTAGATACGGGAAGACAGGTACTAAACGTCCACATTATAAGCCATTCCTAATCCATAGTCCAGCTAGATTGTTAACGTACAGAATCACTTATAGATGGCCCTAAATGGTACGCATTGATAGCATATAAGCCAGTATAGTCAGTTTTCCTATGCAAGAGTCATTTTTACAGATATAAGTGTTCCATCCAAAGCACATACCACGGATTTAGCCGACTTCCCGAACAAACAAGTCCAGAATTTAGTCTTGGTAGCGGCATCGAGATTCTCCCACCAATCAACAGAGGCCTTCTTCCTCCAAAACGCATTGGCAGACGCAGCAGCAGCATTCAATTTCTCTTTCAATTTGATTCCTCTTTTCTTGCCACTACTAGTGCTACTAGTGTTGGTGTTAAACCAAGCTAATCTCAAGCTTACCTCTAACCTATTAGCGATGAAGGCTTCCATGCTATAATAGCCTTTGGCTTTGAGCCAATCCAATTCGACCCAATTGGAGCCCAGATCACTCTCTTCCCCTCTTAGAAATGCTCCATTCGACAAGGCATCCATAGTCTCGACGAAACGATCCACGTTAGTAAGAAACCCGTCGGCCATGACGACGGAATCGAGGGAAGTGACGGAGCAAGAGCAATCTTGAGCCCTTTCCCCTTCCCTCGAAGCAAAGAGCCGAGTGGAGTCGAAAATCAAACGCTCAGAGTCGTTGGACTCAGCAACCCTGGAGATTAAGCCGCGAGATTTTTTAAAGCAGAGACTGGGGAGATCGGAGGAAGGGAGGTCGGGGAGGATGATGAAAGAGCCAGGGCCTTTAGTGCGGATATAACCGAGCATCTGGAGGAGGATTTGGACGAACTTGGAGTCAACGAAGGTGAGGTGAGAGAGGCGCTGGTGGACGCTGAGAGAAGAGAACCATCGGAGGATCGCCGACCTAGGATTGGGGATAGTATTAGGCATATAAGAAGAAGAAGTATGCGAGTGGTAGAGAGAGATGTGAGACGTGAGAGAATCGATAAGTTGATTCTGAGCCATCGATGGGAATTTGGAAGGGAGATGGCCATTTTCCATAGTCCTCTCCCTGACTCCCTCTGTGTCGCCGTACTCGCAAGGAAGAAGACGAAGAGATGCTTAACCAGCGAACGAACGAACGGCTAATAACTTAGAAAACCCAAATCAAACCCCAACCGGTCCGTAATTGGAACCATGTCTCTTGCTTGTGTGAAAGAATCTGAATCAAAATAAGTTTACACAAACTGGAAATGGGCCTAGGCCCATTGTAAAAAGTCCTCAAAGTTCTTTTTCTTTTTGTGTGGATCGTTCGTACAGGCTAAAATTGTAAACTAGCCTGATGAGTTGGACGAGTATAGTATAGAGACGTCATCCTCTGTTTCTTTGCAAGTTGCAATAATAAATGATTCCGGTTTGATAATAAAATCGCATTTAGTGAACCGAGAAGACACGTATCGAGTTTAAATGTGTGGTCGGAGGGAATAAAAGTGTGTGCAGCTTTGCTTAAAGAAGTCAAGGAAGGAACTTTAAAAAAGGATCTTGTTGGCCACAAGCTTCTCCCTTTACACTTTCTCCGCCGCACCATCTGGGTCAACAGTTGAACCCTCTCCATTACGCGTGTGCCTCTGACCATATAATATCTATACTTTATATAGATTATGTTTCATAACGTAGATCCTGTTCCATATATACATAAAACAATTAGTGGTTTTGATATGATATTATTTGATATATATATGGGACGTGAGATATACTTTGCTCTGGTCAACTGCCCTAGCCTAGCTTAGCTTGAAAAAATATTTAATCACGTTCAAAATTTTGATTTTATACGAATAGACAGACTTATAATTAAATCAGTATATATTGTACTTGCTTACCGGCCTTCGTGTAACCTTCCTTCAAACTCTAGCTAGCTCATCAGTTAAACTAACAAAACGAAGACAAATCCAAGTCAAGTGATCTTAAATCCAGCTCATTCACATCTATTCACGTGCCATGCAACATGATGCATATATATAAACACACACACAGAGACAAGTAATATATACTATACCATCGTCGACTCGACGCATACGTACAATTGTTTCTCTCAATTTACTCCCTGATTCGCCATGGCCGCTAACAACAAACTGATCCTCGCATTACTCTCCATGCTACCTCTCATCATCTTATCGGCAACAGCCACGTCATCAAAAAACTATGACGCGAAGGCCTACGTAGACTCATGGTGCCGGACAACCTTATACCCAAACCTGTGCGTCCGGTCGATGTCTCGCTACGTACGTTCACGGGCGATGCAAAATCCACGGGATCTAGCTAGATTCGCGCTTAAAGCCAGCCTCTTCCGAGCCAAGTACACAAAGGCGTTCTTGTTAAAAGAGGTTAAGAACCTAGAGACAACGTTGAGGCCCCAATACTACGCGTTGGTTCACGACTGCTTGACCCAAATCAGAGACAGTGTGAACCAGCTGAGCCTAGCCATAGCGGAGCTAGACAGAGTCAACAGGAGAGGGGGGAAGAGCCAAGGAGATCTAGACTGGCATATAAACAACCTTCAGACGTGGACAAGCACAGCTCTCACAGACGCCGAGACTTGCGTGAGTCAGTTCCCTGGACGTAGGATGAGCAAACTTAAGGCTACGATAAAAGGGAAAGTGAAGAATGTGGAGGAAACCACAAGTAATGCACTTGCCTTCATCGAGCACTATGCTGCTGCTAGGTACCGAGCCAGACGCCCCTAAGCCTTTATGTGTGTTTGGATCAGCAGATCTTGCCTAAATTTCCTCTTTTGTTACTTCTTTGATCTGGTCTATTGTTTAATTATATATGTGTAAGTTTATAACCAGTTGTGTAAATCGAACGTTCATATGTGACAGTAAACTAGTAAATCTCTTATATAGTAAAAGAGAAGTACATTTAGGATTTGGATTGGGTCAATTAAAAAAATTTAACCCGAAATCAGTAATTGGATATTTAGCTTATGCACTATCTGAAAATCTTGGATATTACCAGAGATATATTACCGACCATAAATGTTAACTTAAAATTAAATTACATTCCTCATTTGTAGGTCACTATATTATTAATTGCACCATTTAGAAAATCCCTATAATCACGTAATCATAAAGCAAAACACAATATTTAGGAAGCAATTTAGATATTTTCCATATTCAACTACAATTATTTCCTAACATATTTTTATGATTGTGTAATCAAATATTACGAGTATAAAACCGAAGATTAATGCAATTAATTATTGACTTCTCACGTTATTAACTAAGGTACTACAGTTAGATACTAACTAAGTTCAATAAAATTGGACTATTATATGGTTAATGTGTATGCTACAAGAAATACACTTGCAAACAAATAAAATTATAACAACAAAAAAATTACTACAACAAACAAAAATTTTAATATTCAAAGACACTCGGTTACTATAATTTTAGTAATTGCAATATCATATCTAAAACAAATAATAGCGAAATTAATACACAAGATTCGTTGGTTTATACTGTCTAAAATATATATAATCATCTTTATATTAGACGGTTAGTTAAGTTTTCTGAAATACTAGCTAATTTTTAATGTATGTTTCTACAACAATTATTAAATAAATTAATGTAACATCACTAATTTTTTTTATAGTGTGTAAAACATAAAAAAAAATGAAAATTTAGAAATTTCCCCCGCGCTGTAGCGTGGGTCCGATTCTAGTTGATATATAATTCGACTACCACGCAAAGTTGTTTACGACTGGAGAAACAGGAAGCAATTAAATTAATATTAGCGAGAAAATAATCAACAGCCCGTCTAGCTCAGTTGGTAGAGCGCAAGGCTCTTAACCTTGTGGTCGTGGGTTCGAGCCCCACGGTGGGCGATATTGTTTTTTACCTTCAGCTGAATACTTTAATGGGCTTTGAAATTAATGGGCCCGTTAGGTTATCGATCTGAAGAGACTATGAATGGCTCACTTACTCTTTTTTTTTTTTTTTTATGCATTGTAACATACCGTATAAACCCGACCCGACACGACCCCGATGCCGGTAACATAAATGTGGATTGTTCGATTAGCATAGGCTCTCTTCTTAGGAAAGAAAGAGGAAGTGGGAAGAAACACCGCCATTAACGGCTCGGTGCTCCAATTTTCATCATCATCATCGTTGGATCCGATTTGTCGGAAAGATGGATTCGGTACTTATAGTGGGCATTGCATCTGTTAGTCTCGGTGCGTTGATCGCCGTGCTCTTCTTCGGTAGCTACTTCCGGAAGCGGACATCGGAGGTGCAATCCATGGCTAAAGCGGAGCCGATCCGGAATCCCAAATCGATTCATCCTGTTCCCAAGAAGAATCATCCCAAATCTCACGCGACTGAAAAGGTAGGTTTTAAAGTGTTGCCCAACTCAACTGAGAGAGAGAGAGAGAGAGAGAGATAGAGATTTACGAATCCGAGTTTAGTTGATTTGGATGAGTTGACTTTAACGCCAGAGGCTTCTCTTTCTTCGTTTTTCGTTTTCTAAATTGCTTATTGAAATGCAGACTCAGAACAAACGGCATCATCCTTTAGACTTGAACACGTTGAAAGGCCACGGTGATGCTGTTACTGGACTCTGTTTCTCATCCGATGCAAGGAGCTTGGCCACAGGTTTTTTTTTTATTCTCGTTTTCAAGATTTTGTCTCTGGAGCAGCCTTCACTTCTTCACTGTGAACAAGTGTCCCCTTAGTTGACTTGACGATGATGATGATATAACATCTTACTTTAACATTTTCTTGATTTAGTTAGCCATTTTATGCTGTTTTACATTCTCATCACTTTTGCTCCTGTTTCTGTGGATAGCTTGCGCCGATGGAGTTATCAGGGTGTTCAAGCTAGATGATGCCTCAAGCAAAAGCTTCAAGTATTCCCTTCCTACATTTCTATTTTCCATAGATGATGTTATTTGGGTGTGAGTTTAATATTCAAGTATTCCCATTCTCATTATCCTACTCTTTTCTTCTTCTTTTTTTTTTCTATCTCCAGATTCCTACGGATAAATCTTCCTGCTGGAGGGCATCCAACTGCTGTGGCGTTTGCTGATGATGCCTCATCTATTGTTGTCGCTTGTCATACTATGTCTGGTTCATCTTTGTACATGTACGGTGAAGAAAGGCAAAAAGAACAGCAGGGGAAGCTTCCTCTTCCAGGGATCAAATGGGACCACCATCATATTCATGAGGAGAGAGCAGTCCTTACCATATCTGGAGCAACTGCAACTTACGGTACTGCTGATGGAAGTGCTGTCATTGCCTCTTGTTCCGAAGGTTTGAATTTCCCATGGCCATTATACAATTGTTTTCTATTTCGAGTTGCCTGTTGCTAACCTATATTTATATACTATTCTAATTTACAACACAGTCGTTGCTATGCCAAACTGGCTGCAGAATCCCTATTCATTTTATTTTTTATTATAACATTGCTTAAGGATGTTGCCTCTGGACCGTAATGACTACCCAAATTTTTATTATATAATTTCTGTATTCTTGTTACAAATGTCCTGCTCTGGTATATTTTTCGTTGTCTATTCCTTAATCCTTGTTCGTCATCAGGAACTGATATCATACTTTGGCATGGGAAAACTGGGAGGAACCTGGGACATGTTGATACAAACCAGTTGAAAAACCACATGGCAGCCGTATCACCAAATGGACGTTTTTTGGCAGCTGCAGCGTTTACTGCAGATGTGAAGGTAATTTTAAAATTAATTTGAAACCATTACGAGTGTAGTGACCATATCTCATGGCTTAGTAAGTGGTTTGTAGGTGTGGGAAATTGTTTATCAGAAAGATGGTTCTGTCAAGGAGGTCTCAAGAGTTATGCAACTGAAAGGCCACAAGGTATCATTCACTACCTATAGCATGCAATCCATCTCCAATGTTTAGGCTCTTTCTCACTTTTGTCTCGCAAACGTTTCATGTTAAAACCAATGCTACGGTGTCCAGAGTGCAGTGACTTGGTTATGCTTTTCTCCAAACTCAGAGAAGATCATCACCGCTTCAAAAGATGGTTCAATAAGAGTCTGGAACATCAATGGTTAGTAGAATTGTTTTAAATGTCTGCATCATTTTGATTGTTGCCATATGCAAAGCAGATCCTAGTAAGTAGTAACATTAGGGGATATGTTTTGGAATTTATGATAGATGGAATGATTTTGATTTATCAAACAAGTAACCTGAAAGGTATTGTATAATTATGTTGAAGTCCGCTATCATCTTGATGAGGATCCAAAGACTTTGAAAGTGTTCCCGATTCCACTTTGCGACTCAGGAGGCAATGCATTGCACTATGATCGTCTCAGCTTATGCCCGGAGGGAAAGATATTGGCAGCAAGCCATGGTTCCACGTTGCAGTGGTTATGTGCTGAAACGGGAAATGTCATGGACACAGCTGAGAAAGCCCACGAAGGTGATATGCTTATCTAGTATTCTCTTTTACCACCTATTCAAAACATTTCCTTGTTATACCTATGTTAACACTGTCGGTTGTATGTATGGATGTGTAGGGGATATCACATGCTTATCTTGGGCACCCAAGGCAATCACAGTTGGTATGTCTCTATCTGTCTGTCTGCGTGTTTCCTTATTGTCGTCGTACAGTTGTTTGTTGTCTAAATAATTTTTGCCTTTTTGGTGTCGTTGGTTCAGGGGAGAGGCAGGCCATGGTTTTAGCGACATCAGGGGATGACAAAAAAGTGAAGCTGTGGGAAGCTCCAAAGTCGTAATCTATGTAAACTTGAATACAGAAACACATAGTCCCTTGATCGATCACATGAGGAACATATACAAACGGCATAACTTGCGAGAACACTCTTAAAAGTTTTTTTGTTTGGAGTCCTGAGTTGGAGCTAAATGAAATTAGGTTTCTTCCTGTCACTCCTCAAGTGGCTTTCACCTTTTGAGTTTCTGAATTTTTGTTATAACTCCAGTCAGAACTGTCTATTTTCTAATACAAGGGTCGAACAAATAAATTGAGAGGCAAAATTTAAAGAAAAAGCAAGCAACGGGAAGAGGTATCCCGCACCGCAGAGAGGATAAACTAGGTTTTGTTGAACGACAAGGTTGAATGAACAATCGTAATTATTGATTACTCCGTGGCCATGCTAGTTAAATAACTTATACAACCAAAGTGTGAGAAACTGTTTTGGTCATGGACTCTCTGATGGGGCGAAAAAAAACGAAACTGGGCCAGAAGTATGTAAGGCCCACGAATAAAAACCCTAAAGCCTGGCTAAAAGAGCGCTCTCTCTTTCTCTTATCAACGGAAATTAGGGTTTCTGTTTGTCATCTTCGGCAGTCAGTCTCACAGAAGAAAGAAAGTGTGAGAATCTGTCACCATGGGTCGTATGCACAGTGGAGGGTTTGTTGTTCTTTCTTCCTTGTAATTCTTCTGATAGTTACGTCAATTGCGCAATCTAACATGTCCGTATCGTATCTGTAGAAAGGGTATTTCAGCTTCTGCGTTGCCGTACAAGAGAACGTCTCCGAGCTGGCTCAAGACTACCTCTCAGGATGTAAGTTCCTATCATCTCTGCTTTCGATTGCTTGCTTTTGTTGAATCAATACTGCCTTGCATATATATAATATATATTTGCCATTTCACAGGTTGATGAATCAATCTGCAAATTTGCCAAAAAGGGGCTGACCCCTTCACAGATTGGTGTTATTCTCCGTGACTCTCACGGTATTCCCCAGGTCAAGAGTGTTACTGGAAGCAAAATCCTTAGGATACTCAAAGCCCATGGTGTGTTGTGTTTTCTATTTTTCTTTGGATCTTCCTTTCTTCTACCATCATTTTGTCTTATGAAATTAATGCCATAATTTGCTTGCTTGCAAGGCCTTGCTCCTGAGATCCCTGAGGATCTGTACCACCTTATTAAGAAGGCTGTTGCCATCCGCAAGCATCTCGAGAGGAACAGAAAGGACAAGGATTCCAAGTTTAGGCTCATCTTGGTTGAGAGCAGGATTCACCGCCTCGCTCGCTATTACAAGAAGACCAAGAAGCTCCCTCCCGTCTGGAAGTAGTGAGTATCTCATCCATTGTCTCTTATTACTTCTTGCTTTCAATACCTCAAGGATCTCTCTACCTCTCTTAGCTAGCTAGTTTTGTCGAACACCAAAAAAAAAAAGACCCAAGTAGATTTCGTCTCTCTACATAGGTAGTTTGTTTGGAACAGCTTATGAACTACTATCATTTCCTAAACCGCTTTGCCAACATTGTCCTGTTGACACTTTTGCATTAAACAACCTGTCTTCTCTATGCCCTGCACTGACTTACACTCTCCATCTGCAGTGAATCCACAACCGCTAGCACCCTTGTTGCTTAAGCTGAAGTAGGTTCAGCTTTTGTGAGGAGGAAGATTCTACATGTCTGTTGCTTCTCTTTTGTTTTGATGAATTCTGAACTTTTTTAGTCTTCTTCATTTGTCAGGATTTGATATGTGTTTGCCTCCTCTTTTTATTGAATCTTATGCTACCCCTACTTTTTAAGAGAATCATATGATCATGAAGTAACAATTTCCATCTTATGCTCCTCTCGTTGAAAGAGAATCACGTGATCATGATCTCACCACTGGAAACATATCCTTTTGATTTAAGCAGTAGTATACTAATTATAGTGAATTGTACTGAGAAGCAAGATGGTTGGTTAAAGAGATTTGGATAAAATGGTAATGAGAGTGACAAAGAATGTAATCTCGAATTTATGGTTCCTATGGAGTATAAATCGTTTTGAGTAAAAAAAACATATACGAAGAAGACAGTGAGCCGCCAAAGAACCAACAAAAAGAGCAAGTGTTAAAAAGTGAAACAATCACAAGAATCTCAGAATCAGAAAGAGAAGCTACAAACTCAGGGCAGAGATGGTCAATCATGGATCAACTTGCAGCTTTCTTTCCGCCATTGTAGTAACCCAAATACCATCTGGCAAACTTCTTAAGACCCGTCTGAAGATCGGTGGTGGGTTTGTACCCGAGCTCTCTCTGGGCAGAACTGATATTAGCATGAGTGAAGGGCACATCCCCGTTCCTGGGCAACTTCATAGTGTTCCTCTTGGCCTTGACTTTGAGAAGTCTCTCGAGAATGGTGACGAGATCAGTGACAGGAACAGGGGAAGTGTTGCCGAGATTGAAAACCCTTAACTGAGCTGCGCCACGCTTTTTGCCACCGCTGCCTGTGCTCTTCTCAGCAGTGTCCAAAGCCCCCAAGCAGCCCTTGACAATGTCATCAATGTAAGTGAAGTCCCTAGCGACGGTTCCATGGTTGACCCCCTCAAAGATAGAGATGGGTTTGCCTTTGAGAATGTCTCTGGTGAAAAAGAAATAGGCCATGTCCGGCCTACCCCAAGGACCATAGACGGTGAAAAACCTCAAGCCAGTAAGGGAAAGGCCATAGATGTGATTGTAAGTGTGGGCAATCTCTTCACCAGCTTTCTTAGTAGCAGCGTAGAGACTAGCAGGTTGATCTGTACGGTCTTTCTCGGAGAAGGGGACTTTGGTGTTCAAGCCGTAGACAGAGCTAGAGGAAGCCCAGACAATGGCGGGTTGGGGATTAGCGGATTTGGAAACCTCGAGGAGGTTGACGAAGCCAGCGATGTTACTGTGGACATAGGAGCTAGGGTTTTCCATGGCGTACCTGACACCAGCTTGAGCAGCCAAATGCATAACGTGGGTAAAGGGGACGACTTCGAAGAGTTTCTTCAAGAGAGCAGCGTCATTGATGTCACCTTCGACAACAAAGACCCCGCTTCTCTCCAAAAGGGCCTGCCTTGCCCTCTTGAGGGATGGATCGTAGTAATCGTTGAAGTTGTCGAGACCGAGAACGCCGTCGCCGCGGCGTTTGAGAGCGGAGGAAACATGGGTACCGACGAAACCGGCGGCACCGGTGACGAGAACAGAGAAACCGCGGCGGAAACGGAGACGGGCGGAGGATCTAACACGTTTCTCCCAAGCGGGGCCGCCCCAGGAGTAGGTGCGAAGGGAACGGCGAGAAGGATCGGGATTGGAGGAAACGGGAGATCGGTAGAAGAAGATGAAGATCAAACCGACGAAGACGAGAGACCAAAAGGCGAGCTTGGCGACGGAAGATTGCCACCGCGTACGGTGGAAGTAGGGCTTGAACTTGCCAGGCGTCGAAGGGATATCATCAAGATGCTTCATTTCTCTCCAATATAGTTTATATATAAATTCGTCTCTCAGATCGGGCGATAATGGCGTCCCCAAGAGAATCTTCTTCTTCTTCTTCTTCTTCTTCTTTTTTCTTCGTCTTCTTCTTTTTTTCTTGGATGGGTTTGGTTTGTTTGGTGAGAGCGTTTATAGGCTTCTCCGATTTCAAAGGCAAGATCAACGATTTCAAGATTTTGTTTCTCTGCCTCTCTCTCTCTCTCTCTCTCTCTCTCTCTCTCTCTATTTTTGGTCTTTCTCTTCTTCTTCTTCTCTCAAATGTAAAAAAACTAATAGGGAAGGAGGACTACTCCGCTGCTGTGTACAAGAGAGAGAGAGAGAGAGAGATACACACACGACTCGAATACAACAAGATAGGAGAAGATGATGGTCAACACGAGGTATTGAATTGATGAGGGAGGCTGAGATTTAGCAACTTATTAAGACAGGGAGAGTCAAACCCCAACTCTCTCCATTTAACTATTTTTTACATCACTCTCTCCCTTTACTCTTGTGTGTTACACATTAATCTCTGATTTTTTTTATCTTCTAACCCCAAACAATTTAGCTAGATTTTCACTTTGGTTTTCCCTATAATTAATGAAGTTTTGATCATCCATCCATGTCCGCGATGGCTTTTTTTGGCCCTTTGCTATATATCTCTTTCTTTAGGGCTTCCTCTTAATTACTGTATTACATCAAACAACATTCGATGCAGAAATATTCCATCCAACATACAAACAAACATGTCTCTATAATAGCTCTTTGTAAGTATATTAATAACTACAAACAAACTGACGCACACATATACATGTTTAGTTGCTGCCCAAGATTATCTTCACGTGCAACTCTCTACAAGTCTCTAACGGTGGATTCTCTTAATTATTAATCATCTCTTAATACATCAAACTCAATGAATAATCCTGTATAACACTCCTTTTAGAATCAGATATGTAGTTTAGTGTATTCTCAAACCTCAACTTTCATTCATATTTTCGGTTCAAATCTCCCATTCTCATTTATTCTAAAGAGAAAGCATAACCCAATCGATTTATTGAGACTTAGTGACTAGTGGAAATGCACACCTACACTAAGTAGAATAACGTCTAACGTCTTTATGGATGGATTTTGTGCAAAAGACTTAGCAAAGGACTTTGGCGGCTGCAACAACTGCATCAACGCTGAGTCCAAATTTCTTGTATAACACATCCGTTGGTGCACTTGCTCCAAAACTGTCTACGCCGATGTCTTTTCCTGTCATCCAACCATCTTCTCCCACCCAAATGTCGACCTTCCTTCAATACTCACCCTTGCTGATACCTTTGAAGGTAGCACACTTTCTTTGTATTCTTCGCTTTGTTCAACAAACAGCTCCCAACTCACCAGTGACACTACTCTTCCTTCTTCTCTCAGCTTCTCTCCTGCCTTTGCAGCAATCTCTAGCTCCGACCATGTCCCCATCATGATTACATCTGGTCTATTACCTGTGGAGTTGTCTGAGATTACATATCCCCCTTCTCCACTCCCTCCACTGAAGTTCTAGGTAAATGAGGCAACTTTTGTTTGGATAGCGCCAGGATCGAAGGCTTCATTCTGTTCTCTACACCAACTTTGTATGCCCCTGCGGTTTCAATTTCATCTGCTGGCCTAAGCATCAAGATGTTTGGCATGGCACGGAAGCTCGCCACATGTTCTATAGGCTGGTGGGTCGGTCCATTTTCTCCAAGACCGATTGAAGCATGGGTCATTACATAGATAACTCCTGCTTGAGACAGCGCAGAGAGTCTAATAGCAGCTCTCATGTAGTCTTTCAAGACAAAGAACGTAGCACAATAAGGAATGAGCCCCGGGCTTTGACAAGTAATGCCATTGCAGATAGCTCGCATGATGTATTTCCTGACACCAAACCTAAGGTTTCGCTCTTTAGGTGTGTTCTTTTAGAAGTCCCCAAGCATTTTGAGCAATGTCATGTTGGATGAAGCAAGGTCAGCACTCCCACCGAGGAACCCGGGAAGAACCTTTGCAAGGGAATTCAAACACTGCTGGGAGAGGTTTCTTGTTGCATCTGCAGGACTCTCAGGCGTGTAAATCTGATAAACGAGGAGAAAAAAACCATATTAATCCCACCACAAAGGTTGACCGACTTTTAACAACATATTACATTCTTTCGATGCTTAAGACAAGATGGAACCTAAATTTTCCAGGCCTACCGGCAATGTTTTTTCCCAGCCAGTAGGTAAGTATAGATTTTAGTTATGCAGCTTCTTGTGGGTACTTCTTCTCAACTTAGCATTCCATTCTGTTTCAAGAGCAGCTCCTTCAAAAAACCAATTGTATAAATTCATCGTTACAGATATTTGTTTTGCAAAAAAGCACATCTTATCCCAAATCAATTAAGAAAAACATCAACACATTTGTTTAAAACCATTTTGTTTGTACATTTTTAAATAACAGCAAAATCCATAACCAAGCCAAGCCACATGACAAGCGTGATTTTGACTGACATAGTGGATAACTTAACTAAGAGTGATAAGAAGATGGCTTACCTTGATCAAAGTGGGTTTTTCTTTAACAGCCTTAGCTTCCTTAATGGCAGCACGGATTTCATCAAACCATGTGTTTCCATTCTTCACCCATATAACATGCCAACCAAGACCCTCAAAACGTGTTTCCACATTCTCGGTAAATGCTATCTATGTGTCAACGTTAATGGAAATGTGGTTATTATCATAGAAAGCTATGAGCCTCCCCAGACCCCAGTGGCGCGCAAGAGAGCAAGCTTCATTGGCAATTCCTTCCATTTGACATCCATCTCCAGGAATAGAATACCTACAAAAAGCTGAAGTCAGAACCTTTCAAGTGAAACGTAAGGTAAATACTTTAACTTATCAAACTAGAAATCTAAGAAGCAAAGAGCAAATAGTTATTACGTGTAATGGTGACAATTTCACAGTCTGGTTTGTTAAATTTAGCAGCCAAATGTTTCTCCACAAGTGCCAAACCAACAACATTTGCAATTCCTTGGCCAAGGGGGCCTATATACAAAGGAAAAGAGGCATAATAAAACTTAGTGCTGGATAACACAATTGAAGAAATCTTGTTCGTTAAAAAAGCAAGAGAAGCAAACCAGTGGTGACTTCAACACTCGAAATTCTCAGGGTGTCAAAGGAGTCCTACTTTCCCACTGACGAAAATTCTTCAAATCTTCTTCCTAAGTGACAGCCAAATTGATTAGTGAAGGCTCTGATACCGGAAAGAGAAGATAGATATCTAAGAGAAAGAGAGACGTGGTGACGATCCGTAGGGAGAGGATAGAAAGGTTTCGATGAAGATCGAATGAGGAAAGAAGCCTGCGACGAAGTAAGCAATGCCATTTCTGAGAGAGAGAGCTTTTGTTTTTGGTGTTTCTTCGACCTTCATTTGTCCCTTAGATTAGAGGAAGGGAATCGATTACTGATCGCTGGATCTGAAGAGAATTGTTGCCTGTTTTACTTTTACAACGACGTCATTTCCTTTCCAAGTGAAGTTTTAAATATTATGGAAAATGAGTCAGAGGCGAACAACCTTCACGTCGTTGCTACAGTACGATTCATCCCTCTTTGGGCCTCAAAGCCCAATAGTTAAAGGCCGTTCAGTCATAAAATTTCACTTGCAGGCCATGAGGCCGTTTACTCAGATTTGTAAATGTCTATATCTTTTGGTTTTGTTTTTATGTCTATAAATTTCATTCCAAGATTGGGTTTGCATATCTTATAGAGAGATTTAAGATTGTAGTTCTAGCTTGAGTTTTCCAAGGTCATTATTTACAGCCTATGTCGAATTACTTAGGTCAACTGCTGGTTTTAGATGACACGTACGGCATATTTGAGTCTAGACTAACTTCACATATATATTCACTACCGGAGGATATCGATCCGAAGAGATGTTTAATCCCAATTGTGGTTTTTTTTTTCCTAATCCATAATATATATTCGAAAAAGTATGCATGATACAAAACCATAGATATCAAGCCCTAATTAGCCCCGATATATTACCTCCATACAAAGAAATACAATCAATATCATTTATTCATCAATGCATATATATATATATATATATATATATATAATTTATCAATATATAAAAAGTTGGTTCGCAGTTACAATATAATAGAATATAATAGCCATACAATCTTGAATCCAATCCTTATGCGTATACATTTTTTATATATCAACATATGAGAAAGCTTGAGAGAATAACACCACATGACTAGCGATACGTAATTCATCAATAAGCAATAGAGATGAATCAGGTTTGGGAGTTGTGGTAATAACAAAGGTAAGAGGGGTCAGCCATAGGAGCTCCAATCTGAGAGTGAGGCTGAAGAATCCTCACCTGCCGTTTCAAGAACTTGGTGTAACGGATGGCTTCGTCCAGCATGGAGGCCGTGTCCATCTTTGCCCCGCCTGGCACGATCCGCTTCAGAATTCGGATCTTCTCGCTGATCCTTTCCCTACGCCGACGAGCAACCACCGTCTGAGGATCGTCGCTTATCCTTACGTTGCGGCGGTTCGGCTTAGGGACTGTCGAAGGGTCGATGTCTACGGGCTGCATGACGGCGACCATGTACTGCATCTCCTTCATCGCATCCATCTCTTCATCGTATTCTTCATCGTCTTCTTCCAAATGAATTAGGGTTTCGGGAGGTGGATCCAACATGAGCTGAGGAGGAGGATCATGGAGAAAAGGGTACTCTTCTTGTGTGATAGGATCGTTGTTAGCTTTGTTCCAATCCATGAGGGGATTATGAGGTTGAGGCTCCATCATGCTGTTCTTGGTTGGATCTGCTTTTGGACGAGACCCGCACTAGACTTTTCTTTTTATACATACCATTTTCCATTTTCATCTTTTCTTATTTCTTTACATATATTTTTATTTTAATTTTACTGACATCCTTGACTCGATTAAATAACCCAATGCGTATACCTTTTCCTACAACACAATATTGTTGTATGATGAATTATTTAACCATCATACATCTGTGTTTTTATAACTCAACTATTTCCTATGTAAAATGTGTGACTGAATTAATAAATATGTTTTTTTTACACAGCTTTAACGTAAGGTTTTTTATTACGTTACTGTATACATTTTGTATAGGTTATGTATGCAAGTTTAATATCACAATTCAGTCTTGCTTCATGTTGATGTGTCTACTGATCGAGGGTCAAACTTGCTTATGCTGGCTTTTTATTAGTTGTCGTGTCCCGTCATCTGTTTACTTCGCACTAAATTATCTGTCTCCATATATAGATAGGTAATTATTTTGTATTTTAGGCCGTATAAATCTCCAGCAAATTAATATTTCCGAGTCCTTTCTCTCAAGCATAATTTTGTTAATTACTCCAATACCAATACCCAATGTTATTAAAAATTTCTGGTTACTTTGAAAATTATTTAAAGGTGTTTTAGTTAGTTAGAGAATTATTACCAAAATGTTTTTTTTTTTGAGAATTATTACCAAAATTTTCATAACGAACCAAAAAAAAAAACATTTGAAAACATATGAAAAATACAATTAAATCAAATTTTATTTAGCTAAAATACCTAGCTCCATAGATAAAATCACAACCGGCTAAAAATATTATTTTATAGAAATTATTCTATTTCATTCTAAAACTGTTTTGATAAAAGTTTAGCATTACTATTAGAACATTTTTTTAAAAAAATAAACATCAACAAAAAGGGTAAGTTTTACAGCAAATTGAAATATTTCCTTCTATTTGTTTGAGACTGATCAATTGCATATATATGCATGGACCATTTCCGCTAACTAATTTCATGCACTCATTTGTGCTTGTTTATATAAACCTTGGTTAGAACCATTTAAATTTGTATACGTACGTACGGAGCAATACAAAGAAACACATATAAAGCAAAGTCCTATAGACCACAAAAGATAGAAGAAATAGTGTGTGGTCGAAATCATGGTTACTCAAAAAGCAAGATCAGTAAGGAGGGATTAAAATTCTAGGGTTTTTCCTAAGGGCGGACAAGGAGAGAGACTTTACGAGGTTAGGGCAAAAAAGGAGCGTTGCACTTTAGTGTGGATACCATTGCCATAAGGAAGCATAAGTCGCTCTTGTAATAGTTACTCAACACATGTCTCCATTTTTAGAGTGCTCATTATTTTGACCTAATTCAATTTCTTCTCTCTCTCCCCTCTTCTGACAACTCCTATACACCAAAATAGGCAATTTAACATCAGTGTTCTTCTATTTCTTGTCTTTCTTCTAAATTTAAAACCCCATGCACGGTTTCTTCAACATGTAACATTCAACGGCCTTGATTTGATCCTAAGGAATTTAATTATGAGCTGGATACGATAAATGACTCTTGTTCAACGTCCATCTTCTTTATGAACTCTATAACATATAATGTGTATGCATGCATTAGTAGGTGTTCTTAATATTAACTTTGTTTTTGTTTTTTTTTTTTTGACGATTTATATATTAGGATCGTCTCTCTCCCCCATAACTCATTACACGAAGTGGGGACGGCTTCATCGACATTAAGGTATTGTCCATGATTTAAATTTCTCAATTGGATAAGTAAACATATTTATATGTATAAATGATCACCACTAATTATCTTGAATTACTAATCGATCCTCTACATGTCATTGTCCACACGAAATTTCTATTTAGTTTTTCGTTCATTTCATATAGGTATAAAATCGACCAAACTATCAAAAGGAGATGATAGATCACGTCTTCTTTTCACATTGCCGGCTTAACTAGTTCAAGACAATTAAAAGATTCACGCCTTTGTTCATACTTGATACAAACTTCTTCATCAAAAGCTAATTTAGGCATCAACTATTATATACAATTAATTAGTTATGTTTAAGCTCTTTACTGTCGTCCCGTTATACCATATAACAAATCCTATTAATTAATTGGATTAGTTATTAGGATGATATATAGAATGTTAAAAATACTGTCATGCATACATGTTTGAGATAAATTTGTCTTTTTTACTTGAGTCATACATCTCTGAACGAACGCAATTAATTAGATTAGGTGAATCTCTTTTAGTGTTTATATAAAACGATCTCAGAGGTGATGGGGTCTGAACTTTAACTGTCCAGGCACCTTGATGAGTTAGGCGTAAACTGGATGTAACATAAAAGATTGAGTGGTGCCCTTAAACGTCCATCCACACGGAGAGCGAAGCACATTTGTATATATTGCGGATCGGGCAAGATATGAATTCCTTTTGGCACAATTTCAAATATCCAACTTAATTATCCCTTTACACAATTCATCTAATCCACAGGCATTTTACGCTGCGCGACGAGGTAATCTAATTAATACGGATTCAAGTACCGGATGTCTAAAATATGTCGTGTATATGGTTTATTCACTCATTGGTAATTCTTATATATGAGCTACGTACGTGTAGACTAGGTTTGACGTGGTACTAGCTAGTCTTCCGTTACACACCTCTGGCTCTATGTGAATGGGTTAGCCCAATGTTCCCTCTCGTTCGTAATCCCTCTACATCCACAATGAAGGAGCTTTGTGTCAAAAAAAAAAGAAGAAGAAGGAGCTTTGTGTCTCCTACACGAGAGAGGTGAACGCTATTAAGTCCCGCAAGAAGGATTTTGTCAGCTGCAACGCAAATATTATGTCTTCTCAAAATCTAAGTATACTACAAAAGAATCATATTCAAATAAGCAAAAGAATGCCAGCGGTGAACATTTGGCAAAGCTGTGACTTGCACGAGAGTATATATCACAAGTAGAGATAAGGTTTTTTTCAGTTTTTTTTTTTTTTTCTAGTTCAGTTTTGTTTGAGGAAAGAAGAAGAAGAAGAAGAAGCGAAAACTTGGAGAAGGTGGTTCGCTCCTCAGCTCATCTCCGGCGTCTTCAACGGCGCCGGCTCCTCCTTGCATCTGAATCCGTAGGCCCTCCCCTCCTCATGGGGAAGCAAAAGCGTCTCCGCAAATCCTCTTCGGGAGTGCCTTCTTCCTCTCCTAAAGGCCTCCCCTCCCCCTCTTCTATTTCTCCCTCTGGGTCTCCTCAGATCCCTTCGCCGTCAATGGCTGTTGAGTCTTCTTCAGCCAAGAGTGTACTTGGCGCGGTTCCCCAAACCTGCTCGGTCACCCCCCAAAAATCAATTTCGCGATCTGTAACAGGTCCGAAAGGTTTAGGTCAGAATGTCGAGACTCCAGTGGCTGCTACCGCGCCCAACTTGTCTCTATCTGTCCCTACTCAGGTTGATTCGACCCCATCCAAGGAATCGAGTCCCTCCCCAGCCCCTGCGCAAGCCGCTCCTGTAATGGATGCTGCGGCGACCCCAGAATTAACAGTGGCCTCTTCTTCAACAGAGGTGGAAAATTGGTGTGCTCTGTTCAAAGGAACCTCCAAAAGACTTCAGAAATCAGGAAATGCATTCACTCTTCCAACGGGCGAGTCGTGTGTTCAAATTCCTGATTCTATTATCGAAAAGCACAAGAAATCGTGGGAATCTTTCATCCTAGGGCAATTCTACTCCGATCCGCCGGCTCAAGGAACGATTCACACAATAGTTAATGGCATTTGGAGTAAGCAGTTTAAAGATATCTCTGTCTCCAAGATGGAAGGTAACTCATTCCTGTTTCGAATTCCAAATGTCCAAACTCGGAACAGGGTCCTTAATCAACGACTTTGGCAAATCGAAGGACAAACTATGTTCGTCGCCAATTGGGAGCCGGGACTTACTCCTTCTAAACCCGAGCTCTCCTCTGCCCCCATTTGGCTTGAGCTGCGGAAAGTCCCATTACAATTCTTTAACGAAGATGCCCTTGCAAGGATTGCTAGCCTCGTTGGCCATCCTCTCTACCTTCACCCTGAAACATTGGGTAAAAGAAACCTGGAAGTTGCTAAGGTCTTCACGATCATTGACCCTCGGAAGCCTCTTCCAGAAGCAGTAAACGCTCAGTTCAGTTCTGGCGAAATCTGCAGAGTTGAGGTCTCCAGTCCCTGGATGCCTATTGTTTGTGCTCACTGCAAGGAAGTGGGACATAGCTTGAAAAGATGTAATTCGGCCCCGATAAAATGTTCGGATTGCAATTCCACTTTGCACACTCCGGACTCTTGTCCGCGTCTTAAAGCTAAACCTCCGATAGAAAAGACAAAGCATCGCAGGCGCCGCTCGAGAACTCCAAAACCTGTCCCAAAAGTGGGAGAATGGGTTGTTGTTGGTTCTCCGCCTTTAGCTATCAATCTTACTGATCCAAAGAATGGCAAGAGCACTGCCACTTCGCTCCCTCGGGATAAAGGAAAAGCCATCCAAAAGGGCCCTGCTTCTTCATCTTCTTCTTCAGAGGAGGAACCTGATTCCTCTGACATTCCATCTGATCCATCTGAAGAGGATTACAGCGATTTGGAAGACGAAACGAAGTTCATGGAAGTGCTGTCACAGCGACAACAACGCAGTGCGAGGGGCAAGGGCCCCAAATCCAAATAATTTTTTATGTATACGGAAATTTTTTGTTGGAATGTGCGCGATCTTAATTCTTCTTCTCATCGCCGCGGTTTTAAAAAATGGCATAATAGCCACCAATCACTTTTTGGGAGTCTCGTGGAGACGCATGTGAAGCAGCCAAAGCAACAGAAGTTTCTCAACACCATGTTGCCTGGTTGGTCTTTTGACAATAATTACAACTTCTCTGACCTTGGTAAAATTTGGATACTTTGGCACCCTAGCGTGAAAGTCCATATCATCTCCAAGTCTTTGCAGATGATCAGTTGTGAAGTCTACTTTCCAGATAAAGATGATGCTGTCATTATGTCCACTGTTTATGCAGCTAATGATGATGCAACTCGCCAGGAACTGTGGGAAGAGCTAATAAATCTCTCTACTGGTTCCAACCTATCAGGCAAAGCTTGGATCGTGCTTGGGGACTTCAACCAAACTTTGCATCCTTCAGAGCACTCTTCAGCTGTTAGCCCAAATGTGGATAGTCCTACCCGACGCTTCCAAGATACTCTTCTTCAGACTGGTCTGGTGGATTTAAACTACAGGGGGAATACATTCACTTGGTGGAATAAGCAAAAAAGGGCTCCTGTTGCCAAGAAACTAGATCGCATCCTAGTTAATGATAAGTGGTCTACTTTGTATCCATCTTCCTTGGGTTATTTTGGGGATCCTGACTTCTCTGACCATGCAAGTTGTGAAGTCACTTTGGACTCCTCCTCCCCAAGACGGAAAAAGCCTATCAGATTCTACAACTTCCTTTTGAAGAATCTGGAGTTTCTTCCTCTTATTGGTCAGCACTGGTTCTCCTTTAATATTGTTGGCTCTGCAATGTTTAGAATTTCCTGGAAGCTAAAGGCTTTGAAGCAAGTCATAAGAGATTTTAGCAAAGTGAATTACTCAAATCTAGAGAAACGGACTGAAGAGGCTCATTTAAGGCTCATCTCAGCTCAGAGCTCAACCCTTCTCTCTCCCTCGTTAGCCAATGCTGAGCACGAGTTGGAAATGCAGAGACAGTGGCAAATCCTCTCCACTGCAGAGGAAAGTTTCTTCTTCCAGAGATCGAGAGGTACCTGGATGAGAGAAGGAGACATGAATTCTGCTTACTTCCACAAAATGGCTTCGGCAAGGCAGGCCATAAATCACATACACTTCCTTATTCAGGGCAATGGTGAGAGGATTGATACTCAGCAGGGAATACATAACCACTGTGTGGATTTTTTCAAGAGCACCCTTGCTCAGCCCCAGGTTCAATCTCTATTCATCCAGGATGATATATCTAACATTTTAAGGTTCAGATGCTCCTCTTCACAGCGAGATTTTCTGGAAGCCCCTATCTCCCCAGAGACCATCCGTGATGCTTTTTTCTCTCTCCCAAGAAATAAAGCAAGCGGTCCAGATGGATACACCCCTGAATTCTTTTGTAGCTGCTGGCCCATTATTGGGGGAGAGGTTACTGAGGCAGTCTTGGAATTCTTCAAATCGGGGCAGATCCTCAAACAGTGGAATGCCACTAATCTGGTTTTAATACCAAAGATCCCAAATGCCTCTAAGGTAACGGATTTCAGACCAATCTCTTGTCTCAACACGGTGTACAAAGTAATATCTAAGATTTTGGCTGACCGGCTTAAAAAGATCCTCCCATTCACCATTAATCACGCCCAATCGGCCTTCATGCCTGGCAGACTTTTGTTGGAAAATGTGTTATTAGCTACTGAGATTGTTCATGGCTACAACAAGAAGGATATTGAGCCAAGGGCAATGCTAAAGGTGGATATCAGGAAAGCATTTGACTCTGTCAGATGGGATTTTATCACTTCTACCCTAAGGGCAGTGGACATGCCTGAGCGCTTTGTGGGCTGGATCCTAGAATGTAGATCTACTTCAAGTTTCTCGGTCACAGTAAATGGTCAATCTGGAGGGTTTTTTAAAAGCACTCAGGGCCTAAGACAGGGAGACTCTCTCTCCCCTTATCTGTTTGTGTTGGCAATGGAAGTCTTCACGGGCCTTCTACACTCTCGTTATGCTTCAGGGTACATCTCCTATCACCCTAACACTGAGGAGCTAAATATCTCTCACTTGATGTTTGCAGATGATGTTATGATCTTCTTTGATGGTTCATCTTCTTCTCTTCATGGCATATATGAGACCCTGGATGATTTTGCTGGGTGGTCTGGGCTTCATATGAATAGGGAAAAAACAGAATTATTCCATGCAGGCCTTAACCAAGCGGAAACTGAAACCATTGCTGACTATGGATTCAAATTGGGGACCCTACCTATTCGTTACTTAGGCCTCCCTTTGATGAGTAGGAAGCTAAAAGCTGCTGAATATGCTCCCCTGCTGGAAAAAATAACAAAGCGGTTCAATGACTGGGCGGTCAAGTCTTTGTCTTTTGCGGGTAGACTGCAACTTATTGCCTCAGTAATCTCAGGGATTGTTAATTTCTGGATCTCAGCTTTTATTATTCCTTTGGGCTGTTTGAGGAAAATTGAATCCCTTTGCTCTAGATTTCTGTGGTCAGGAAGGATTGATAATAGAGGGATGGCAAAGGTCTCTTGGGCTCAGGTTTGCTTACCTAAAGAAGAAGGAGGATTGGGATTAAGGAGACTTGCTACATGGAACAGGACTCTTTGCCTCAAAATGATCTGGCTCTTATTCTCTTCTAGTGGCTCTCTTTGGGTAGCTTGGCATAAATTTCACAATTGGAATCCAAGAACCTGCTTCTGGAATCAAGTGGAGAAACAAACAGACACTTGGAACTGGAAATGCATCCTAAGGATGAGAGATCTAGCTGAAAAGTTTATCAGGTGCAAAGTGGGAGATGGTACGAGAGCTAGCTTCTGGTTTGATCATTGGACCCCTCGTGGTCCCCTCATCAAATACATTGGAGTTGAAGGGCCAAGAAGCTCGAGAATCCCTTTGAATGCTAAGGTCTCTGAGGCTTGTAACAGGGAGGGCTGGCTCTTAGCAGACCCGAGAACGGATAATGCAATGAATCTTCAAGTCTATCTCACCACAGTCCAGCTCCCGCACAATTCTTCAGTTGCAGATTCTTATGATTGGGAGGTGGAGGACCATATTTGTGAGGGATTTTCGTCTTCTAGGACTTGGTCTGCTCTTCGTCCTCGGGCAAATCAAGTGGATTGGCATGATATCATCTGGTTTAAGGGATGTCTTCCTAGGAATGCGTTTACGCTGTGGGCTGCAAACCTAGATAGACTTCCCACTAAAGATAGATTGGTCCGTTGGGGAATGAATCTTAACCCAATGTGCGATCTCTGCTCCGTGCAGCCTGAAAGTAGAAGTCATCTCTTCTTAACTTGCGATTTTGCCTTGTTCCTTTGGCATCATGTAAGTGTAAGGTTAAACTTCCATCACCTCAGTTTCAGTTCCTGGGCTGAGCTAATTGCTTGGACTAAGATGAGAAACAAATCATCTCCGACAACCCTCAGGAAAATCGTGGTTCAAGCTGTGGTCTATGCAATCTGGAAGCAAAGAAACAACTTGCACCATAATCAGGTTTCTGTCCCGCCATCGGTGATCTTTAAGAACATTGATCGTGAGGTCAAGAACGCAATTACTGCCCGCAGATCCAGGAAGCTCTTCAAGAATCTTATGGCTCTTTGGATACGTTAGGTTCTGAACCTAAGTTGTAGCATTGTTATGTTTTCCTTGTTTTAATTTTTGCCAAGGACTCATATGTAAAGGTTGAAAAACCAAACGTTCATATCTATGATATTTGCAATTTAGCAAAAAAAAAAATATATCACAAGTAGAAATAGAGAATATATATATATATATATATATATATATTTTTTTTTCTTTGTAACAGGTTTTTTGTATATAAAAAGATGTCATATGGGTTTGTAAGTTTATTAATTTATAGAAGTAATATGGAGGAGTATCCGCCTCAGTTTTGAAGTCGTTCCATATATATGTTGTTAATCATACGTACGCTCTAAAGAGTTGTCAATTTCACTTGAATTCATAACATGGGGAATCATCATTTAATAAATAGTCATCAAAAATCACAAAGTACCATCAAGATTCTTTCAACATGCGGCATCGGGTAACAATCTTCCTGAAGTCATCCATGCTCAGCTGAAACCCCAAAATCAAAGAAGATCACAAATGGTGGTCGAGCATTAATAATAATATTTCCAAGAAGCGTTATACTACAACTTTCAAGTTACCATCTACCTTTCCGTCCTTATCCATGTCAAAGCAACGAATCATGTCTTGTAATTCCTCCTCCGTCCATGTGAAATCATGCATGGTTGCCATATTCGCCACATCTCTCAGAGTAATGAACCCTTTTCCCGCTTCTGCAATGCAAGGATGATCCAATACAGGCAGAGAGAGTCAGTGGAGTTAGAAACCCCATATGTAACCCCCAAAAGAAAAAAATGGAATAGAAAACTAGAAAGATTGGCAGATATGTATTTTACCATCAAACTGATAGAAGTAAATGACCAATTCATCATCCGTCATCTGCATTTTGCTCATATATTCCTAGGAACCAGACAACAGACTAGTTGAGGACAGGACAGAACCCTCTTAAAGACTGTTGATGAGTTGGGTAATAATTGATGTAAAAACAAACCGTTTTTTTCTTCTTCCAACTTGCAGAACCCTGATCGTTTCTCATAGTCTTGGTAGGGGTAGTAGTAGGAGAGCCTCCTGGAACAGAGTCCTGCAGAGAAAGCGCTATTGCCTGCAGTAGTAGCCAGATTGGAACAAAAAACAGATGTTAAAGTCGTCAACAAGTTAGAAGCAAAGCCAAATGCAGAGCATGGGAATGACAAAATACCTTCTCTAAGTCATCATCCGTGTCGTCGTCTCCAATGGGATCTGTTCTATCCAATTTTTTCTTAGAGAAGACTCTTGTCTTGGATGGGGAGGCCTTGTCCATCTTCTTCTTAAAATTGAAGTCAGAAGAAATACAGAGTAACAAAGAAGATTCAGAACTTAAGTAAGACCAAAATTTTGAAAAAGAAAGAAAAGAAAAGAACAAGCCTTCATCTTCATGGCAGAGAGAATAAGCCATCATTCACTACTCACTACTTCATTCATTCCAATAATAATAAAGAGTTGATTTTTTTGTACCTTTCTTTTACAGGTTGAGTTATCAAAAAAATCATCGTCATTGTCATAGTCATCATCATCATCATCATCATCATCATCATCATCGGGGGGTGTATAATCACAATCATCGTCTTCCTCAGGGGAACTGCGATTTGCTCTACGTTTTCGGGAACCCAGAGGAAGGACCTTTGCGGCGGATTTAAAGATGCCAAGAGCTTCCAATCTGGCTTTGTTCTCAGCGATCCTGGAGAGCCTCAGCTTCTCATACTCCGAAATCTTCCCCTTAGGCTTTGGTTCACGGCAAGGGTCAGATTCATCGCCGGAGCTCGCCGCCATTGAATCTATGGAGGGAGTTAGGGATTCGGTGGTTTCCCCGGTTGGGTTGGTTACTTTTGCCGCCTTCCTCCGATCCATTCCATTTATTGGGCTTTCAAATTATATTATATGGGCCTCCCTTTGAACTTTCTAAAATAACATAATTAAGAAAACCCAATAGCCCGCTATCACTTCTTTTTTTTTTTTTTCTGCATCTCTATATTAGTAAAAGAGAAGTACAAAATAGAATGCGGGTCGGGTCAAAATTAAAAAATTAACCCGATTGAAACAATTGGATACTTCAAAATTGGATATTAAAATGGATTCGGATACATACATCGGATACTTTCCATATCTCATTTTAGGATTATATTATTTCCATAAATAATTTTAGCATTTCCTAATATTTATCTAACTAATTTAATAGAATATATTAAAAACAATTATCATTCTTCTTTCACTTTTATTTGATCTTATTTTCAATTTATAATATTATACTAAATATGAAAAATGTTTAAACTTTTTTTAACTTTTTTCGCATATGTTGCAATTTGAATTTTTCAAAACGGACATATAATACTCAATTACACTCGGTTAAATATTTTGGACAATGATTTAAAATCATTATAAGTATGACCAATATTAAAATCATTGTTACATGAGCATATTTAAAATTTTAAAAAGTTTCAAAATATTATAATAAAAAGGTTCAAATATATAAAAAAATTAGATTTAAAATAGTAAAACTATTGTTTTCAATACATAAATGTAAATTTGGAGACTTAAGTTTTATTGATAAAATATTATATATCGAACTACGTAAATTTTAGATAGTTCACGGATAGTTTTCTAAAATCACAATTATAATGGTAAAGCGAGTTGTGAATAATGTTTTTACGATATGAATTATGTTACGGGTTGGTCCTTAAAAAAATATATTGTAGTATGTAATTTTTACGTCTATTCCTACTTTTACTACAAAAATGGTCAAACTGAATAATTTATCGATAAATATTATTTCGTGCTATAAAATTTTCACCCTTTTTTTAATTGTAGCAAAACTCAATATATTATTATTCACTCGCTTTTTCTTTTTATTATTTTATTTAAACTTATTTTTTTGGTAATCTATTTAAACTTATTATACAAATATATGATTCATTGTAATCGACTGCACTGTAACAAAATTAAAATTTAATATATTTTAATTCCATAAATTTTTTTTTTTAGTAAGAGATTAGATAAATTATTTTTAATAATCCGTTAAAATTTATATATAAGTAATTATTTCCCCCGCGCTATAGCGCGGGTCAAAACCTAGTATCTTTACATTTAACACATGCTCAGGAGACAGGAGCAAAATGATTTGTCGTTATAAATATAGCCCAAAATATATATGCACAGACTTTCAAGAATTATTAAGTATATATTTTGCTTTGTTTCTTCGCGTGGATGCATGTTTTATTAATGTTTTTTTTTTTCTTTTTTTGGGCGTACGTACGTAGTTGTAGCGATTTAATTTGAAACAAAAATACACAGCAAACTCAGAAATGGTATCCAAACTATAATTTTTGATTGGCCAGTCGACCTAGATATAACATATAGCTGAATTATGATACAAAAGAAGTAAGTTTCCACACACCTTTTGTCTGGTTATATAGAACATGCATGCATGAAGGAGGCTTAGGAGACGATCGACGGCGAAAGAGAAAGAGCTAGCGCAATGCATAATGTTGATCGGTGTGAATTACTTTGACTTTGCTATTTGCTACATACATATGATAATCCCCTACACCAACTTTCCCCTAGCTAGGGATGAACCCAACATTATTGTTTCTTTTATAATTATCTCAGTTTCCTTATTTTCTTTTGTCGTCAATATATTGTTTTATAAAAACGTCTAGCTAGCTTCTCTATAATTTCAAACAAACAAAATAAAAAATCTGTGTGGGGATGAAAATACCGCGTTGTTTATAAGCTGACTTGACTTGTAATTAGATAAAGCAAGAAAACAACAAAAAGAAAAGAAAATAAAAAGCCAAAAAGAGAAACACAAAATATTAAAGATAAGAATTAAGAAGAAAAAAACATGTAACGATTGATGATATTCTAGGACATGATCTAGATGAGTTTAGTTTGGTTTATATGTTTATAAAAACAGGCATGCATGCATATAGTGATATAGAGATGGAAGATAATTACACATATATATATGTACGTGCGTAATCTTCTTCTGTTCTGTGTATATATATGATCTAACATTAATAAATACTCCATATCTACATACGATGGTATGTTGAGTTTGCTTTTCTAAATATATATATATATAGACTAGGCAAAAAAAATAAAATAATAATAATAATAATAATAACTTGTAAAGTGAATGAGAGAGGTTGAGGAGAAGATATGGTGGGCAAGCTTGGCATCTACAAAAGCTGAGATAGAGATTGAAAGATCGTAAAGATTGAACCAAAAGCTTTGTCTCATTATATTAATTATTCAATAATAACATAAACACTACAGGTAAGAAAAGAATTTTGCTATATATAATATCAATTAAAAATAAAACACAGTTTTTTTTTTAAACTTTTGTTATGGACACAAAAAACACACCCATCATGTTCAGAGACCCTCGATCGCTCTCCACTTTAAATTAGTTATAACCTTTTATAGTGGGTCAGAATTACATTACGATATATATATATATATACTAATTATTACTCATTTTTTCAGGTTCAAATCTCTCTACATTCTATATGTACTATTCAAACACATTAATTTGGTAGTATGTAACCTGTCACTTTGGAATTTAATTAATCAACATTTTGTATTTATTGACTCTTACTTACATACATTATATATATAGCAAACTAATATAATTTCCTCTCACTATTCTAAAACTATATATGCATGGTGGTTATTTCGGTGCAGAACTTTGAGTTTCATCATTTTGCTTTTCGACACATAATCCAGAAAGTGACAACTTTTTTTTTTGATCACCAAAAGTGACAATTATATATCGGAAAATAAATAAACTCGTACCAATATGAATATAAATATGTAATTAAGAAGGATATGGTTGAGGTGTTTTCCGATATATGTGATATCGACTGTTCAAAAGTCCGAAAGTTTGTAAGAAATGAAGGACAACCACATAAGGTGATCTTATGTGATTATAAATGATTGTTCTTAAAATAGTTGTAAAGACTGAAGTTGTAAACTCTCGATTACATTTAGACTCAGATTAGATTTCATTCCTCTTATATATAAAAGACGATATTCTTAGGTTTTACGTTCATCTCGATTGGAGACCGAGACTACAACTTGTATTGCTGATTGATAGGTTATCCGTTTGTTGTTTTTCTCTGCATAATTCACATTTGGAAAATGGTTTGCCGCGATTTGTTTTTCAGTTTTACTATATGGATATCAAATGTGCGTGTTACGTTTAAATAATTAATATTGATCTCATCTCCCTCCTACATATATGATACGTAGTACCACTCTGAAAAGGATCGAGGATGCATGCATGGTACGATCCTATCGTCCGGTAGTTTTTCCTTGTATCATATTGATGCCAACGTCCAGAAACTAATAGTTGGAAGTTTTATTCGCATAACGTCATTGCAATATTCGTAGTGCTTGTGTATGTGGTTTATGATTAAAACGCAATAACAACTTATAAATAATAAAATATATTTAATAAAACAGTGGAAATTAAGCTGGAAGACAGAGAGATATTTAGTTCGTTAAAAGAGTCTGATTATAAAATCTCCCTAACTCCTAGGAGAGTCTTTCTTGGAGACAAAAGTACTAACTTATAAAAAGAAAACATATAACTCGATTAGTTGAAGGACAATAAAAGACACGAAAAGCTGCCTATTTTATCATCATTTTACTTTTTTATAAGCAATGAATAGCCAATTGTTGTTATTCGTTTCTTAAAGATATATAACACATATTATTGTAAGTTTGTAACCCAACCAAAAAAAAATAAAAAATGGAAGACAAAGAAAGGTGGATAACTTTTTTTTAATATGTATTGACCTTTCATATCAAGAGAAAGATGCTTCGATGCTCCATGCTGATATATCATGGTTTTTACGGGTTTATGGTCATGATATAAGTCTTATTTTATAGAGCTTTTCTAGTGTTTTCGAGTATTTTTGAGTCATTTCAGGATTAGGAACTATTTGGCATGGATTGGAGCTTTTTGGAGCTTTTTGGGAGCATTTGGAGAAGATGTGTCGAAGGAATGTACCGGGAAAGCATATTTGGTGTGAGTGTCGAGCGTCACAACTTCTGGTGTCGATCGACACCAATATCTGACGGAAATTGAATTTCTCGCTTAATTGAAGTTCAGAAGATTTGCAGATTCGGCCCAGAAGTTTCCCTTATTTGCAATTAAGCCCAGTTCGTGGTTAAGACATATATATTGAGTTTTTAGGGTTTTGTTAAGACTTAAGCTTTATTTTGGGAGAGAGAGAGATTTGTAGAGAGTGAGGAGAGAAGAATCAAAACCTCGTTCAGAGAAGATTCAGAACTCCTTTATTTCTTCTATTACTTTCTTTTATGATATCTATTTTATTCATGATGCTTGTTTCATTCACCATGTCTGAGTAGATCTCTTGTTAGGTTTAGGGTTTTCAAAGGAATTCATGAATTGTTAGGTTGTTAGATTGTTAGGATTTAATCAGTAGAGTTCTTCATCTAGATTGTGGTTAATTTGTTCTAGAGTAGTGAAAGCAACCTAGAATCTGATCTTAGGTTAATTGGTAGACACGAAAGTGTTATTGATTTCCTGAAAATAATCTAGATGAGCAGAATACCTATTCGCAAAGAGATTTGGTTTAGGGATTTTGTGAACTTATCAAACCTAAATTAAATGCATGTCTTAAACTTATAAATTTGCAAAGAGATTTGGAATTTAGGGTTCTAGACATAGATAGTCTTTGCAACGAAAGTTGATTGATTATAATTTTGTGATTTGAGTTCAAGAACGGTGCTTTATAAATCCTGACAATTATTTATTTGCAATTCTGAATTTCTGAGAATATCCCGAGCCTAGCGTTTCCTCATTATTGTTTTATAACCAATCTTTATTTTAATTTGCTGTTTTTATTTGATTTAAAACCTGCTTACTTAGCTTAATTTAATACCGAATATTTATTGTGTAATCTTTGAGTCTCTGTGGATTCGATCCCTAAGTACTACATTGATCTCTTAATTGAGAGAGTAGCTCAGGGCAAATTTGAGCCGATCACATGCTGCCATTTAAAAAATATAAAATTAGACACAATATAGTAAAATATAGTAAATTTTTCTGGAATGTATATATTTGTGTGTATTCAGATATCTCGAGGAAAACACAAAATATATAGTTTTGATGTCTTGAGTATTTGTTATCTATAAACACCAAAATACAATAGGAACTATTTTATGTAGTTTACAAATAAAATACAGTCGATCGTATCCAAGAGTATATCAATTAGATGATTTCCTAGGAACCACTAGAATATTGATTGAATGGTAACATACAGGTGGAAAAGTAGTTAATTATGAGATTAGATCCTAATGTTGTGAGATTACATCAAAAGTAATAAAATTTTTAGTAAAGTCTAATATATTTTTTGCTAGACCTCCTCTGGACCAGTCAACGTTTCTTCTACATACCGTCGGCGGTCGGGTTTTTAGTGGGAGCAAGAGCGCGCGTGACCAAAGACTTTAGTTGTGTTCTTCCACGTTGGCATGTGTATATGTATAGATCTAATCTACTACAGTACATTAGTTTGTTGACAAGAAACTGAGCCGTTGATCATCTCTCACAGGGAAACGACACATATGGTCGTGGTGCCGTACACGTGTTAGAAAAGACCGATCACGACCGTTCTTCGGTGGTACCTGCTTCAGGACACGGCTTTACCTGTCGAAAAACTCAAAGGACTATTAACTATTTCAATCACAGACTCCAACCAAGGCTTATTACACAAGAGACAATACCTTACTGCTCCTTGTCATATGTTTCACTTTACAACCCTGTTTATATTATTATTAATTTAATAACTAAAATCTTTGTCTTCTTTACCTCTATTTCTGCAACTCTTATTTTTTCTCCTTTTTTGCTACTCTTATTAGGTGATTGGTTCTTTTTTGCAACTATTTTGTGCAACTCTTATTAGTGTCTTTTTCGATTTTATGCTTAGTTGATTGGTTCTTCGTATATATATATATTTTTAATGAAATATTTCTGTAGAGAAATGCAGTTAATCTGTAAAGCGAATGGCCGCATTATGTATGTAAAGTAATGCGTATGGACCATTTAATTTAGAAGAAAAAAAGCAAACCTTTGTTTCTACAAAAAAAATATATAAATATAGAAACGGCGCACACAAAAATAAAATGTTATTGTTATTGTATTGTGGACCAAAAAAAAAATTATAATAATAATACAAGAAGACCCATGTGACATCATGGAGACATCTGTATGTTGTTATATATAATATAAAGAAAAATAGACCATCGCAAAGACACAAACCACTTTAATTTTCAAATAAAATATTATTTTGTTAACATTTTATTCAAAAAAAAAAAGACACAAACCACAACAAAACTCTCTAAGCATTATATAATCATAAATATATATATATATAAATCACAATAATGAGCGAGCAGTAGCTTTCTGCCTCGCATCAAAATCATCACCCATTCATTTCTTTTTAGATTATTTATGACTACAAAACATAAAAATTTGAGCCGACCAACCAAGGCACCGCAATGATACTGGATTTGTTTATGATTTTTAAGTGTGTTGAATTATCACACAATTAACTAATTAATTATTCACTCACAAATTTATACTAATATATTTTTGTGAAACCTAAAAGAAAATAAAAAATTGAATTAAAAATAGTGCCATCGCACTGATCCAAATAAAAAATCGGAAACTAAAAATATGTCATTAGAAATCAATTGATTTAGATAAAAGAAATGTTTTAATATGTAATTTGAATCTCCGGCGGAGTCAGGAGGAGGAGGAGCGACATCGCCAGGCTGAAACCCCGACGAGTTCTGTCCTTTGCCAACATAAGATAAGAGAGTTATGTTTCTTCTCGACGTGAAAGCCTCTCACCGGCGTCCGTTGGACCAAACACTCCGCCTGAGACTCCGTGAAGTTACTGTGCGCCACCGCCGAGAACCCCATCTGCAAAAACATTGCTTGCCACGTCATCGTCGGCCTTTCCATCGGACGGCTACGATCCATCACGAGCTTCTCTATCTCCGGCTGTATCAGAAACCTCTCGATCTTCTGCATTGCTTCGAGGTTGGCGTTGACGGCGTCGAGGGATTCCAGGAGGGCGCCGTGCGAGTGCAGCGAGTGGGCCAGCTGTTGCGGGAAGGGCAGATCCGTCCTCTCGCATCCTCTGTCGGAGCAGACGATGATCGTCGGAGATAAATGCTTCACGAAACGGAGGACCAAAGGCAGGTGCGAGAAGGACGCGGCGGAGATATTGACGGCGACGGCTTCTTTCTCCGACGCGCTAGGCCACGAGATAGAGCCGAGGAGGTCTAAGCTGAGAACTTGGATGTCGAGGGAGATGTTGATCTCAGAGGCGAAGTGCTTGAGATTGTCCTGAGTGAAACCAAGTTCGAGCTGGTCGTGGCTCGCCGGAGAATCGAAAACGGTGATCTTGAGGGAGAGGGGAGCGGCGTTGTCGCGGAGGACGAGCTCCTGCATGAGGGAGGCCCATTGGCCACCGTAGCCGATGTCGAAGTCGACGATGTGGAGGCGGTGGAAGCCGTGGAAGGACTCGAGGAGGGCTTGGTTGGAGGTGAAGTTGGCGAACTGGAGAACGGGAGAGATCTCGGAGAAAGATTTGTAAGCGGCGATCTTGAAGATGAGCGAGTAAGGGTTTAGGGTTTGGGAGACGTTGTGGAGGAGATTGCCGAGAGCCTCTTTGAAGTAAAAGGCTGCTCTTTCCAAAGGCTTGCCGACGGGTGAAGAGAGCTGTTGATTGAGCCGCGCCAATATCCCCTGAGCTAGACACGTGTCCCCGCCGCTCTCCATAACCTCTGCTGCCTTAACCAGCTGCTCCGTTATCCCCATGGGGCCTGGGTTGAGCCGCTTTGCCGGTGGATGGCCGTAGTAGATGGCCGCCGGATTCTGTGTGTAGTGAGTCTGGCTTTGGTTGATCAGAAGCGGTGGAGCTGAGTGGTGGTCTAAAGCGAATCCGGCGTCGACGACTCCGAAACCAGGTGGTGTGTAATCAGAGTCTGGAAAGGTGGGAGACGTTTGGAGGATGGTGTTAAGCTCAAGAGAGGGATCTGTGGAATCTCCCATGATGAGTCTGAGAATGCTCTGTTCGTGGTCATGGGGGGTTTGCTCCCAGTCACCCAGCACAATCTGTCCGCATTGCTCATCGGTGGTGGCGTCGCAGCCGCCTCCGATGGCGCTGTTACCGCCGTGAGAGGAAGACACCGTGGAGGAGGAGGTAGGGCTTCTGAGGGCGTCCAGAACAGAGTTAGGCTCCGGAGCGGGAACTTGGACTTCTTCTTGCCCACCTCTGGATTTGCGGCGGCTCAAAAGGGGGGAGGGCGGTGGTTGGGAGAAGGAGGAAGACGAGAAAGAAGAGAAATAAGAAATCCCCTTCCCTTGAAACTCTTCAAAGGGTAAGAGCATTGCAGACTTGCTCTCGATACCTTCTTCTTGGTCTTCTTCTTCTTCTTCTTCTTCTTCCTTGTTGTGTCTTGTCTTGTGGTGTGGTATATTTTGGATGCGTGCAAGATATTAAAGTGGCAAAGTGGGCTTCTCTCTTTCTTTCTCTCTCTCTCTCTCTCTCTCTATTCCCTTTTCCGTTTCTTGTTTTGCCTTTGCAAATTTTTTTAAGTATTTAATAGCAATTTTAGTATATTGATGGATGAACATGAGAGCTTCCCTTTCACAACTACAACAATATTGTTTCATCTTTGCTTTCTAAAGCCAACATTGTCTTCTGTTCCAACCCCAATCTCACATCGCGCGCGTGTCTTTGCAACGGAGAGGACTTGGACTATATTTTCTTTTACTATCGTTGTTCTCTAGCCCTAGTGATCGATACAGCACTAATATTTGAATCAAGTTGGCGTGAACATGTTTTTTTTCATGAGTAATTTCCTTTTCCAGACTATCAATCGTCGTGCAAAGTTTAAGAATTAATAAGTAATACTCCGTTCGATGTCAAACAAAAAAAACTTCGATAGAGTTTATAAATCTTGATCGTCGGGTTACAGTCATGTGCATAAGTCTGCCAATAGAAAAATGGACATTTTGATTCAATTCACTCCAAACATTATCTGAACCGGACTGTTTCTCCAAGCCAAGGGGGGAAATTTCGAAAATGATATAATTGAACGGCTAATAACAATAATGTTTATACACAAAGCTACGTGTGGCTATATGATCGACCAGGATGTAACTAACACGATTTTTTTTTTTTTTTTTTTTTTTTTTTTTTCATTTTGGCCTAGCTAGTGTAGCCACAAAGATGATTAAATAAATTTATTTACAATACAAAAAGTATTTCCATGTTTGATGTTGTACCGTGTATGTTTGCATGTCACATACATTGAGGATGTTTATGTTTTCTTGTAATTTGTTTTGTTTTCATATATTAAACTTTGTGGTTTACAAACTGTATTTGGGGATATTGTTTTGTTTTATTTATAGTCTTGTTTTTATCTCAAAGGTGCTGTCCTTATTTCCTTGTGTGTGTGTGTGATCTTTGTCATCATAATATCAATTGGGTGTTTTAGAGTTTGGAGTCAAAACTTTGGACGATCGATCATATCAAAAGAACCAATCCATATTGTAGAAGCTAAGCAGCGCTAAACCACACGTATATAAGAGTGTGCTTGCTTGCCTTCACTAGTTAGTTTTGTTTCTTGATATGGACATTGATTTAGCCGACTAGGTCATACATAAATCTAAAGTCTAAACCAAGTGGTGAATCTATTTCCTGGAATTGCATAAGAAAAAATATCTGTTTCATTTTCTTGTTTTTTAACGAAAACGAATTATCCTATACCAAGTGGTGAATTAATGTTATAAGTTAAAGAATAATATATATATATATATACACTTTATTTGGTTCATCTTTATTGAGAGAAAAAAAAAAAGTGATTAAAGATCTGTGAATGAGGTTTCTTATGTGACAAGTTAAATGCACGAGACGAGAGTGATTGAGAAATAACGAGGGATAGTCCTTTATCGAGCAGACAATGGATGAATGTAGCAAGTCACCAATCACCATATATATATCTACCAATGGAAATACCCTAAATATATCCACAAATGAATAAAATCAATCAGAAACAACAAAAATAATCTATTAAAACAAAAAAAAAACAAATGAGAGGTGGGTGATCAATTTTGTAATGAATACCGACAAATGCTTAGTTTTCATTATACGCAAAATGAAAAAGCATTTATTTTCTTATGCATGCAAATTGCACACCATTTCTTATGCGGAGTATGCAAAAAAAAAGAAAAAAGCACAGTATTCAGTTTAACATTTTTCCTGTAAATACATGCATCAACACATTTCAAAGTCTCAAGATATATTATATATCAGATGTAGTGGATATGTTAAGAGGATACTGTATATAGTTATGTGATAGCTTCGTGGGGATGAAGTAAGTGGTGAAAACATGTTCTTTTCTCTTGTCTCAAGGCACCCACCCACCCTTCATCAGAAGCAAACACCCAACCCCACTCAGTTGGATAGTAATGAGAATTATACATTTATTATATATATACAACTCTCCAAATCGTTTTAGAAATATTACAGCTTATTTTTATATGAACAGAAATCATGATTTGCCATCATTAGAGGAAGAAACCAAAAAAAAAAGTCAGCTAAATATATTATAAATTAAAAATCCTATTAAACAAATAATTAATCTATATAGGGGATGAGGTGTTAGAGTTTGTATGCATGTAACTATAAAAATGATTTTGCGTCGTCGTTCTTTTTTGTATTGGATTTTAGGATAATGATTGGATTAAACAAAAGTTGATCAATTATTGTTATTAGGACTTAGGAGATCACATGGGGCTAATAGGAAAGATAGACAAGATCTCTTCTATCTCATTAGACCCAAAGTTACAATAATTATGATTAATAAATAAACCAACCAAGATCGGCCGTAAGTAATTAACAATACACCACCACAATATTATAAAGTTGGTAAGGACATTTCTCCTCCTAAATAAAATAATACTATTCTTTACTGCTTCTTTAATCATTTATCTTATGTTTTTAAGATATTAGCTAATCTAACCCTCATTTTGACAATGACAGCACTTTATCACCAAATTACACACTAAAAATTTTACAATCCAGTCTCTTCGATATTTTGTTTTCAGTAATATAATTATGAATGTAAAAAATCCCAACTTCTGTTGGTCTCGAACCCGGCCCATATAGTTGAGTCTGCATCGTGCAGTTCAAATTACCACACATTTAGTCCATAGGAGGCCCAAAATAAGAATTGATAAAGAAGGACAAGTTAGAGATGGTCTGATCATCGTCTATAACTTATTGCATTTGTTACTACTCTCAATCTTTGTATTCGATCGATTTGGTTATCTGTAAGAGTCCTCTCACGCACGATAATTTTTAACCAAAACATATAACATCTTCTTTTTTTTTTTGCATCAAATTCAACAGTACAGAAACAATCATTTGACATGATATGTAATAATAATTGGGTTCAAGATCAATTAGCAGACGAACCCCTTAGGAACATTCTTGCCACAAGAGTTGAGAACCAGACTGAGAGCAACAGGAACTTTGAGCGGAGAGACTCCGAGAAGGCTGGTTTTAAGGGCAGTGCAGAGACAAACGGCGGCTTCAAAGTCAGCTAAACCTTTGATGAGTGAGCAACACTCCTTGCTCGGTGGTGTGCCGATGACCTCATAAACCAGACCTAACCAGCTCCCACACACTCCAAATTTGAGCGTGTCCCTTGGACATTTCATGGCGGCTTGTTTTGCGGGAGGGGGAGGGCATGACTTGACGGCTGGAGGGGGAGGGCACGGCTTGGCGGTGGCTCCCGGTGCAATGTGACCAAAGAAGAATGTTATGTTGAGGAGCAGCAAGATGAGAAGCCATAGCGAAGCTTTTGAGGTACCCATTAGTTTTATCTTGAATCTATGGCTATGGGATACCGCTAAAGAAGAAAAAAGAAGAGAGGCCTCAACTATACTTTGATTTCTTTTCTTTGTTGGTGGATTTATCATTGTGGCTTTGTGGCTGCAATTGTTTGTGTTATCTCTATAGTTTGTTTCAAGGTCTTTTGTCTTCTTCTCTTAATTTGATATCTTGGGAAAATCTTTTCCGATCACTCAGAAATTACAGTTGTTGCTGTTCGACAACGACATATAGTCATCATATCTTTGAAAATATAATATCTGGTAGCTTTTTTATCCATGGCGAGATTTAAGGAGTTGAGCCTTGGAGAAAAAGTTAGAAGGAACACATAATTAACCTGTAAGTAAAACCCCTTGGAGAAGAAGCAAAGGATAAATAAAAGACGTCGCTCTATCTATCTATATATATTAGAGAAACCCCAGTGGTCTTCTTAAGACGATAATCTAAACTGGTGGGTAAAACAGAATGGGGTTGATAAGAAGCTACTTCTCCTTCGTCTGCGGAACCATCAGCGGGATTTATATAGCGCAGAGCTACAACGTTCCAAACATAGAAAAGGTGGGTCAAACAGTTTACACCATGGCCAAGCAGATGGAAGAGAGATACCGTAAGACAACGACCAAGTCCAGGGAAGATTTCCAAGACGACTAAATAAACATATGCTACTGTCTTCTATTTTCCAGTTTGTATGATAAATTTGTTATTTTACTTCCAAGAACATTCTTTGTTTTCTTGATGAATCTGATTTGATTCCAATCATAACAACACGATTCTTCATATCTTACTACAGCGTCAAAAGTGTGCTTATAAATCAATAACAGTCACAAAATCACCCTGTTCCTGAGCTACAGCTACTGATTTTACAGCTTAAAAATAATTTTTTTTAAAAAAAAACAACTCAGAATTTTAAGAAATCTCTGGTCAAAAATATATATATTTTTCTTTTAAAATAATAATAAAAAATGTTTAGAACTTTGGAAGAATTGATGATTGAGAGGACGATGAAGCTAACCCCACAGAGTCTATGTCCGGTTGAAGATGTAGCCAATAAAGCAACCAAGCAGACCAACCAGCAGCATCAACGCCAAGGAATGACCGCCCGACTGCTTCGTGCTCGATTCTCGCCTCAGCAATTCCTGAGGTGCACAATTCCTTTTATGAAGGAAGATTTTATAACAAAGTAGATTGAGCAAGTGAGCTTGTTTCAGCGCGTACCAGTTCCTGTCGAAGCAGCTGACTTTGTTGGATAGCACTAGTTTTCTCCTCGGTCAATTTGGAAATCATGGACCAAGCCTGAGGCAATACAATGGTGGTGAGATTATAGAAAGAAAGAGATGCAAACTAGTAATATAGAGAAAGGCAAAAGAAAGAATGTGATGTAACCTCAGAAGATTTCTCATTTGTCTCTTCAAACGTTCTGGACACCTGAAACAAGAACAAGCATATGAAAATTCGGAAACGGGGATATACTAGATAGATAGATATATCAAAGAGAAAAAGAAGAAAACAAACAAACGTCATCAAAAAGAGAGGTAGATTGAGAGGCAATGTCGTTGAGGGAAGGCCTAGGAGAGTTGCCTTCTTCAGAACCTTCAGGGACGGGTGAAGGAGGATTGGCAGGGATGTAAACAACCCGCAATTTGAAATCCTCAATAACTCGACCCGCCTCCTTGGTGAACTGCAAGGAAGAAGAAGAAGAAGAAGAAGACGCACCAACAATATCAATTAAAAGAAAAGAAAGGGCAAAGCTTTGAGTGAGATTCGAGAGAGAAGGAGAGACCATTTCAGCGAGGACATCTTTGGAAGTAGTACCATCAGAGACAATAACAGTCTGAACAAGGAACTTGTCTTTGCACTGCATATCAAGAGGTGCCTCTTTCTGGGCTTGCATCGTCACTGAAACATTTTTTATTAAAAAAGTAAACAACAATTTCTTAAAACCAACACCAGTAGACACAAAGACCAAAGGAGAAAAACCTGTAACATTGCAGGAATCACCGGGTAAGACAACACCGGTGTTCGGACGGACACAGTACTTGCGAGGATTCGTTGTTTTCACCTGGTTTCATTTCTTATTTTTGGTGAGTGTTTTGTCACCAGAACAAACAAACAAAACAAAAAAAACAATGATCTATCAAACAAAACAAAAAAAAAAAGGGGCAAAGCAAGATCTGCTGCTCTGAAGGAAGACCTTAAAAGCGACACATTGAGTAGTCTTATTGGTCAATTGCATCGAACACGAACTTTGCTTCTTCAACTCAACTTCACACCCCAAAACCAAAAATGAGAGAATACATTTTTTAATCGGAATTCCAAAATCGAAACCGAAAACCAAAACATCAGAAGAAGAAGGAGAGAGCTTACAAGGGAATTTGAGCTCTGTAGGATGGATATTCACCAGATCTCCGGTTGTCATGATGAATTGATGATCACCCCAACCCTCAACCCTCACGATTTTTCTTTTTTGATTTAGGGTTTGTGAAGGTTGTCTCTACTTTACAATTACAAAAGTTTTGATTTTGATCAGAAAGGAAGACGATATCAATTAACACAAAAACTAAAAAAAAAAAGAGATATTGAGAGCCAAAAATGGTATAAAAGTATTTTTACTGTGTGTAGCAGCTTCATCTTTATTCTATTTTTATTTTTATTTTATTTATTTTTCTTTCTGTTTGAATAGATTGTTTATGACTGAAATAAGCCCAACAGCAAAAACAAAGCCCATCATAATATATTAAGTTTTATCATCAGTCTTATGTCACTTTTTTATTGGGTTTCATAAAGCCCAATGGGTTCCATCAGTCTTTGTCACTTATTGGGCCTCGTGGCTCGTTATGCATTTTCCCTTCTTCTATTCTCGTTTCTTTTTTACCTAGAGTATTTTTTAGAATTCTTTTCTTTCCCCCTTCTTTCTTCCCCATACATATATTAGTTTGTTTTATCAACTTCGAATTTGATATCATCATCATCATCATCATCGTCATCAATTCATCATCATCATCATCATATATATATATACATATAGTAGTAATAAAAAAAAAAAGACATTTTCATATATACAACAAATGCATGTATCGGGGTGAAGCCTTTAGCTAACTAGCTTCAGCCTTAATTACTACATACTCACTCAGACTCGGTACTGCTTTCTTTCATTCCAATGCGAACAAATTAGCTCCCAAGATTAAAAAGCGAAAAAGTTTCCTGATCGATCGATTATCATCAACATCATAATAAGTTAAGTTTTGATAGAGCTGAAAAGTAGCCACAATATATAAATAATTTGAAGCAGAAATAGAAAGATTGGAATTGGGGAAGTAGCAGCAGAGGGAGGGTAGTCTGGTCCTAATTATAAGGCAAAGGAGGAGGGTAGCATGCACGTAGTTAATTATGGGTAACCCCAACATTGGCAGCTGAGCCGTAGAACCCTTCTCTACTTGATCCCATCATCACATCCTCTCCTTCCTAAACAACAAAAAGACTTCTCTTGTATTAGCTTAGCTTTTTTTTTTTTTTTTATGATCGATCGAGAACCTCTTGATTATATTAGTATATATATGTCAACATTATATATACATATGGTAACCTACCTGTTGGCGCACGTTAGCCTTCTTGGTTGGAGGATGATCCGCCATGAGACCAAAGTGTATGTGAGGGAAATGAGCCCACTGTTTCACCACATTATATAGGATATGTATATTTCTGTTACAAGTACTGCTCAAATTGGAACTATATAGTATAGATGAATAGATATATGCTAAAGATTTTATCTTATAATAAAAAAATAAACATTAAAACTGGTCAAAAATATACGTCAAACCAGCCTAATTAAATGTATATTGCTCTTGGGGACTTTACTGAACGAAACCCTAGAGAGTAGATTCTGAGGCTAGTAATTCTAGATAATGGAATATATGCATGATAGCTGGACAAAGCTTATAGTTTTAATAATCAGCAGTAAAGTACATATATAGTAGTAGCTCCACAATTCATATATCAGTTTAATGTATTATTGAAGTCGTCATATCGAGTAAGTATAAGTAGACAGTGTATCCAGCATACATATTACATACTCGTTTCTAATCTAATATGTATGTTTAATTTATGCACATAGACAGACTATAAATAGAGCAAAAGAGAAAGAAAAGAGTAAAAAGAAAGAGAGAATTAAAAGTGTAATAGAAAGAAAGAGAGAGAGAGAGAGAGAGAGAGAGAGAGAGATGTACGTTTTTGGCAGCAGCACTGAAGGCCTCTCTGTGGCTGATATCAGGGTTGCCTGCCTTTATACGTTGGATCTCCTCCCTGTCGAAATTTATTAAAATATCTCTCTCTGTCAGTCACATCATTCTTCTCTTTGGGCCAAATTGGTTTAATTTAGGAAATGATGATTCAGTTATCTCCTTATTAAAAAGCAAATTAAGGAATATATACTATAAACAACACAATTAATTAACTACTCACTTGATAAATCGGTTGTAAGCAGATGGTACTCTTTGTCGCTTCTCCGGGGCTGCTTTTCCACAAACAAACAAACACAACATAGTCAAAATATAAAATAAAAATTTTAAATCCAAAAACATTATTTATATATTGTGCCTCCCCAAAATCTATTTTAATTATTAAAAAAAAAACTCAAAAACAAAAATAATTCAATAAAGATAACGCATCTCTCTCTCTCTCTCCCTCTCCCTCTCACTTTGCTCGTTATCATCATCACTTCATCATTATCTTTTTTTTCCTTAACGATCTATCCGCTCCAAACATCCATTGGCGTCTAATAGGTATAGCTAGATTTCCGGGGGATAATTAACATCATATGACTTTTTCATTTTTTTTTCCTTTTCTCCACGAAATTGTTTTCTCTCCCCCAAAAAGAAGAAAAGAAAAGATATGCATGTCTGCGGAACCCAAAATGAAATCAAAACTTAGCCAATCCAAAATGGGAGAAATAAAAACACAAACGAGATTCATTCTTTTGGGGTCTATGTATGAAACGAAATACGAAATTAATGGATAGGGTTTTTGTGAATTTATTAGGGTTTGTTTTCTTTTTCTATGTGTTCTTGGTATGATGGAGATCAGATGCTGAAATATAGAATAAAAGATGGAACGTTACGTCTATTGGCTGGTGGTGGCCGAGGCATCTCCTGCAGATGATGATCCACTCTTCCGTTGCGAGTCCCCATTGCCAAAGACTCGTTTGGGTGGTGAGCTCCACCGTGATGATGGCTCATTATCATGTTCATGTTTATATTCTGCCCTCCGCTTCGCATCTCCTCCTAACCAAATGAATATATCATGATTACTATTATAAAAAAACTTATAACAAGCTAGTAAACCAAACTTGTTTGATTTGTTATATAAACCCTAGCCATTCCCATTGCGGATTGTCTGTATGCAACAATTAAGGGTATCCATGATTTTAAAATCTAGCATGTAATGCTAACCAAATTGAACGTTTTTGGATTGAGTTTCACAATTATGCGTTTCTCGAATAGCCCTAGTTTTTGTATTGAAAAAAAAAAAAAAAAAACCTAGTTTGTTTGGATGAATAAAATTGAGATGTACCAAAAGATTGGGGGGAGGAGGAGGAGTAGGAGATATAAAAGAATGGCCAATGTTGGAAACGGAGGGAAGAAGAAGAGCTCTCATGTTCACAGCGACCGACAAAAGATTTGAACAGTGTCCGCATCTCACCGTCACCGTCTTGAACAAACTACTCGGAGGAACACTCACCTGCCCACATCACACATTAATTCATTAATGTGAAACCCTAGTTAGCTAGCTAGAGCTAGATTAATAATTGATTCCATATATATTGAGATAAGAATACGAATATACAGCAAGGACAGTGTCGCAGAAGTTGCAATGGACGTAACAGAGCTGGTCCGAAGATGAGATGTGGTCCGGTGGATAAGCTGGAGCTGAGGAGGACGACATGGACATGCTCGACATCGACTCTTTCTTTTACTTTTCTTTTCTTTTTCTTTTTCTTTTTTTTTTTGTGAAACAAAAAGGGGTAAGAGAAGGGTTTGATTTGATTGAAAAGATATGACTGATCGATAGAGAGAAGTAGATCCTCCTTCCACCACACTTTTTGACAATTGTGTGAGTGTTGGGTGATGAGCAGTACCTTATAAATGTTTAGTACTTCTCCAGAAGTTGAAGCCCAGAGAGAGAGAGAGAGAGAAGAGAGAAAGAACGGTGGAGAAAGTAGAGGAAGATGTGGTTTAGAGAGAGAGAGATTTTCTATTTATGTAAATATGAATTGGGACACTGTGTACCTAAAACAAAATGGCGACATGTGATGTGAAGACTGAAGAGGCCATTGTAGAGATAAGCTGCTGCGTACCTGCATTTTCATTTAATTTACTACCTTTTGAACCGCGATTTTTCTTTTTCTCATTCCAATCCATCCTCTATACATTTTCTTCTATTGGACCGGAACTTGTCATTATTTCTATAGAACCATATCTTTTTTTAAAAACAAATGTGATAAGTTAATGAGATTAAGATCTCATAAAAATCTAATGAAACCAGAATAATTGAAAGGATTAGCTATTTAGTTAACCAAACATGTATAGCTGGTCGGTGCGGGATAAATTTAAAAGATTTCAAAGTTTTAAAACGACATTATTTGTGCTGCATCAAACATGTATTACATACGACAAAACATGTTAACTTTTTTTCTTTCTTATCAACTATTTAAACCGTATATAAAGTGCAAACAAACAAAACCTCAATTTGGCAATTAATGTCGTGACACACACATGCGTAGAAGATTTAACCATATATATAGCAATTAGGGTTAGGAGTTCAATTGAATATATTAATGTTTGAAAATCAGAAACAATCTAATGATTAAACATTAATTGTTAAGTCTGGAGATGAAGATTAACTAATGATTTGTAGCTTGTTTAAGCAGTTGTTTGTTACATGGGTTGTGTCGCACGACGCACCTGCGGTAACACAAAATATATATACTGTATATCAATATTAGAATTTAAACCTCAGATAATTAAAGAGGAAAATATATATATAAATAAGGTTGGTGTTGTTTTCATAGACCTAATAAAAAGCAGGAACTTGAAACTTGAATGAGTGGAGTGTGCTTTGGTGCAGTATCTCAGAAAAACCCTTGGCATGCATTTTACACCCAGAGAGTTAACAGTAGTCATATAGATGTGCTTTTGTTATTACATGCACATACACTGGCAGTCATGATCATCTAAGTCGTGTGCGTATTGAGGTCATTATACAACTAGTCTTCTCCGCAAAAAGAAGAAGTTTAAGTAAACGAAGTGAAGTCTAAAACTGGTTTATACGGTTTGAATTGAAAAAAAAAAGAATGACGCAAAGTTCGATGAAGTGGGAGAGAGAGGGAGAGGGGAAAGGGACTTGTGCATGGAAGTGATTAAGCAAAGGCTCATTCATCAGTTGTTTTCACACTTAATAGCATTTCTGCCACACCACTCTTTCCCTCGATCCTCGTCAATTCCATGCCCCTTTCTTTCTTTCTTTATTATATACTTCTCTATATATCTATATATTATTCCTATGTTATGTATATCATTTTGTCATCATTATTTCAATTCACCCGCAAGTGTGTCGTGTGTGTGTGTGTGTGGTTTCACTAAATTCCATAATACATGCAGGACCACCATTTTTGGTGGTAATTTCCCCAGTTTTCGTGGTAATTATTAGGTCATATACACTGTGAAAGTCAAAATTATATCTACATATATACATATTCTGAAATTATCTTGATCTTTTTTTTTTTTTTTGTATTGTTTTGTTATTATATATTATGTAAATTCCAATAGAGAATATATACGTTTTACAAGATATTCGTAAGTCAAATACTATCGCATATATATATGACATATATTGATATATAGTATTGAAACAAATATAGTAGTAGTAATTTAATTTCAACCCATGGTAATAGAGTTTTAATAAAATAAAATATTCCATTCATGATAGTCTATCAATATAATATAATTGGCTCAACGGTTCATCATATATAGGATTGATGGATACTTTTTATAAAATTACGCATGTTAATTAACCATATTTACCGTTAAAAAGATCTGGTGATACTATAAGTTAAGTAGAGATTAGTTTAGGTTTCACAAAAAAAAAAAAAAAAGGGTAATGACATAGCAAGTGAAATAAAACTACTTATTAATGAATGGAATGGAATGGAGTGAAAGACAGAACATTAAAATGAAGGACGACACAAGGCGTCGAAGTTGACTAAAAAGATGAAAGTAATAAATCGCGAAATAATCACACGGTAAGTAACGGAAAAATTAAAGCAAAAAAGGTTGAAGAAGTTTAAGAACACATACACTGTTTTGTTTTTCGAGATTTGACCATTCATATATATCTCAATCTACCTTACACATATATTTGTGTACAGAGCTAGCTAAGCTAGGCATGTATAGATTGTCAGCAACGACGGACCGACAGAGATCTCTTTCTTTTTTATCTTACTTTTAAGACACTTTCTCCCTCTTGTCCAGCTTTGTTTTTTTTTCCTAAATATTTTTTTATAGGTCTGAAAATAAACAGATTTAAAAAAAAAAAACTGTTACGACAGAATAAATATTTATATATACAAACTTTTGCACCGCCTGAATGGGGTGAGAGATGGAGCTGTCATTTCTCACACAAACACTTTGGAAAACAATCAACATCTCAGTGTAGTATATACATCCACATTGCACGTGTATGTGTCTCTCTCTCTCTCTATTTTCATTAACATTCCCGTTTCTAGCCACTTTCATTCGCCGTGCCACGGTTTTCAATTTCTGTCACTAGGCATCATATGATCTTTTCAAGACCTCTCTAACAAACCAGAACGAACTTATTTACCTACTGAAATTATAACAACATTCTAACTTGTTCATGCTCCAAACAAAAAAAAATCAAAACTTAACTAACTTCTGTCATTTTTGACAAAATTATAGTATATTACACTGGAATTGACATAATCACCATTCAAACATTGAGTTGATCACCAAAGTTAATATATAAAAATAAGAAGACAATATATTGTTAGGATAATATTTTCTTCATTAACAGATGAGCAGATTCTGTATATAATTCCTTGTGACAAAGAGAGAAAAATTGATTCTTACAATTTTAAATGCCAAAAAGCCTTACATATAAGTATAACTACAAATATTCTGATCGTATAAGGACTTTCGTAATATATTATAAGACTAGACACAGTCGTCTAACACATGCCTCAGACGCTTTAGATATATAAGACTAGACTACAACCATTGTTTTTTCGTAAAACTGTTGTAGCTAAGAGCATTTTTATTCGAAGGACCTATATTAACACAGTGTTTTATATCTTATATACAAAATACTGTGTTAACATATTTTTCTCAATTCTAAGATCCTTCCAATAAGGATGCTTTAAGTGGTTGGATTATACAATGATTTCTTTTTGTATATATTGATAGCCATTAGAAGTGTCTTACCTTCTTCTGCCTCCAAAGCCAAAACTTTTTTTTTTTCCAATGCGAAAATGTTGCCACACTTGTAAACCAAGATTCGGAAAAATATATATACCAAGATAATCTCTTGAATTTTCCATCCATATATTAATTATATTGGCTACCAGGCAACTATCATTTTGCGGCAGATGTTCTAACTAAGCCACTGTTGATGTTCTTAAGGTCAAGATTGGAATATCTATATATATACTCCATCATGAGGATTCACATATTATTAATGTAGAAGAGATTTTATACATTTTTCATATTTCTTTTGAGCGTTTACATAGGAATCATGTATCTTTTTTTTTTGAGGAACAAAGGGAGCTAGTAGTTGATAATAAAACAAAATAAAACGAAAGGTTATAATTTTATTGAATTTGTAGGAAAAAAAAAGGAAAAAGAAACAAGCTATCGTGTAAAAATTAATGACAGCATTATATATGATCTACGTTGATGGACATTACAAAAACTGTGGTATATTAATTAAGAGTAAAGCATTAGAGATTGATGGTGAAAGGCACTTTTGTAGGCGGCAGCCATAAAGCAGCGTCGATGAATTGGAGTAACGTAAACTGTCGAGCTTCTTCGTTACTCGATATCACATGAAAGCCGGGCCAATCAACCCGGTTCTCTGTACCGGAACCCGGTCCCGTGTTTTGAGACTCCCCGTAATACAAAGTGCTAAGAGCCGTTACATTATCCCACTCGAGCCATCCTTTGGGTTCGATCAACTGATCAAGAAACGTGCCCATCACCACCGTCCGAGCATACGATCTCCAGGGACGGCCCAGATACGTTTTCACGCCTTCCAGCTGTGTCCCCGGAGCTCCTCTCACCACAGAGTTATGGATAACAATCCCCGTTGTCTGGTTCGGGTTGACCCGGCTCTGTGCGGTGATGGTGTTCACTCCATTCGGTGGGCTACGTGCATATATCCGACAGTTTTGGAAAAATGCGGCGGCGTTCCCGAAAATGAAATCGACGGTGCCGTAGATGTCACACTCCCTGAAAAACTGACGTCCCGTGTGGACGTAGAGCGTGTCTTGATAGCCTTCGATGCTACATCTGTAAAACACTGACATGTCTGAATCCGATCTCAGAGCCACCGCCTGATGGTTCTCCGGCCCTGCTGTGTTTCTTATCGTCATGTCTCTCCCCACGAAACCATCACCCGTAGCCACTGTCATCATGAGTTTATTTATATGTAACGCAACGTGGGCGATATATAAAACGAATCTACATATATATATATATAATGCTAGGAAATGTCGTCGTCTAACCAAAAGTGGCGCTTTTGAAAGTGGAAATTCCTCGGCCTTTGCTTTTGTCGCCGGTGATGATGGTTTTGCCGATACCGTCGCCGATGATCATGACGTTAGTAAACTTGCTTCTCACGTTTACATATTCCTCGTAAACTCCTTGCTTGACATGTATGACATACCTTGGGCTTCCTTTGGGCCTCGCTCCTGCACCATTCACGGCCTCTTGGATGCTCTTGTAGTCTCCAGAGCCATCTTGAGCCACCACTACATCCACTTTTCCACCTATCATAGACGGCGTTTCCACTTCTACTTTTCTTCTCCTAAACGCATTCCCGTGTGTTTCCATCCTCTGTTTTTTTTTAACAGATAGAATTAACAATGGGTGGATTCTTGTTACTAAGTAATCTATATTGGTTAAATTCGGAGCATTTTGAATGAGGGTACATATATGTAATAACAAAAATTGAGATCGTTACCTTGTTGATGGCCAAGGCGTTAATAACATTACTGGTGATGCTCTGCATGGAACGAGAAGAGACTCCGGCTTCTGACATCTCTTCCTGACATGTGTCTAGGTTGGTGAGTGCCGTGCTGAGCCATGTTTGCACGTCCGACCTAGAGCACGCGTTCTTGGGACACAAAAGGCTCTGGTTGAGTCTGTGGATAGTCTGATCGTACAGATCCAGACAGTTCTCCCACGCTTGCTTTGAACCAAATTGTGGACCGAGAGAGTAGGTGTCGCTCTTGGCTTTCACGGCTCCATATAGTGTTTGTTCTACGGACACCTGCAGGAACTGTGTCGTGCTTTTTATAGGTTTGTGTTCAATGAGCAGAGTCTTGCATTCACCCGGGTGCGGGGTTTCATCGCAAAACATCTCATTTCCAACAACCATCGAGGAAGCATAAGTTGTCAGAATTATCATCAAACATACTACACTTCCCATCGTTTGATTTATTTTTCATTGAGGTAACATATATAATATGCATGATGGTTTTTATAGATTCTTCCCCTATAAGTTACAATTTGGGATTGGTTTTAACTTTTAATTGTGAATAAACGCTTGTGGCAGTTCTAACCTTTGTTAATTAATTGTCTTGTCGTTTATTTTGTTCCATCAAGGATCTGTAAAAAGTCGTTATAATATTATGTGCATACAGGTGTACTAATAAATTTTGATTAAAGCATATTCATAACTTATCCGTAATAAATTAGTAGTGCAAATTCAAAACTTCAAAATACTGTATAGGAATTAACTAACTAAAGAGAGGGAAACACAGATGAATCTGCAATTAAAAGCAATAGACCTCTCAGTACTACTACAAGTCATCATCAGACAGAGTTGCCCTAAAAAGCAGAAGAAGCTTTCATTGTGTTGTTCTCTCAAGAAAAGCTTACAGTAACTAAGATTCAGCTTCAATTACCAGGTATGCGTACGATAACATTCAACAATCTTCCTAACCCATTGTACAGACAGCAGTGAGTTAATCTGAAACCTAATCTTTTCGTCTTTTGGAGACTCAGTCAGCTGGTAAAGATATGTTGATGTCAGTGGCTGAGTTTCTCGGTCCGTTGGTCCAGCTGGAGATACCAAATGGAGATGGTGGCTGCTCTCTGTCAGGGTTTGATGATGAGTATACAGAAGCCGGAGGAGGAGGAGGAGGAGGAGCTGGCAATGACATCACCGTTGCAGTTGCAGGGGTATGCTCCACTCTTTGCTTCCTCGGTTTCTGATGATCTTGTTGATCACTCGTTATGAAGCTGCCAACAACAACCTGTTTTCACGAATCAACAAAACTTATAAGAGACCAGAAACGATTTCAAGAATTGACATAGATGCTGCTCGATTCGTGGGTCACCTGAATCGGAGTGGCAGCAATGAGTAAACCGGCCACACCACCACCAACAACACGACCATCAGGACCCGCCAAAGAGACGCTCATGCCACCAGACCGACCTCTTGATCCTTGATTCTCTGTTTCCATGAAAGAACCAGAGAGCGAAAGTATCTCAAACCGACCCTGCCAGGAACAAAACACCCACCCTATAAGAAGATACTCTTGTCTTTGGTAACACTAAATGGATCGTGAGAGACAAACCTCATAGGTGAGAGTACCACCACATGAATCGGGCTGGCGAAGAGTAACGTTAGATATCACGCCATTTGCTGATAAGATACAAATAGCTCGTGGTCCTTGTTGTGAAAACGAGATGATCCTCATGGTAATATCCTTCAATCAAAACCAAAGTATATAAACACAAATCTCCTTTCAAGTGAAATGTAACGACTTTGTTTATTTCTCATGATACATACCTCACCAGTGTTCACTGTGATTATATGCGGTGTAAAATTGGATCCAACGCCAAACCTTTCACCTGCAACACGATGAAATCACTTTAAAGGCACTCACGAGAATAATACACTGGCTCAACAAAGTTAAAGTTTATACAACATATATAGTTTCAGACACCAAGTAGCTGGGGTTACTCTCATCTCAATCGAGCTAGCTATGTTACTTTAAACAAAACAAGATGCAAGTTCTTGTCAAATTTTTGAAGTTGCTTAAAAGTATATAGACTACAAAAAGTGTGTCTGTTATACAATATCACACATTCACAGTTAACAATGAAAGCTCTAAAGATATGCAATTATGTACTTTAGATTCAAACTTCAAGGAGCATATGAAAACTTTTGGCAGTTTGAAGGAAGAGATAAAGTGAGTCGGTAAAATGAGCAAAGAAAACTTGCAAAGTAATTCATAAAAGTAAGGAGCATGGAAGTTGTATATACAGCTCAATAATCCTTGACAAGTAATGCTGATAAGAAAAATTAGGAATGCTCTTAGTTAATTAGTGGAGGGAGAAATGGAAGAGTTACCAGAAGAATGGAAAGCAGAGCTCTTATGGAGGTTGATATCAAAACCACCATTGAGCTTGGCTCTTGCTCGTCTCTTAACAAGAGGAGTTGATGAGGGAGTGCCATTGTTAGCTTCATATTTACGAGGCCTGCCCCTCCTCTTCTTACCTGAAGATTCTCCAGAAGGCATTGGGGGATCCATGGGGGAGAGAGATGACCCGAGAAACTGGTTAGTAGGGGTCTCAGATGGCCTAGGAGCCATGTGATAGGGAGATGGAGCTTCAGCTCCTATAACGGTGATACCACCACCAGAGCTAATTCTGTCGCTTGTTTCCATAATCAAACTCTTCTTCTTCGTTCTGCAAAAGAGAAAGCAAAAGCCAAAAACACAAAAGTTCAATAGAATAGTCAAACCATGATGGGATACAACAAAAATAGAAACTTGATTTCGAAATGTATTCTTGTCAACAACGAATGTGGTAACAATTGTTCTCCTGACCGCTTAGTTTGTCTTATTTGAAAGAAAAGCTAATATATATATATAATTTGGTAGAGCAAGCTACAGTAGAAGCGAGCGAGTTTTGAAGTAAATAAAGATGGCATCTTTCGTTCCGTAATCACTACAAAGCTCGAATTTTTTAGACTAGTAGACACAGCAAAATATATAATACATCAAGAGTTTGAATCATAATGAAGTAAGAGATCTCAGAAACAAATGTCAAAAGAAAAGAAAAAAAACAGAGACCTGAAGCTTAAGTTTTTTTGTTTTGTTTTGTTTCAACAACTCTGAAGTTGCTCTCTTCACACTCAACTTCTTCACAGCCGGAAAATTTTCTTCAGAAGAAGAGATTTTTGTCTCCTGGTCACCACAAAAGCTCACACCGGAGATGAACGTCTCCAAGAAATTTCCGGGATGCAAAAGACAACTACGCAAACAAAAAAAAACACAGAAATTAATTACTAATAATAATAAAATGTATTCCCCCAAACAAAGTAGAAAGAAAACAAAACACCAGAGCGTTAAATATAAAAATATAAAAATAAAATTTAACGACGCGAGGGAGACAAAGAAAATAAAATATCATCAAAAACAAATAAAAAGGAAGAAAAAAAAAAGATGAGACAATAAAATAATTAGATAAAATGATCGTAGACCGACAGTGAATTTTGGTTAATAATACTTTCACGTCCGGATTGATATTTTCAATCTGTGAAAAGAAAAAAAAAATATAACTTGCGTAAATTTTAGTACTTTGTAATGGATACTAATAATACAAATTTGATATCTTTTTTTTCTTGTCGTTAATAAATACAAGATTTGAACTGTTAATTACAAACTTTTTCGTCTTCCTGCAAAATTTGAAATTCAAACAATTTTGCGGCTTTTGTAGGGTTTTCAGATTAGTTTAATTTCATAGGGTAATTAACAAAAAGATAAATTCTTAGTTTTGGGGAATGAAGGGATACAATTGGTAGGTGACAAATAATAAAAGTGACAAGCAGTCAGAGTAACAAGCCGATCCTTTGACCTGCCACTTCTCTCTCTCTCTCTCTCTCTTCTTTTTTGACTCCTCTGACTCTGACTAGTCTCTCCTTTTTTTTGTTTTTTTTTTGTTTTTTGTAATCTCTTATATTTTATTTTTTTTGCATAATCATAAAGTCCAATATTATTATTTATTATAGATGAGATACAATAATTTTGAATGAAATCACGTGTTTGGTACGAAATTTTTTAACAACAAATTCAATAGTGGGATCTGGTAGAAGAGAAAAAAAAAAAAAAAACGCAATCAAATAGAAGAGTATACCATACATACTATTATAGGGAAAAAGAAAAACATTTGATTTAAAACATTTGTGTTTAAGAGAAGTCAATCAATATGAAAGCGTATCTCTCTCTTTCTCTCGTTAGGGCACATGAGAAAACTCTTTGGATCATCATTACCTGTCAACAACACTCCCTTCTGTTTTCATATTCTTTTCTATCGAGGTCTCGAGACACACCACACCCCCACCCTTCACCATATTATATTTACTTACTACTATTAATTTTTAATTAATTACCCTCTTTTTTTAGTCTATAACAACAAGTCATTCACGTTTATGATTATTGATTAATTGTTTACTTATCTCAACATTTTTTAAGTATTTTCTAGGGCTTCAATTCAAATGAAATAAACAAAAAAGTTAACAATAAAAAAAAATGTTGACTTCTGTTGGGCCTTAAGCTTTTAGGCCTACCTTTTAGGAAGGTAGAAAGATGCAAAAGTTATGAACATTCAGTTGGGCCTTAAGCTTTTAGCCCTACCTTAACTACGTTGCCTAACAGTTTCATTATTTGACCCAATTACTTCTGTTTACTTCAAAAACATTTTATACATATTATTACAAAATAGGGGGGACATGGGTTGTCATGTCGACGTCTTGCGTGAGATGTGAGTTGCACTTCATATCCAATCGAATCTATGAACGTCCCTTTTTAATTGACAGGGCATTCCGGTTTGTTCAAAATACCAATTACTAATGTCTCAAGTTCATCATCATGGTTAGATTAGATCGGAGAAGATGGACGGCTCTGGCCTCCGGTCAAATACTTTGAGACGAACTCACGGGCAAGAGCGTTGAGATCACTCTCTTCTTCCGCTGGATCTTCCAGGCCTAACAATGTGCTAAGGTCCACTGACTCTCTTGAGACCTCTATATCTTCTTTTCCTTGTTGTTGTTGTTGTGGCATACAATGATTGTGTGACGCCGAGGAAGACAGTACATTGCTTTTATTATCGACTGAAGAAGCAATGAGTGGCGCATTAAATGAAGAGGCTACTTCTGTCTGTGAATTGTTTTGAGGATTCGGCGGAAGAAGGCGTTGTATGCTTGTGAGTTGAGTTTGTACGTAAGCCAACTCCACCTGTAGATTCATCACCTGTTCACATACAACGTGACGTTTAATAAAATTTCTAAAGATAACATTAGTTTACTACTTTTATAGTATCATTGTATTTTTCCTGTTTGTTCTATAGATGCTATAAATAAATACCCAACTCATTCGGTTGACAACATTAATTAGCTAATTAATTACAATTTATACGTCTTTGCATAAAATTGTCAAATTGTTATGTTCAAGCGACATACTAATATTAATGAACGTAACCATAAAATAAAGAGTTTGACAATTTGACTTTCTTTAACACTGTTTTCGGCAACCGAGTCATTGGGCAGACGCACATTATAGCAATTTTCAAATTATTAGGAATTTTTTTAACTTTTTCTAAAAATTTAAATGGGATGGTTTTATATGCAATTTTCAAAACTAAAATAAACAAGAAACCAAGGGCGATAAATGGAACTGTAGCAATTTCGTTATAAGATGAGTTTATTTTTATAGTGACGACCAGTATAATACACGCATGCATGCCGTGTAAAACTTTCAATGTATAATATAGATCACCAAACATACATTAATAGTATAAAATTAAAACATTGAATTATATACGATACACTTACCTGGTGTTGAAGGGCGAAGATGTGACCAACGCATCCGTAGACGGGGTCGCGAAGCCTAGCCAATGCTTCGTAAGAAAGTGTGACGACGGCGTCCAGTCTTCGGCTGGCCGGAATCATCATGAGGAGCTTGGAGGCGTTGCTCGCCCCGAAAACCTTGTGCACCGCCGCAAAATGAGACGTCCCTTCCTCCGAGTCAAAGTAGGGAGCGAAAATGCATTCGGACACGCATTTCCGCCGGAGAAACTTGCATGCACCGCAAGGACCTCCACAGCCGTTGGTGCCTCCGCTCATATTCTCTCTGTGCAAGACTCAAAAGACGTAACTTTCTGTTTTGGGAAGCAGTGTCGTCGTGGAGCAGAGTTATATATCCAATCTAAAGAGACGTATAGGAAGAGATGGATAGGGTTGTTTATAGATTAACGTTCTTCTTAGTTAATGTGGAGCATAGAGGATCGTGTCAGGCAAGAAAATCATGTATTGCTTTTGGTGGTGGGTCATTTATAATCATTACATTTTCTATAACTTCTTTGATGTGCATACATACATATGTGTCTATATATATATATATATATATATATATTTTTTTTTTTTCCTATTGTATGTTTCACTTTTATTTACATATATAAATAGTTAAGAGAAAATTGTGGGGAATGCCATGAACAGTACCAAATCTTCTTTAAAATGCCATTTTTCATAACTCCTTTCAAAATATGCCATAGATCCAATGTAAAAAGACCATGTTACCCTTCTCATTTTCTTTTTCTTTTTCCAACAACAAATAGTTCTAATAGAACAGATGGACGAACTCCGGCGGACAAATCCGGCAGACAAATCCAATGGACAAACTCCGGCGAGGCATAGCCACTTCCGGTGATAAAACAAGTGATGCGTTTATGGTGGACAAGATTCATTTCTCTATAGATGGACAACATTCGACGAACCAATTTTGGTGGACTAGACTCGAAATAGTTATGTCGGATCAGATCTAGTGTACCAGATCTTGTGGACAAGATCTAGTGGACCAGATCTTGTGGACAAGATTTCTTTTTTATTTTGATTTGTTTTTTCCAAAACATTTGCATGAGGGCAAAATCGTCCATACTAAATTCTTTGTGGCAGGATTTGAAATGAGTTTTCAAAAATGGCACTTAGAGAAGATTGAGTTTCAAAACTGGCATAGATGACAAAATTCCCAATAGTTAAATTACACACAAGAAATTAGATATTTGTTCAGAATTATACAAGTGTTTATGTAATCCTAAAATCAGTGAAAGCATATTTAACATAAGAGACCCTTGTAATTAAATAAGTTAGCAATCATTCGGTTGAAAGAATTGAAAATTTTGAGAGAAGAAACGAACAATCTTGCAACGAAAAGTTTTTCTAAAGATCTACAGATATATAACCCCCTATTACACCAGACTTGGACTAGAAAACTATATGGTATTACTTATTAGTTTTGGACATGGATGAGTAATGAGATGTGACTAGTGAGTGACGAAGAAGGGACTTGGTGGGTTCAGTTTAAGGTACTAATTGGATCCTAGCGAGGGTGAGTGGTGGGTTTTATTCATTTATTATAGTAATAACTAAAGAGAGAATGAATGTATAAATATGTACATGTAATCGTAGTGTAGTAATTAATTAGAGTGGGTAAAGCTTGGAAGCAAGGGCAAAGCGGATTGTGATATTTTTGTAATATACAAAGGACAAAACAGAAATGGCTTTGCGTGAAGCAAACACACTTTAGCTGCTTAGCTTGCTGACGTCTCCACTCTCTCTTCTCTCTTCCACTCCGCCGCAAGGTATACTCCTTTCATCCACACGTGCGATCCCTCTCCACACGCGTACGGGTGCCTAATAGTAAATAAAAATAGAAATAAGCGAGTGAGTGAGTGATGCGACAGTCCTCTAGTAACATCATGCATCGTCTTTCATTGCTAGTTGTGTTAATAGCTAGAAAGGAGAGGACTGAAGAGATGTATTGCTTCTTATTTTTGTACAAATTCGTATAGTCAGGCACCGACACATGACAGTGATCACTGTTTGCTTCGCCGCAAGTACAACCTCAGTCAGTCAGTCAGTCAGTCACTGTCGACATCTGTTTTTTGTTTTTGTTTTTTTGACAAAGATGCTGACCGACCTTCGTAACTCCCCAAATTTGGGCCTTATTGTTAAATGGGCTGGGCCTTTTGTACTTATGTAAGGTATGCGTTACTTACCTAGTTTTGGATTCTTCTTTTAATTAGCACAGCTAAGCCTAGAATACGAGGACACGCGTCGCATAGAAAGAACCCCCACCCTACAAGGATTGAACAAGAGGCGGGGACGGCACTGTGACCGCGGCTGTTACGGTTCCTCGAATACTACTAGTACTAGTAAGAAGCTAACGTAGTATTTGTATCAAATCAAGTACCCCTCTAAAGTACTAAACAACTACCCAAGAAGTAATTAAAGTCCTTTGTACAGGGAGTATTTGAAAATTTCATAATTTGTAAGTATTTTTAAAAAGAGAGAGAGGCGTTACATTTACATATTTTGTTTACAGTTGACGACGAGAGACAGTCACCACCATCCCCATATATGCAAAAGTGGGGATCCCAAGCGGCCATTGGTTAGCTCTGCTGCTGCGTCATATTTGCACAGAACGGTTACGTTCGTATAAGTCATATTCGACACGTGGCATATTTACACACTCTGCTTCTCGCAGGTCCCCGTTTTGTCTCTCTCTCTCTATATTGATCAACCAAACCGGTTCTGTTGAGCTTTAGCAGCCCCTTGACCCCCTTTGACTCACTCACTTGATATCATGATGAGCTATATATAACACACGTGTATGTTCATCATTCTAGCCGATCAACAAAATCGTGTTACATAATTATAATTGTAATTTTAGACTAGGATTTACCCCGTGGTACACCACGGGTCCATAATTTAATATATTTTTTTGGTTGATCATTTTCATAGTTGATTTATATAATTTAGTTTTGTATATGTTTATTTTATTTAATTTAATATAATTTTATAAATTTGTATTATAAGTAAATTCATAGATATATGTGGTAAACCCGCGGTACATCGCGAGACAATTTTGTTGTAAATAAAAAATTATATTTTAACTTAACCCGTAAAAGATTTTAAATATAGACAACCCGCAGAAAAATATAATCATATTTATGTAAACTAAAACCCGTTCAATCATATTATGTCCAATATTATTATATTTTAAATATTTGTAGAGCTAAAATATTAGTAATACTTTTAATTTTTGTAGAGTTTAAATATTTTTCATTATTTAAATATTCTATAAAAATTAAATAAAATCAGAATTTTCAGCTTTTTAAAGTTTTAATATTTATCACATTTTAAACTTGTTAAAAAATTGAAATTTATAATATTCTGAAAACTTTTAAAATTTTTATTTTCCTTAAATAAAGAACCGGATTAAGCTAATAAAAGTTTTAATTTGGATACTTGAGAAATCAAAGTTTATGCTCATTTGTAGTTGTAAACATATTAATCTTATTTATAAAGGTTTTGAACTATTATCTAAAATTTTATATCTTATGTAGACGTTGTACATATATTCTTTTCTTTATTGATTGAGTTAACTACGTCCGTTTTCAAAAATTTAAATTGCAAAATGTGTGAAAAAATTGTATTTTTATTATAAACATATTTTATGTAATAATATAAATTTAAAACACATAAGATTATATAAATATATTGGAGAGAGATTCGGTTTATTAGAGAGGGATTTTAGGAAACATTTTTATGTAATAAATATTTGGTTTCCAATTTTGGGATTTGCTTGTGATTTAATTACAAAATTTACTTTTAAGTTTTGTTATTTATTCAAATGGCAAGAGTTTAATTATGCAAATATTACAAAATAAAAGGTTATAAGCCAAAATTGATTTTAGTACAAAATGTACTTCAAAAATGTTAAGATAGATGTTTCAATCTTTCATGCATTAATTTGATTTCCCCTGTTTTGTTCTCCTACTAATCCAATATTGAGTAACATGATATTCCGTGACCACAAAATATCAAACTATCCTATATACAAGTTTTCTAGCCTCTATATATATGGTCATTACCCGATCAATATTGTAATCAGTTTTGTTGTTATCCTACTTTTTATTTATTTATTTTCTTTTCAAATTAATCTTGTTTTGGAAACTGCATATTCTCTCCAACTCTTTTTATTTTATTTTATTATTTTCATAGATCTCGCATCAGTAACTATATGAATACATAAATTATTAATATATGTGGATTTCCTTTTTATAATACGGTAAAACTTCTACAAATATGAAGTTTAGCAACTAATATTTTCATTTCAAGTTAGACCATTATTATAGACTACAGTAAATACAATTTGATAAAATAATAAAATAATATTTTTTTTGAAACGTATATGTAAATATATATATATATATATATATATATATATATATAGTCTCACTAATATTTTTTGATATGTTTTTTTTTGTGTGTGAAAGATGACTTTAGTGTTTTTTTCACTTCACAGTCTTATAGGATTTCACTTTAAACATTTTTTACTACTGAAAAAGTTTTGATGTTACCTTATTGAATTGCATTAAAATATGAAGGATTCCTAAATATAACAATTGTTTCATTACATTACATGTGATTAGTTCTATTAAAATATGGATTTTAAAAGTGATAAAAAATATCTCTATAAATTAATAAAATATTTAGTCATGAGATTGATTATTAATTGAAATCGGACAATATGCATGTTTATGTCATACGCGACAAAAAAACAAAGTAAAATATGTAAAAGAAGTATAATATAGCATTCAAAGAATCTAATATAAAAAATTCGATTAATTTTAGATATGTTGCCAAATGTTGATAGATTATCGATTAACTAAAAATAAAATAACGCTTGGCGGTGAAGCGTTACGTTTTGTACTTTTGTTTTATAAAGTTATCTTATCAAAATCACCGCCCGTAAATAATATTATATTAGATTTTAAAGTCATTTTATATAACTGTTAGTTTGTAAAACTAATATGTAATACTATGAAAATTGAAATACAATGCAGTTGAATATACCATAAGATGCAATTGTGTCTAGAATTTTGTGTGGACGGATTGTAAAAATGTAAAAAGTAAACCCGAAGTAGAAAAGAGAAGGAAGGGAATGAAATTGAAGAAGTTGAGAGATATGCAATGTTTTGCTTCACGCAAAGAGCTTAAACACGAGACAAGTACGCTCCATCGCGTGGCTTTGAAGGCTTTTTTTCTCTTGTCTTAACAGTCTAGTCTTCCTTTTTTATTTTATTTTTGGTAATAACAAGACTAATTAAATTAATATTATTTTACTTGTTTTCTTATCTACTAAATAAGTATTAATGAATAAGTGAGAGGGGAAATGAAAATATTTGCAATTACCAACAACCAAACCCTAGTTTTGTTTACGTCCGATCTCCTTCTTCTCCTCCTTTTTTTTTCCTCCCAAACGTTCCCTTTTTTTTTTTTTTGTCTTTCTTTTGCTTTTAATCACGAACCAAAAAGCATCCTAATCTCGATGAATTAGCTCCATATATCACAAAACCCTAATCACCAGTCAGCTAAAAAGGATGAGCGGCAGCGGAATAAACCCTAGCAGCAGCGGTGGAGGAGGAGGAGGAGGACCTTGCGGCGCGTGCAAGTTCTTGAGACGCAAGTGCGTCGCTGGCTGCATCTTCGCGCCTTACTTTGACTCCGAGCAAGGGGCGGCGCACTTCGCGGCCGTTCACAAGGTGTTCGGAGCGAGCAACGTCTCCAAACTCCTCCTCCATGTTCCCGAGCATAAACGACCGGACGCCGTCGTTTCAATCTGTTTCGAGGCTCAGGCTCGCCTCAGAGACCCTATCTACGGCTGCGTCTCTCACATCGTCTCTCTTCAGCAACAGGTCCCTTCCTTATTCTCTTCATAACGTTTCATTTTATGATTAAATTAGTACTTGTACATACATACATATATGTACATGTGATGCGGGAAGTCCATCTATACTGTCTCTATGTATGTCTTCATGTTGATCAAAACTTCTTTTCTCATTTTCTTTGTAATCATGTTTTTTTTTTTGTTTCAGTTTAAAATATTGTTTTTTTAAATGATAATTTCTTTTGCATTTTGACTTAGTCCTCAGTTAAAGTACAGATTTAGTTCTTCTAATGTTCCCCTCTTCTTTCTTCCCCTCATGCAAATTACCCTTTCTTAAGCATCAATAGTTTTTTTCTTGTGTTCTTCTTGGATTTGTTTTGTTTTTCCTTTTCTTTTTTACCTTGATGGAAAACCACTTCTAAAAAAAAGTGTTAGAATCTAAAATTTCACAACTGGGTTCATATGGCCTTTTTGCCTTTTAGGCAAAGTTATGTCTTTATATTAAATGACGTGTCTATGAGTCTATATGTACGAGATATAGAACAAGCCGATCCTTTAATATGCATTTTTAGTAATGCTAGTTTGTTAAGAAAAGTAGGCATAATTGTATGTGTGTGTATTTCACATCCTCCTCCTAATGTAATATGCATGATTGTATGTTTATGTAACTCATTGCATATATATATAACATATGAGAACCTTTTTTTATTTTCCTGATTAAATTGTCTATTGTCGTATATAATTGGCTAGTGTTAAGGTAGTTAAGGATCATTTAGCATACATATAAGTACTAGTAGAAGGTTTGTTGGATGTTTACAATGTTGTTTTCCAAGTCAAACCATTGATTGAGAGTGACAAATCTTCCTCTGTTCGCAACAACCACGTTGTTTTACACTTATCCCCAAGCATCCCTTTTTTCTATTTGGAAAAAAATAAACAAGAAGCTTTTGATTGCAATATACTACATAGGTACTTTCGTGTATGCATGTACACACATACAAACGTATGCAATTGCATTCTATAAATTGATATTAGTGAAGGTTAATTTCAATACTACAAGCAAGCTTTAATATATTTATATACATGTTATGTACAATGTCTTTTGTGTTATTAATAGATTGTTTTATTCTGCATATATTTTTCTAAATCAGTGGTCTTGATTGATCAATTACTCCTGTCTTGTGTTGTTGGCATTATTGAATCAACATTTGCTCGAATTCGGAAACTCTTGCAATTATTAAATATTGCTAGAAATATCATTATCTAGATTATCATCTCTCTTATGATTTTTGTTGGCATTATTATCAATTTTCATATTCGTTAAAAATATATATTTTAAAAAACAAATTCATATGCAGGTGCTAAGTTTGCAAACTGAGCTTTCATATCTACAAGCACACTTAGCAACTCTAGAGCTGCCGCAACCTCAACCACCAGCGGTTCCGGTGTCCTCCTCCGGATCTCCCCTGCAGGCTCTTTCGATAACGGACCTCCCAACGATATCGCCGTCGGTGTACGACCTCTCCTCCATCTTCGAGCCGGTCATGTCCTCCACGTGGGCAATGCAGCAACAACCACGACCGTCGGACCATCTCTTCGGGCTCCCGTCATCGTCCAGTATCGGTGGAGGTGGTGACCTCCAAGCACTGGCGCGTGAGTTTATTCACGGCGGACAAATGCCATCTCAGCCATCTCCGGGAACCAGTGGTTCTGCCTCAACAATGATAAAACGAGAATAATGTTATTTTTACAAATGTTTGTTTATTTGGACGTTAATTATGAGATCTATAGCTAATTAGCCGCCACATATGTGTTCTCCTTGTAATGTATTCATATATACTTTGGATCGAATTCGTATTTAAATTGTTGGCTAGAATGTTAATATAAGAACTATATATATGATCTACGATTGATCCGAGTATGTTTTATGTACTTTAGTTTTTGGCCACTAATAGTTTTCCTCCCGAACGTGTCACTGACTACATTTTTTTGTGGTTTAATAACTTCATTTTACTTACTTTGTTTTCACGTTCGATCCAATGAGCACTCAGACGTTTTATATAATTTTGTAATTGTCGGATTTGTGTATATTTTTCTATTTTATTTCGACGGTTCATGAAGTTCCCGCAACATCGACTGGATCCTGGCCGGAGACACAGAACCAATGATTATGAGAGGGTTCGATAAAACACAAACTAAGCGGGTATCATGTAAACCCCCACCAGGTTCCGTGAGCACTACATATAGATGAGAGTATATATGAGACTCTTGTTTAGCATAATAATCTACGTAATTTATTTTTATAATCAATTAAATTATATACTGTTTGATTACAAATAATGTCATTATTTAAACTGAGTTAATGAATAAAAGGGTTGAGCTAATGTCAAAAAATAAAATAAAGGGTTGATCAGCTAAGCAAAATAGAATGATTGTTGATTATATAATTACGAATTATATATGTGTATATTAATCAGTGCAATACTTGAGAGAGAAACATTGGAATAGAGCCTTACAAGACAATTAATATATCACCATTGGAAAACTTCAAAGCTATTACTTAAGAGTTTCTATGGTAAAAACTTAATTGCTTGAATTCAAATTCAAGTAATCAAAAAAAATTCTTCATTTTCAAAACCTTATGATTATCCCAAATTTCAAGTTGCTATTAATATATGCATATAATTAATAAGCAGTCCTGATCAATAAAAAGTATATACATACATGTGTATAAAGCTATGTTATCACCAAAGTAGAAACAATAAGATTATATCAAGTGACCACTGTTTTCCTTCTAAGATACCATACGAACTAATATTAAAAATTAGAAAACTCTATTAGTAGTAATTACAATTTTGCATGTTTTTGGTCTGGTCTTCTTACCTGGGATTAATTAACTGAAATTGAACACTTAACATTAAGTAAAGTGTTTTGACATTTCTCCATATTAAGTTGTGAATGATAAGTAATCTTTAGCGTTCAAGCACTTAATCATAAGGGTATTCTGATTCTCTATTAATAGAGGAGAATGTGTCATCTTCTCATTACTCAATAACCAAACTTATCATATACACAAAAATCAGAATGGGAAGGTCAAAATATTCATGTCATCATCATCTTCTCCTCGTTGTTATTCTTCTTCTTCTTAATGTCCTTTGGATATCCGCCGAAGATGAACATGCAAAGGTAATACATAATATTCAACTTCCATTGCAAAGGAGAATTTTGAATATAACTTTGGAAACTCTTGATTAATTATATAAAGGATTACTATATCATATACTTGGGAGATCGACCGGATAATACAGACGAAGCTATCAAGAAGACACACATAAATCTTCTATCGTTTTTGAATATAAGGTACAAATATATATAAATATATACACACACACACGTACGTGTAACATAATCTCTATCGACTAATCTTATACGTACTTTGTAATAATTGTCTCTGTTAACAGCGAAGAAGAAGCAAGAGATAGGAAGGTATATAGTTACACTAAAGCTTTGAACGCTTTTGCTGCAAAGCTTTCTCCAAACGAAGCCAAGAAGATGATGGGTAAAAATAATTGATCCCTTAACATTATTTATCATCATTGATCACATAATAATATATATAAAACTTTTCCATGCATATAAGTTACAAGTAAGTAAGAATCTATTTATATAAAAATTTTAAAAAATGGTGCAGAGATGGAAGAAGTTGTTGGTGTGTTCAGAAACCAATACCGCCAACTTCACACAACAAAATCATGGGATTTCGTTGGACTTCCTCTTACAGCAAAAAGACATCTCAAAGCAGAGAGAGATGTTATTATCGGTGTTCTTGACACAGGTATGTTCTTGATAGAGATGTTGTGTAACTCAACTCAACTCATACGTACGCCTTGATTTGAACATCATATATACATACTAAGGTCTTCAATATATAAAAATATTAACAGGAATAACGCCAGAGTCGGAGAGCTTCCAGGACCATGGCCTCGGCCCTCCCCCGGCTAAGTGGAAAGGATCATGTGGACCTTATAAAAATTTCACAGGATGCAACAAGTAATATTTTCTTTCATCTTTTCCAATTTCTACTTTATTTGGATACAAACTTGATCCTATCTAAGAAACATGCACTCGTGAGAGCTATTATTAAAAAAAAAATAAAAAAAATAAAAAGGAGTTGGGTGATCAAATTTTAAAAGTTTACAAGAATCATGAGTTAATATTAGGGACCTGATTGGAATTTTTAAATTGAACAGCAAAATAATCGGCGCCAAGTACTTCAAGCACGACGGCAATGTGCCTACCGGCGAAATCCGATCACCAATCGATATCGATGGCCATGGGACGCACACGTCATCAACCGTAGCCGGCGTTGTGGTCGCAAACGCGAGTCTCTATGGCATTGCAAACGGTACCGCCCGCGGCGCGGTCCCGTCGGCGAGGTTGGCGATGTACAAGGTTTGCTGGGCGAGATCCGGCTGCGCCGACATGGACATCCTCGCCGGATTCGAAGCGGCGATTCACGACGGCGTTGACATTATCTCCATCTCTATAGGCGGTCCAATAAAGGATTACACTTCCGACTCGATATCAGTCGGGTCGTTTCACGCGATGAGGAAAGGGATCCTCACGGTGGCGTCCGCCGGGAACGACGGACCGAGCTCAGGGACAGTAACAAACCACGAGCCGTGGATATTGACGGTTGCGGCAAGCGGAATCGATCGGACGTTCAAGAGCGAGATAGATCTCGGCAACGGCAAATCCTTCTCTGTAAGCAAAATCATCCTAAATTTGTATTTGAGGGGTTAAAAATTCTCAACTAATTTAAAAATGGATTGAAAATATGATGATGGGAAAGGGGATGGGAATAAGCATGTTTAACCCAAAAGCCAAATCGTATCCGCTTGTAAGCGGTGTTGATGCTGCTAAGAGCACTGACGACGAGTACTTAGCCAGGTACATCAACTTGGATTCTGTTTGTATAAGACAACGTTTGTTAAGACCTAGAAGAAAATGTGAGTTATTGAGAGACATTTTGTTTGTTGATGATGCGAAAAAAGGTACTGCTTCTCTGATTCTTTGGACAAGAAGAAGGTGAAAGGAAAGGTGATGGTGTGTAGAATGGGAGGAGGCGGTGTGGAGTCCACTGTTAAAAGCTATGGAGGTGCTGGTGCCATCATTGTTAGTGATCTGTATCTTGATAACGCTCAGGTTTTCATGGCACCTGCCACAAGTGTTAATACCTCTATTGGCGATGTCATCTACCGATATATCAACTCCACAAGGTCCTAGTTGATTTTCTTGGATATTGAGGAGAAGAACAGTTGTGTTCAGCTCACCTTACTCTTTTTTGTTTTTGCTCTTCTCAGATCACCCTCGGCTGTGATTCAGAAAACCCGGCAAGTGACTACCCCTGCTCCCTTTGTTGCTTCTTTTTCATCTAGAGGTCCCAACCCGGGATCAACACGCCTTCTCAAGGTATACGAATCAGTCAACATCATCTGATTATGAGAATCTACGGATCTTTATCTTATGTTTGTACCATCTTCATGCGGATTGTAGCCTGATATCGCTGCACCCGGGATTGATATATTGGCTGCCTTCACTCTCAAGAGATCACTGACTGGACTAGATGGTGACACCCAATTCTCAAAATTCACAATCCTGTCTGGTACCTCAATGGCCTGCCCTCATGTTGCTGGTGTAGCTGCTTACGTCAAGTCCTTTCATCCAGACTGGACACCTGCGGCCATTAAATCGGCCATCATTACCTCAGGTAACTTGGTTTTGGCTGTCGTGAAATGGAAACAAGAGGAAGTAGTAATAACAAGATGTATTTTTCTGTTTGTTTGGCAGCAACACCGATAAGCAGGAGAGTTAACAAGGACTCAGAGTTTGCTTATGGAGGAGGCCAAATAAACCCGAGACGAGCGGCGAGCCCTGGTTTAGTCTACGACATGGACGACATGTCCTATGTTCAGTTCTTGTGCGGGGAAGGCTACAACGCAACCACTCTGGCTCCACTGGTGGGGTCACGCTCGGTGAGCTGTTCATCCATTGTCCCTGGAATCGGCCACGACTCCCTCAACTACCCAACGATCCAACTGACGTTGAGATCAGCAAAAACGTCCACATTGGGTGTGTTCAGACGGAGAGTGACCAACGTGGGGCCAGCGTCATCGGTGTACAACGTCACCGTGAGGGCACCCAAAGGAGTAGAAATAACGGTGGAGCCACAGAGTTTGTCGTTTTCAAAAGCTTCACAGAAGAGGAGCTTCAAAGTGGTGGTAAAGGGGAAACAGATGAGTCCTGGGAAGATTGTGTCGGGCATGCTCGTGTGGAAGAGTCCACGCCACTCTGTTCGGAGCCCCATTGTTATCTACAGTCCTAGTTCCGATACATTGAATCTAAGGAATTACATGCTCTCTCATCAATAAACATCATAAGATTAAGATTTAAGATGTATAATCCTCTCATAATTTGTTCTCGTAAACTCTCAGTTGTTACTGTTGAATTGCTCTTCTCCTCTTGACTAATACATCTCCTCCTTGATCTGCTTCGCAAACTTGATCCTCCAACAACAACGATTAAGAGGGCTCTAAACCAGAGTTCTAGTTCTTCTTCTTCTTCTTCTTCATTAAACCCCTGTCCATACAGAGGATTCAGAATAGATATTGTGAATAATAGAAGATTAATAATAAATCCAAAATAACAAAACCCAAATTGCAGCCGAGTAAGAGCAGCTAAAGAAGAGGTGATCGTAGCTTAAAACATTTTTGTTTGACAAAGAAGCTTCAGGTTTCAATTTTTGCACACAGAGATGAAGAACCTTGTAATGAGATCAGCAATAGCCATTCAAAATCAAAGCTGGCTTCCCAGAATCGGTTTCTCTCTGCCTTGTCCTCGTATTCCCTAAATTATGATTGTGTATTCCATCTAATTCCCTTTCAAAGCTATTGGGTTCTTCCAACTAGTCATGGATACTTCTTGTGACAAAATAAGGAACTGGACTTGTATAATCTAGTATTGTAGCTCGACTTAGTACAAGTTTCCATTTTGGTCTGAGGTTGGTTGTTTTTTCTATTGTCTCTGGTTAATGCTTTTCTAGTCCTGTTCAAATATAGTTTCACAAGAATCCACTTAACAACATTTGACCCTCTTGTTCATTTCTTTGCAATTTTTTACCCCTTTTCATACTCTCCTGATGAGGATTAGAGACTGTTTCTTCTCTCTTTCGAATGTCTTAGTTCTTGTATCTTTTGTTTTCTCCCTTCCGATGCAGTTGATTAGTGACAAAGAAGAGCATCAAGGCAGACCATTACTGATTCGGGTCTCACGAGTATGAATAGCGTGCCGGGGGACTATAGTACTTTACTGGTTTATCTTCATTAGGCTCTATAGTCTTTGTCCTATACTCATAATTATACAACTCAACGTCAAGTAAATGAAAAACATGTTGTTTCTTTTGTATAGACTGTGGTTGTGTTTACTTTGTCTGAATGTAGAAGCAGAAAAGTTGAATACGTTTAGATGTTCGCCGTAGGCCTAGCCAACCTTGCTGTTCATCATGCATGCTTTTGAGCTAGCTCGTATAGTTATGTTGAAAATTGGCTTAGAAAACAATATCTATGACGTGTTTCCATAACATGGCTTACGCAGTCCTGGTTTAGATAAGCACATGATAAGAGCTCAGAGGTTTATTAATTAAGCTGAATCACTGCAAAACACATCAAAAGAGCAAATCTCCTGCTTGACATATATATTGAACTGGGTTTTTGCTGTACATAGAATTTGTTGGAACTCTCTAATTCCTACGTAATTGATACCGCAAACAAAAACAGGTAAGGAACAATAAAGGAAAAAAAAAAGAAGAAGCAAAGCCAACATAAAACATTTTCTCTTGAAAACTAAAAAAATCATTATGTAATTTCCCAAAAACACAGATTTTCTGGATCTCATCTTGCAAAAAATAGCTTCCAGGCCAGTATTCCTCGTCTCTCTACCAATATATCATTCAAAATGTAGGATTGTCCCAGGTGGAACCCAGCGATGCACCGTGCTTCTTTATGATCTTAACTGACTCAAGAAGGACCTCTTGTTGTGTTGTGTATAGCTCCCCTTTTCCCTGATACAAACGATCACACCATTGTATGTAAAAAGGACCGTGTCTGGATTTGCCGGCAAAGATCACTAGTAAATTGTTACAGAGACTAAAGAGAGAATGACAGTGTACCATGCCAACGAGATTGCACCCAATGCTAAGTTCAGCGAAAGATTTTTCCACTCGTGATAAGTAACAATAGGGAGCTTCTTTCCCTAGATAAACTTTTGCATTTACCCTCAACATTTCCTCGATTTCATTTGATATTAGAGGAATCTTATCCAAGTCATCGATCTGCAGTGGGATCTTGGATGCTATGGCTCGCCACTTAGCCCGTGACTTATTCACAATCACCTGTATATGTTAGCATAGTTCAGAGTCATACTGATATCCTTCCTTCCATAAAAAGATGTGTAGCAATAAGATTCAAACAAATGACATAATCTAATGGACAGACTATTAACTCAGTGTAGTCAGCATAAGCTTCTGTGATATGAAGATGAATAGTGTCAAACAGATTAAACTAACCTGACTCGAAAACAGTGAATTGGGTACCAAAACTGGAAATTTTTCGGCATTCAACAAAGATGTTGTCGTGAGTCCCATCCCAACAACTTGACCTTCTACAGACCCAGCCTGAAAAAATGGGGACAAGGAAGACACTATATCATGGGGTGAAAAAAATATGAGTGAGAATCGCTAATAGATTTGCTTGCTCTAGGAAACTTGATAAAGGAAGAGAGCAAAAAGCAGGAAACACAAGATACTTCAAGTTCAACTAACTTTGATTGTATCTCCCATAGAGAAAGGCCGAGAGAATTGCATGGACAGACCACTCAGCACATTACCAAGGATATCTCTGGCAGCAAATGCGGTGGCAACTCCTGGAAAACTCAAAATCAAATTGATATGTTATAAGCAAATAGTATCTTTAAAAACCTTAGCAACCTTGGAAAAGATAGGACTACATGCTTGTGGTGGCCATTTATTTTCTAGTTGAATCCAAGCATTATAGGCTATGAAAAACAACTAATTTGAAATGGAGAACAGTAGACACACCTCCAACTCCACCAACTGTCAATATAGATTGAACAGCTACCCCACAGGCTTCAGCAGAAGCCATTAAACCGATTGCAAAAAGACCAACTGATGATACTTTGTCTAAAGTTAATACTTTCTCCCTATCGAGACCGCCAAAACTCTTAGCAGACAACATTCGAGTAATCACATTGGTCTTCCACCGATACAGGAACCACACAAGGGAAAGAATGACTGCTCCCTTGACTGTTGGGGTAAAGTATTGAGCTGCTACAGTTGTTGGCGCCACCATCGCGGCACTACAACATATCAGAAGCATCAAGTCAGTTTATTTTCTACAACATAATACTGAAATAGATCATGTAAGTAAGTGAAAGGGAATCACATCTGTGCGAAAGCAATGAAGGTGACTAAGTAACGGGCAGGATCCTCCAAAGCTCCCCAAAAGCTTTGCTCATAAGGAACATCTTCGGTAGAGAAGCCCCCCGGAAGCAAAGCAGCAGAACTTTGCATAGCGTAAGTGTGAAAGCTCTTCAAAAGCCTAGGCATAACAATCCAAGCAAACAAAGTAGCAGTCATAGTGAGACTGATGGGAACAATGACCTCTTTAAGACATGGGTTGGAGTCTAGGAATTGGTGAAGATGAGGGATCAAATCATCAGAGGCTTCTTTAGTCTTGATGGCGGTTTGGGTAACAGCATCGACACTAGTCTGCAAGACATCTTTGGCCTTGTCAAGCCAGTCAGTGCCGCCATTGCCATCGCCATCACCAGTAAGAGCAGGGGAAACGATGCTTCCGAAATTGTCAGGCTTGGAGGAGAAAGATCTTGCATAAGAGGAATGGCCTAAGAAAGGGATGGAGTAGCTGAAAGGCTTAGCATTATGATGCAGGCGCAAATTCGAGGCAAAGGAAGAAGGATGGGAAGCTTTTGGTTTGTGAGAGAGACCATCAAGAAGAGTGTTTCCGGAGGAAATGGACCTGGCATGACAAGAGTTTAGGAGACTGAAAGAAGAAGAAGAAAACGAGTTTGCAGGGGGAAGAAGAGGATAATGAGCTAGTCTGGAGAAAGGTCGTCGAGAAGATCTGTGAAGTGACTTGAGAAGCGATGACCTAACTCCGGCCATCGAGTCGTCTGATGGATCTGCAGATATATAACTCAACAAAACAAAATTAAGAGTATATTTTTTCTCAAACCCATCCAAGTAGAAGCTTTGGGTTCAACAAAAAAAAAAATGTGAGAAGCAAATTAAAGAGTTAATAAGACCGATAGATAAAAAAAAAAAAAAAAAAAAAAAAAAAAAAAAAAAAAAGAAGGCCCCAAAATCAATTACGAGCTTGGGAGTCAATTTGTATAATCGCTGATAATGGCAGACGGAATTCAAAATCCAAGTCAATTTGGATTACTTTTTAACTAACTACTTAAGAAATTGAAGAAGAGAATTATATCACTACCTGAAGAAACTTGATGATGATTGATAGCAGTCAGAGATATCTTATTAGGATTCAATCAAATCACTAACAAAAAATACTTGTCAGAGATTAGAGAGAGACATATATTTTTGCTTGGCAAAGAGGGAAAGGAGATGCAAGCTGACGAACAAAAAAAAGAAAATAGAAAAAGCGGTGAAACAAAAACACATACACACGATTTCAATCGTCAACAACAACAACAATACCCAGCCCTCGCTTGTAGCCACCCATAAACTTTGGATCCATTGGGCCTTAGGCCTTTTAATTGCTTCAAATTTGTTACTATTGGGCTTAGTGATTCGTTAATAGTGCCTCCTCCGTAAAAAAACAACGCAAGTGTTATTTGTTGTGTACGGTCGTCGTTTGGGTTCGGATACACTACACACACTCGCGGTCGTCGGACGGGTATAAATAAACGAAATGAAATTAAGAATGACAAAATTGGTGGTGCATTAAGAGGAACAAAACAAACAAACAAACAAAAAGGTCAAAAGCTGTTTGTAGTAGTTCCCGCTTAACGTGTGTATTCTTGTGATTGAACCATCAGACGTGTATCTCTCTCTCTCTCTCTCTCTCTCTCTACGTACATTCGAACATGTAAAACAATCTCCTCGCCATGTCTTCTTTTTTTTATTTACCCAGCTCATATATGCCACTCGCCATTCTCTCATTACACAACCTTATTATAAACTAATCTAAGGTATATAATCTTATCATTAATTACATAACTGATTTTGTCTTATACTACTAATATGGTTACAAATGTAATATCTTACATTGGACACGATATAATATATTTATTTATTTATTTTCTGTACATATTTGTGATACAAATTCACTCAAAATATTGACGGTATTTATCATGGAATATTATATATATACAAACAAATGATATAGATTATGATAACGCTCTATCCAGTGATTCACTACTCTAATCATAAATGTAGCCATGTTATTTACCATCTATATAATTACATATTGTAATAGTATTGGTTTATAAGCTTCTTATCGCATTTTTGGGCTTAAACTAACGTTCCAAAACAAAACAAAAAAAAACTTTCACTATACTCAAATGGGAAGATATAATAAGAGGTTACTTTTTAATATTTTTTAAAATCATAACATCAAAGTTAACGAAATTACAATGGTAACAGATGGAAACAAAATTCACCTTTTTGGCAATAGATCAAAATTAAAAATTATAAAATTAAAAACGGAAATTGATAAAATCCAAATTAACTCGTTTCTTGATAAAAAGCCGTGAATCTCAACACCATTGATGAGATTCCAGAAAGAAAAAACAACGTGTCTTCATCTTCTACTCGGGAGAGAAAACCCCTAAAAAGTTTGTAATCAATTCTCAAATCAAATCTCTCACAAAGCCATTTTCTTATGGGAGAGAACAACATTCACAAAGAGCAAAAGTCACTTTCATACGACAAATCTAATAAACCCTTCTTTCCTTCGTCGTCACCATGCTCGTTTACAGCGATGATCGTCCTCTTGATCTTCGCCTCTTATCTCCTATACTCGTTCAGTTTCATCTCCTTCCTAAACCCATACTCCCCTTCTAAAATCCCCAATTCCCTCCTCGTACCCGTTATCCGTATCGGGTCGGGTCTTAGACCAGAGGAGCAACAACCCCAGACAGAGCTCAAACACATCGTCTTCGGGATCGCCGCCTCCTCAGATCTGTGGAAGCATCGTAGAGAATACGTCAAAACATGGTGGCAGCCTCGTCACCGAGAAATGAAGGGCGCCGTTTGGCTCGACAAGCCCGTCAATGATTCCGTCTCCTCTTCCTCTTCCTTGCCTCGGATCAAAATCTCCTCCGACACCTTGAGCTTCAAGTACCGCTACCGTAGCGGACACAGATCAGCCATCAGGATCACCAGGATCGTGTCGGAGACGGTGAGGATGCTGAACGGGACGGAAGCCGAGAGAAACGTCAGGTGGGTTGTGATGGGTGACGACGACACTGTGTTCTTCACGGAGAACCTTGTTAGGGTTTTGAGAAAGTACGATCACAAACAGTTCTATTACATAGGAGCTCCGTCGGAGAGTCATCTGCAGAACCTGCACCAGTTCTCGTACGGGATGGCGTACGGCGGAGGTGGGTTTGCTATAAGCTATCCGCTGGCCAAGGTTCTGGAGAAGATGCAAGATCGCTGTATTGAGAGATACGCTGATCTGTATGGCTCAGATGATAGGGTCCATGCTTGTATGGCTGAGATTGGCGTTCCTCTCACCAAAGAAGTTGGATTCCACCAGGTTCCTTCTTCTCTTCTCTCTATTCATTTCATTTTTTCTCGTTTTTGGTTTAGTGATGATCAGATAACAAAACGTCAAAAAAACTTTTAAATCCGTGATTTGATTCATTTTGCCACTGACGACTCCTTTTCTAAAACCATAGAAACCATCTCCACACTCGTTAGTCTCTCTACTCTATTGGTGATGATTAACTAGTATCCTAGAATGTGAGTTTTATATTAGTTTGTTTGTTGTTGCAAAATTTGATAACAAAATTTTGGTTTTAGAGGCGATTGATAATTTGTGTTTAAAAGTTTGATTTTTTTCACCAAGAGTGGACAAATTTTGTATTTTTAGTATAATATTCTTTTTAAGTAATATTGATGCATTTCATGAATATTGGTGATTAAGGTTTAACTGATGTAGATACATGAATTACAAAACAGATGGATGTATACGGGAATCTCTTAGGCCTATTGTCAGTCCATCCGCAAGCGCCGATAGTGTCAATCCATCACCTAGACGTGGTCGACCCTATATTCCCAAAGACAGACCGAGTCAACGCCGTAAAGAAACTGATGATCCCAGCAAAACTCGATTCAGCCAGTCTTGTCCAGCAGTCGGTATGCTACGATACAACTCGACAGTGGACAATGTCAGTCTCGTGGGGGTACACGGTTCAAATCACGCGTACCTATATGCCAGCAAGAATGATGGAGATGCCCACCCGCACTTTTAACGACTGGCACAAACGCCACGATTTCACTAACCTTGCCTTCAACACACGTCCCATTACATACACTGACTGCCAGCGTCCGCGTGTGTTTTATCTCTCTCGTGCGTTTAGCAATTCCTCTTCCGATACAACCATTACCGAATATCTAAGGCACGATGAATGGTATCCCAAATGCGACTGGGGGATCGCGGATCCTTCCGATATCAATCAGATAGTTGTCCACAAAAAGCCTAACCCGGATAGGTGGAACAAGGTAAACTTTTGACTTTTGTTCATCTATTATATTATACGAAGTTTATTATAATGTTGGTGACAAAATCAAAATGTTCTATTTAGGCTCCCCGGAGAGATTGTTGTAGATTAGTGCCTACAAGGAAGAAGGGAACAATGGTGCTAAACGTGGCAGCTTGTGCAAATGACGAGATTGTTGCTTATTCTGATAAATAGTTTTCTTGTTTACTCTTTTTACAAATAGTCTTTACAAAGAGGACTTGCTTTTTTTGTTTGTTTTTTGTTAGTCACATTTATATAGTTAGGGAATAAAATACATCTTTTTGATCAAATATTCACCAACTACAGTATGAGTGTGACTATGTATAGTGTATACAAATCTCTTTGTATTTTTTTTCTCTCTATGAAAACTATTTGAAAAAAAAAAAAAAAAAAAAAGCACCTCAGTTGTATAATCATATATATATACATGGGCTTTGTTCAAAAAAATAATATATATACATGGGCTTCAGGCCCATTAGTTTTATTAATGACAAATTGAAAACGGAACAGCTGGCCAGGGGGTAATGACGCGTTCGTTGACTTGGTCTCTCTCTCTCTCTTTCTCTCTCGTTTCATTTCATAACATTTTTGTTTGTCTGCCTGTCTGATCTGTTCAATCAATAATCGAATTCGACTGCAATAATTTCCACGAAAATGGCGATCCTCTACTCAAGGATCGTATTGTATCTCTTTGTCTTCCTTCTATCGTCTTCTGTGTTTGCCTCTTCTTTCTCTCCTCCGGACGAGTACCTCGTCAACTGTGGTTCCGACGTTGACTCCACCGTCATCGATAACCGCCGCTTCGTCGGCGACGCAACCGTGGATCTCTTCTCATCTGAAGGTTCAATCGCTCTCCGAGGAGAACATCTATCTCCGAACGTCCCACAGATCTACAGAACCGCTAGAGTTTTTGCGCGACAGGGGAAATACAAGTTCAATGTCAACGAGGCAGGGACGCATATGGTACGTCTCCATTTCAATCGGCTCGATTCCTCTAAAATCGAGATCGGTGACGCTCTGTTTCACGTTATCGTTAATGGTCATGTCGTGCTTAGGAATTTTAGCGGCGATGACTCGTCGTCTAATTTTGAATCTAGGGTTAGAGAATTCTTGATTTGGGTCGATGTTGGAGAGCTTGTTATCAGGTTCGTTCCTAGTCAAGATTCTAAATTTGCCTTCGTTAATGCCATCGAAGTCATATCTGCGCCTAAGGATTTGATTGCTGACGTTGCAACCTCTGTATCCCGTGACGGAACTGACAAGTTCAATGGTTTAGCTAAACAAGCTATGGAAGTTGTGTACAGAATCAATGTTGGTGGTAGAAAAGTTACTCCTTTTAATGACACGTTGTGGAGGACTTGGCTTCCTGATGATGACTTCTTCAAAACCGGTGATGGGTCTTCTGAGAAAACTTACTTCACCGGTAGGATTAAGTATAGGTCCGGAGGGGCTAGCCGAGAAGTTGGACCTGATAACGTCTACAACACTGCCCGTGTGAGTAAAAGAAGCAGAGGGTTGGTTGATATGAGCTGGGATTTCCCAGTGACTGCGGGTTACAAGTATCTCATTCGGATGCATTTCTGTGACATAGCTAGCAAATCACTCGGCAGGCTATATTTCAATGTTTACATTAACGGGAACTTGGCGTACCAAGATTTTGATCTCTCATACGCTGCGGATAATGTCCTTGCTTCTCCGTATTACATTGATTTCGTCGTCGATCCTACTGCTGATTACAACAACAACAACAACAACAGCCCTTCAGGATCGCCGATTACCGTAAGTGTTGGACCATCAAACAAGACTAGTGTTGATGAAGGCGGAGTTGATGCGATATTAAACGGTGTTGAGATCATGAAGATGAGTAACTCAATGGGTAGTCTTGCTGGGTATGTTTCAGCAGAGACAATTCTGAGTAGTTGCCCGAATAGAAGAAACCTGAGCATATTTATCGCAATGTTGGCGTTTATGTGTATATTTATGAGCTTCTACATTGTGGCTCAAAGGAAGAAAGCTAGGGATAACTATGGCTGGACAAAGCTGTCCTTGGACGTCCTTGAAGATCATCCCAAATCCGGGAATCAATTTATAGCAAGAAAGGCTTGATGATGCTTTTGCTTGTTTGGATATATTAACAATGGACACTTTTCCTTTTGAGTTTTTGTTTTCTACTTTTATACGATTGAATAATCTTCTTTTTTTTCTTAGTTAGGTTTGTAATGTTTAACAGTGGTGTTGAATGTGTTGTTTATACATACGTATGTAACTGGTGTATTTATTCAATGATATATGGAGAGACTCTATGTAATCTTCGAAATGGATTTGGATTTTTTCTTTTATGTTCATATTGATCATGTTTTTTTTTTTTTTTTTTTTTTTTTTATCATGTTTATAAAGCGATGTCTCTTTTGTTTGATAAAACTACTGTAGTAACCTTTTCGGCTTTTCTAATACCACTTTCAATTCAAATAGCCAAATTACTACTGCAACTGTTGTCTTATAATTTCTGTGAAATAGGTGATTCATTAAACAAATATTAGACAATCAATCTATAGAAAGGTCAAAGGTCGCGGTGATGTCATGTCAGGACGATGAGCAACGAAAGAATGGTACGGTTACCGTACCGCATGATCCTTACCTCCGAATCAAGTGATTACATCATAACCATTAATCTACGAAGAGTTGCCATTAGATTTTTGTCTTTTGTTCTCTTTTCACCAAAACATGAAATCAGAAACTATATATGTATTCTTAATTAAATAGCGTTAGGGCATCCTCATTGCTAGTATTTTAGGGGGTAAGATCCCTTAAGATTTGCAAAGGAAAATCCTTATATAAGATAATTTTTTTGCAAATCTTAGGAGATCTTACCCCCTAATATACTAGCAATGAGGATGGTCTTAGAGAAATAAAAGTTGCATGGTCCTTGGCATCTTCCCAAAAGTCAAAATACGAACTTGTACTAATCTTCTTCTAATCCCCTCTAGTTCAATATTTATCCATTTTTACTTCATGTTGACAAAAACAATTAAAATTAAAAACAACAAGATGATCCATGGAGAGAGCCACATGCCTGAACCATGCACTGGTAAGTACTTTATCATACATTCCGTACGAGGCACTCCATTACAACATAATATGTATTAACGCATTCTCTTATATATATATACACTTCCTTCTTCTCTCTTTCTCCACAACAACATTAAATCAAGATCAAGAGAAAGAGAGCAAATTAGAGAGAAGATAATATGGACAACAGCAAAAAAGTTTCAGCCACAAACCCATCGTCGGGAGATGAGTTCAAAGATGTGGTTAAGGGATTGATTAAGCTCTTGATGCTGGTGATTTTCCTTGGAGTCCTCTTCATTTGGGTCGTTATGCCAACAATGGTCTATCGAACCAAGTGGCTACCTGTCATGCGCACCGAGTTTAGTACATCGACTTATTTTGGTGCAATAGGTTCGTATATACTATATTAATCAATCTTGTTGATAATCATTTTCCTTAAATGATCACATTGTATAATAATTACAAAATGTGACGGTTTTGACTGTCTCTGTTTTGGCGGTATGCAGGCTTGACCTTCTTCATGTTCATGTTCCCTATGGTCCTCCTGGCTTGTTTGGGATGTCTCTACCTTCACTTGAAGAAACCAAAGACTACTAATCATCTCGTCAGGTAATTATATACTCATCAACTAACCACGCTCATTCATTAATTAAAACTATATGTATTCCTTCGTGACGACACAAATGTATATATATATGACCTTAATTGACAGAGAGAAGATGACTGAGGGAGGGGTGTTAGCAGCCATGAGAAGGCCGATGCTGGTCAAAGGGCCACTGGGGATAGTCTCAGCTACTGAACTAGTCTTGTTTGCAATGTTTGTGGTTCTTCTTCTTTGGGAATTTTTCATGTACATGCGCAATGCGTTCCCTACCATTACTCCTCAATCAGCCGCTAAACATCACCAAAAACTGTAAGTACTTTTTTCACAAATACAGCTTAATTAATTGGTTTCTATTAATAACTTCATGAGTATTTTAATAATTCCAACATTATATATAGATGGCAAGCGAGGTTGGAGGCAATGGCAATAAGGATCGGGCTAGTCGGAAACTGTTGTCTAGCTTTCATATTCATACCGGTGGTGCGTGGGTCATCATTGCTTCCGGTTATAGGGCTGACGTCGGAGTCAAGCATCAAGTACCATATATGGCTCGGTCACTTGCTCATGACCTTCTTAACCGCTCATGGTCTCTGTTTCATTGTCTATTGGGCCTCAATGCATGAACTTTCTCAGATGGTGAGCTGGGGCAAGACCGACATGTCGTATGTTGCCGGAGAGATAGCTTTGCTGTCTGGACTTGTGATGTGGGCTACTACATATCCATCTATTAGAAGGAGATTCTTTGAACTTTTCTTCTATAGTCACCACCTTTACATCGTCTTCATGCTCTTCTACGTCCTCCACGTAGGCGTCGCTTTCTGCTTTATCAGCTTCCCCGGTTTCTATATCTTCATGGTTGATCGTTTCTTGAGGTTTCTTCAGTCACGCGACAATATTCGGTTGAGCTCTGCACGTGTTCTTCCTTCCGACGCCGTTGAGCTCACTTTCTTCAAAAACAAAGGTGAGTTCTTAATTATCAAGTTTACATGTATGATTCAGGATTCTGTTCTTCTAGTTAATTAATCTCTATGGGGACTAATTACATATATATTTTGGACTTGTCCTGATAGGGTTAGGCTGGACCAGTCTTAAGGTTTTTGGCACACCATAAATATAGCTAATCATATAAATATTGTGTTATCTTACAGAATTGGTTTATAACCCGACGAGCATATTGTTTGTGAACATACCGAGCATTTCGAAGCTGCAATGGCATCCATTTACGATTACTTCTAGCAGTAACCTCGAAGCAGATAAGCTAAGCATTGTGATTAAGAGCGATGGGAAATGGTCTACAAAGCTTTACCAGATGCTTTCTTCTTCTGATCACACCGATCGTTCTCTTTCTGTTTCTGTCGAGGGACCCTATGGACCTGTTTCAACAAATTTCTTAAGGTAACATAATCAATTTTAAACGTTGATATTCGATCGTGTGGTTAATCAAGCAAAATGGATTAGGGCTGGTCTTTCTTGTGCCTCAAGTAAGCTTTTTTTCCTTTTACCAGGCACGACTCTTTGGTTATGGTTAGCGGAGGCAGCGGAATTACCCCATTCATATCTATCATCCGTGACTTAATCTCCATGAGCCAAACAACGACATGTGAACTTCCCAAAATTACCCTGATTTGCTCGTTCAAGAAGGCTTCTGATATCTCCATGCTTGACCTCATCCTCCCCACATCTGGTCTCGAATTATCATCATCTGACCTGAATATCCAAATTGAGGCCTTCATCACCAAAGAGACAGAAGCAAGAAACGAAGAAAAACAGGAGATCAGAACCATCTGGTTCAAACCAAGTCCCTCGGACCAACCAATCTCAGCAATCCTAGGACCAAACTCATGGCTTTGTCTTGCTGCCATCCTGGCATCTTCCACCATAATCTTCATGATAGTCATCGGAGTCATGACAAGATACTACATTTACCCGATCGATAAAAATAAGAACCTGTACAATGCCACATCAAGATCAATCCTTTATCTTTTGGTCCTCTGTGTTAGCATCATGATGACGTCAAGTGCAGCTGTATTGTGGAACAAGAAGAAGTACAATGCTGAGAGCAGTAAACAGGTCCAAAACGTCGACATACAAAGCCCAACATTATCTCCTAGCTCATGGGCTAACAGAGAAATTGAGAGCAGTCCTCAAGAGTCGCTTGTTCAGTGCACCAACCTCCATTTCGGTGAAAGACCAGACCTCAAGAGTAAGTATACGTTTAAAAATTCTGTATACTCAACATTTGCAAATATACATAACACTCTGTATAATAACCATATATATATGTTTTGATAATGTGCAATGAAAGCAGAGTTTCTACTAGAGACCAAAGGTGCAAGTGTGGGAGTGATGGTGTGCGGTCCAAAGAAGATGAGACAAGCAGTGGCCAAGATTTGCTCATCTGGTTTGGCTGAGAATCTTCACTTTGAATCCATCAGTTTCAGCTGGTGATTACGCATTTATAATAAATATACATAGCTCCTCCTCTATTTGTGTGGTTTGCTTTGTGGACTCCCCTCTCTGTTTTTTTTTTTTCTTCTAAGGAATATTATTGCGGAAAAGGCCCCTAGTGTTTCGAACCATTCCTGTTTTTAAGTTTTGTATTTCCTGATGTGACGATTTGGTCCAAATCGAGGTGTGTAACATATTATATATTACGTAAATTCTGAAAATGTGTGATTCCATTATGGTATTGAATCTTTGATTAATTTGACACCACTTCTTTCATTAATTTGAAAGAAGAAAAAAAACACACACATAAACAAAACAAAAAAAAGCAAAGGTAATAAACGGGAAAATAGCATTACGAGTAATGAATGAGCAAGAACAAGTGATTTGTGTAACAGTCACTCCGTTCATAATACAATAACTAGTGGACCTTTTATTAAAAGTGAGGCTAAAATATACTTTTACGCCACTCATACTCAACATTATGTGTATTCTAAAGTAGCTTGAAGTAAATTAAAAATGAAGAATCAACCAAGCATTGATCTTAGTCATGTGTGTTGATATATTAGCTATCTCTCTATACTCTGTAGTAGTATGAATTAGAATATATTAGCTATATCTTTCTTAATAGAATGTGAATAGCTATATCCTATGTTCTTCAACTATTGTACGTATTTATCTTTTTTGCTTTTCTCATTATTTCGTCACTAACCCAATAATATAAGACCATATAACCCCAACGAGGATGCCCTAGTACACATATTTTTTTTTAACCAAATTGACATGTTTGGTTGTTTAACACAAGGCATCATACATATACATAGTTTTATTATCTCTTTTGGCGTACGTCATCTACTTTCTCTCTATACAATATATCCCGCCCTCGCGTTCCACGCTTACACCAAATTGTATATTACAAATTGATATAAATAGCCAACCCAAGTCTTATATATATATCCTCCTCCTCTCAAAATCTTGCTTTCTTTAGTTCTTCAATTTTCATAGAAACAAAATATTTTTAAATTCTTAGATTTTTCTCATATTTCACCATCCTTTAACAACAAAAAATAAAAGAGAATCATGGGCTTGTCTCACGGCGGCGCCGGAGTTATCATCATCGGAGTTATTCTGAATGATTTGATCAAAACGGTTCGTTCTTTGATTGATCCTCGTCGTTGGCTTGGTGTTTATTATACGTGGGGGAGTAGTAGTACTATCTCCTCTGGCCTAAACAAAATTCCGATAGACGATATGTTGCCGGCAACAAAATTCGAGGAGATGTCGTCAAGAAGGGTAAATCTGCCGGAGAGCTGCCGGATATGCCAAGAGGAGTTCGACGGCGGTGAGGATGTACGGTGTTTGAGGAATTGCGTACACGTTTATCACAGGGCGTGTATTGACCGTTGGATCCGTGACGATAAGATGACATGCCCTTTGTGTCGGACACCCATCGTCCCTGATTTCTATTTTTTCCGTTTGTAAAATTTAGAAAGAAAGAAGGCTTTATTACGTCTGTTTTCCATTATTATTAGATTACCACAAAAAAAAAACAACTCATTGTTGGGCCTTTCTTAATACAGCCCACATTGCTATTTCTAAGACTGAGAAAAGCGCCAATACTCTCTCTCTCTCTCGATAAAACCACGAGTTACACGTGGCAGTTTCACTTAACACATTTTTGTGTGTATTAATTAATTACGCCTGAAATACATTTTTTTTTTGGGTTATAGGATGCATACTACTGGGGCTACTGCATAGAGAGGTTAATTTCGCTATTAATAATATCAAAGATAATAATTAGTACAGTCACGTAAGCGTTAGAGATGCTGATAAATTTTTATACGTCCCCGGTGCACCTAACTTTATATAGTAAATACAAAGACTGACCGTCAGATTCTCTAGTGTGTCTACCTCCTCCTCACGCTTACTGAATTTGATTCGAATCGTGGCAGTTGATTCTCTTTGACCACCACGATCTAACGGCGGCCGTTTCCCCGACGGAGCTCCATCCACCACCACCATCGTTTGCCCCATTCCGTTCACACGTGTTCGCCACTCTCTTGCCTGTCGCGCGTAGCTCTCACGCTCCATATTTCTGTTTGTTTGTTTTGTTTTATGATGTCCCTTAATCAGTAGTGCACGATGATCTTTTAAGTTTTAACTCTTGAGGCTTTGGTCTGATTTCATTTCCAAACACCTTTTTAAGTTTAAACAAAAAAAACCTCGGAGTCGGAGGGAAGAAAATCCCATGTGCATGGTCTCAGTCAAACTCACCAAGTCACGTGACCCCATTGCCTCTATCACGTGATATATAGACGAGTACCCAATTTTGGATATCCACATATATATATGTCAGATGATTCTTAGATATAGATCCTTCAGGACATTTTTTTCTTGTTTTTACAGTGCTGTTTGTAAATCCCATTCATTTATGCCGTTGACATAAATATTTTAAAGATGTAATTAGGGAAATGACTTTACAAAAAAAATAAAATAAAAATTATTACAATTTATGTAGTTGACAAAAATAAAAAAGGATATATACATACAATATTGACCAAAAAAAGGAGTTGGATGTTAGGGTGGATCTTAACACAGGCGATTGTTGTCCTTGGAACTTAAATTTGGTAAAATTTAGCGGCAGCTTTTATTTTTATTTTAATATTTCTGACTAAATATATATGGAAGAGGGATATAATAGGGAATGAAAGTAAAAAACCTAAGGACATTTCCGTCCAATGAGAAAAAAACATATTGGAAAATATATTATGAAGGTCCGAGAAAAGCAAAATCAACTAAAATAAAATAAAATAAAATAAAAGAACCCTCCTCTCTCTATCGACTTGTGTGAGATCTGCTCCAAGAAAAATAAAAACTGGCGAGGAGGAAGAGGTGAATCGAGTCTATATGCTTACGTGGTGACCCAAAATATTAAGCGTGTTTATACATCTTCCTTCTTCTGTCTCTTCTTCTTCTTCTTTTCGGGGTAAAAAAAAAAAAAAGAGAACAAAATGAGGATTCGGAAGAACACGAAGCTGGCATCGGTTCTTTTAGCGACAGCAGGGTACGGCGGAGAGAGACAGGAGACGTATGTCTGTCACTTAAACCAGTCTCCATGGGATGTGATTCCTGTCACTTCCTCGGGCGATTGCGACTTAACAAACCTGCTCGACTCGTCGTGGTTCCTCCCTCTATCGTCTTCTTCTTCCTCCTCCTCCTCCCCGCCCCTCCTTCACCAGGTAATTCAATTCGTTTCCTTCTTTTGATTCCCATTTCGATTTCGTTTCCAACCAATGCCCGGCATTAGGGTTTCTTATCGTTATCTTCTTTTTTTATATCTTCCTTCGGGATACTTTGCAAAGAACCCTAAAAAAATTATGGATTTTGAGTTGCTGGGTCGTTTAATCTCTCGATTTGTGCCACTGGGTCGTTGTTATTTCGCTTCCTTGATTCCCATTTCCTTCTCTATCTCCGATTATTCTTTCTTTTTTTTCTCTCTTCGTTATTACAAAAGTGTCTCCACAATTATTTATTTTTCTTCGTTAATGACTCTCAGTTCAATGGAGAAGACAGCTTCAATGGGGATGTGAGCTTGGGAGATTGTAATGGCGCTGCTGTTAGGTATATTCTCCTTTTCCAATCCACTTGTCAAATTATCCAACTATTGTCTGCTGCTTCTCTTTCGTTTTGCTTCCATTCTTCTATATTTTCTTTTTTAGGGTTTTACTCGTGTTTTTGATAATCGGGTTATCTAATTTCGCCCGAATCCAATTGCCGGGTGACCCGGTTTCAATTATTCTTTAATTTTTTAATTTTATCGTCCAGATTTAATAACTCCATGGGAAACAATCACAGCTTCGTCACCGTCGAGAAACTTAATCTCAATGCGGCCGAGGATAAGTACGAGATGTCGCCGGACGCTAACGAACCAATGGATCAGAGCGATGATAACAGCGACAAGATATCCGAATCTCTCCCCGAGCCTAATTCGCCGTTCGAAACCTCCGGCGACGAGGACCAAGCGTGTGCTGTTACGATGCCGGCGCCGCCTAAACGAGGACGGCCACGTGGTACGGGAAAGAAAGCTCTAGCTTCGGCTGCGGCATCGAAGAATCCGTACGAGTTCTACTACTACTCCGGTTTCGGGCCGCGGTGGGGGAGAAAAAGAGGCGGCTCCGACGACGAGAAGATAGGTTTGGGCGATAATAATAATAATAATAAAAAGAGTAGAAGTAGCGACGAAGAGGGGGATAAAACGGCGGCGTTTGGAAGTGGGAGTGTGAGCTTTGATTATGTGGAAGAGGATGACGTGGACGTGATGGATGAAGATGAAGAGAGTGATCATGGGAAGAAGAAAAGGAAAGACAAGTTGATGAAGAAGACGATCAAGAGAGCAAGGAAGCCCGTAAAGGAAAGGTCTTTGAAATCCCTCATGTGAAATATTTTCTGTTTTCTCAGGCTACTTCTGTCTTTTCCTTTTTTTGTTTTGTTTATTGTCTGTTTATTTTTTATTTTTGTGTGGACTTGGTCTGAACATTTGTAGGAAGATCCTCTACATCTCTGTTGTATTTTCTTAGACGACTCTGTTTTAGTTTTTCATTAAAATTGTTTTCTTAAAACTTTCCTGTTCTCTATTCTTGTTTTTTTTTTTTAAATCTATCGTTAAACTCTTTTTTGAAACTTTTTTTTTTTGAGTCAATGCTATCATGAAAGTTTAAACCTCATTGTGATTGATACTTATAACTTTCTAAGCTAAATTATTGTTTACAACAACAAAAATATTTGAAAGTTTTATTTTTGATCACTTTGATACTGCTTTAATAGTTACTAGGTTCGGACCCGCGCTACAGCGCGGAGGAAATAATTACGTATATACAACCTTTAACGGATTACAATATGTTCATGTTAATGTTATTGCAATGCAGTCGATTACGGTGAATCATATATCTATGTAATAAGTTTAAATAAAAAATATAAATGAAAAGCGAGTAAATAATAATACATTGAGTTTTGATACAATTAAAAACAGTTAATATTTATCGACAAATTATTCAACTTGACCATTTTTGTAGTAGAAGTAGGAATATATGTAAAAATTACATACTTACAATATATTTTTTGAAGGACTAACCCGTTACAGAATTCATTTTTTAAAAAAAAATTATTCATAACTCGCTTTACAATTATAATTGTTATTTTAACAAACTACCCGCAAATTATCTAAAATTTACATAGTTTAATATGTAATATATTTTATCAATAAAAATTATGTCTCCAAAATAACATCTATGTCTCCAATATTTTTTTTTATATTTTAAATTCTAAATTTTTATATATTTGAACCTTTTAATTATAATATTTTAAAACTTTTGAAACTTTTAAATATGCTCATGTAACAATGGTTTTAATATTGGTCATACTTATACTGATTTTAAATCATTCTCCAAAATATTATATGTCCGTTTTGAAAAATTCAAAATGCAACATATGCAAAAAAATAATTCAATTTTTATTAAATATTTTTATTATATAGTATAATATCATAAATTAAAAATAATATCAAATAAAAGTTAAAGAAGAATAATAATTGTTTAGTTAGAGATTTATTAGGAAATCATAAAATTAGTTATGGAAATAATATAATTTGAAATGTAGATATGGAAAGTATCCGATGTATGTATCCAAACCCAATTTAATATCCAATTTTAAAGTATCCAATTGTTAAAATCGGATTAATTTTTTAATTTTGACCCGACCCGTATTCTATTTTGTACTTCTCTTTTACTAATATAGGGATTACTAATAATTAATTTATTCATCTATACATTTTTCCTTACCATTTTTATTTTTTAACGTTTAATTATACTATTTTCCACTCGCGGATTAGTCTTTTAATCTAAAAATATTACAAAATTAGAGTTTTCTATGATAATTAAGGATATAAAAAATTTTAAGAGCGTCTCTCATTTTTTAAATTAAAACTTATATCATTGTATCTACCGAATATTAGAATTTTTTTGTTGACAAAAAAAATTATAAAAACAAGAAAAATTTATTTTTGGATATAAGAATAAATTGCAATTTATATGACATAAAATTCTCGTCCTCCGTACAATAATCAACATTTCAACAATTCGGCGGTCTCGTAGTAATTCAAAACAGTTATTAGAAATTGATATATTAGTTACATAAATTTATATCAAGTTATTGAATTAGTATTACAAATACAGGCTAAATTGCTAATAACATAAAACATACCAGAAAAATAATATGAAAGTTAACAATATATTTACAAAAATTTGATACCTAAAACTTTGTTATAAATTCATACTAGTATGTATAGATTGCAACAACTTAGGACCATCGTTGGGGAAACTAGGAGAAGATTTGACCAGAATTTGTGGTTATACGTCTAACCGTACATTTAATGGCTTTGAGTAAAAATATCTTCTAAATGCAAGATGTAAAATATATTTTAATTCATTTTTAATTGTTTAATTTAGATTTATTTAGTGTTTATTTATGTAATAAAATTAGACCAATAGTTACATACTTTCTACTTTTTTTTTTAATCTTAGTTTAAGTAAGCTATATATTTTTTTGCTGTAATTTTGGATAATAAAATGATTAATCGCTATTTTAGATACACTCTTGACTCTTCTCCTCCAACTATGTTAATTATATGATGACGTGGAAGTTTGAGTATCAAGAAATAAAACTGTCAAAATATATACAGTAGTCTGTTGCACTGAGCCACTGACCAAAGAAGATCGGTGATATTAATAGCTTGTATTAAAACAGTGATAGATCCATAATATTACCTTATGAGGACAACAATTGTATTAATTAACGTGACTTCTTCAAGGATATATACAAGATATTTTAAAAAAGATTATGATTTCTAACAATTCAATTCAACAGTCAATACTTCATAAAAGTTTATCTTTATGCTTTCTTACCTTATCTATGTCAACATGCTCTTGTAATAGCTATAGGTTAGATTAATGGTTATGTATATATTAGGTTGACTGAAAATGTTTTTTTTTAGTGAATCATTCATTTATAGTAACTTAACGTGTATGGTAATAACTCAATTCAAATACACACCGTTAGTATTAATTATTATGTTTCAGAAGAGAAAACAATTTCAAATCAACAATTATCGTCGTGCGTATTGCGTACAATAATCATCCTGGAATAGGACAAATTAATATTCAAAACAACAATGAGTAATATAAGGTGTAGAGAACCTCAAAGACTTGTGTTGAGTAGCTCTCTGTAATCTTTACGAATTCCCCACAAAATCTCACTGCATTTTTTCATGCTTGGTCTAGAACGTCTATGAGGAGCAAGACACTGAAACGCCATCTCCAACACCTTCTCTAATGCTAAGTTGTTCGCTGGACTCTGTTCTAGCTTCGGGTCCAATACCGATATTGAATCTCCACCCGTGAACTTCTTTATCGCCTGATCAAATGATGATCACGACCATTCAAAAACCGAATCAAAATTAAACACGTACGTACGAGCCATACTTAATCCTACTATATATAGTAACTAAGATAATGTTTACCCATCTAATGGTGATGCGTTCTTTTTGTCCTCTGCTTAGCTCAATGGGACGTCGACCTGTGAGAATCTCGACGAGCAGGACACCGAACGAGTAGACGTCGCTTTTCTCTGTGAGTTGATACGTTGTCAAGTACTCTGGGTCTAGGTAACCTGCGGTTCCTTTGACTTGTGTCGAGACATGCGTGGCTCCTGATTCGGTATCCGGAGCCAATCTTGCGAATCCGAAATCTGCAACCTTGGCTCTGAAATTCTCAGTGAGGAGAATGTTCGAAGATTTGATGTCTCTGTGGATGATAGGTGGCTCTATATTTATTATACATCAAATAAAAAAAGCGAATGAGTCAAAGAACAAGTACAACTTCCATGGAAGGAACTAATAAGGAAAGATATATATTAAGGATTCTTACGTGTATACATGTGAAGATAGGTAATGGCATGAGCCACATCGGTTGCGATATCTAGCCGAGTCGCCATGTCTAGAACCTTTCCATCCTTGCCTGGAAACAGATTCAGTTCGAGATTCAAGAACAATGTTGGATTTGCTTGAAAGAATATTGAAAGGAGGGAGTAAAAAGTACTGACAATCCAAGTGATCCCTGAGAGTCCCATTGGCTACATACTCGACAATGAGAAGCTTCTCGTCATCTTGCACCACAAATCCATAATATTTAACCAGACTCAGATGTGTAACTTGAGCCAAGGTCTGAATCTCACTCTTAAACTCTGCACCTTGACGGTCGTCGTGCATACTCTGCATTTGTGTATATACCCATAAATGATCATATTATAATTATAAGCAACAAAATGTGATATTTGAGTTTTTCTAAGTAGCAGAAAGGTAAAGAAAATGATCGTAAAGAGATGATGGAGGAGAGACCTTTTTGGCACGTTTGACAGCTACGGTAGTGCCATCTCTAAGTTTGACCTTGTAAACAGTCCCAAAACCTCCTTGGCCGATCCTGAAGGATGGGGAGAAGTTCTTGGTAGCGTCGTAGATTTCATGGAAGGTGAATCTTGGATGCTCTGTTTCGTTAGCATTCCCATAATGCCTCTGCAAGCTTCCTGTTGAGCTCCTTCTACTACGGATGTTCTGTTCTGTTCAGAGTATACAGACACACAAAGACCAGAATAATAATTATAAACTGTGACATTAAAAAAAAACGATTAATCTTATGATCGATCAAACGGTAAAATTAAGTAATTAACAACATCAAACAACTATGAGAAATACAGAAATAAAAAAACGATGTACCTAAAACCTTTGTGAGAGTTTGAATTTGCAAGACTAGAATTCAAGAAAGCTGAGAAAGAAAGAAAGAAAGAAAGAGGAGGGGATGGAGATAACAGATACCAGAGGAAGAGGACTTAGAGTCGTGGAAATCTTTGGAGGAAAGGGAATCGGGAGGAGTGAAGCAGTTGATGAAGATGCCTGAGATCCAACTAGCGACGGAGCTGCTGGATTTGTCGGTGGTGGTGGTGGTAGGTGTAGGGGTAGGGAAGGAGCGATCGGTGATGGAGCTCGTTATGCTGTAATTAGAAGATGCGGTTGCAGGAGAAGATCCGCCGGTGTAGCTATGTCTCCGACGACTGGGCATCGGAAGTTTTGTTAAAGAACGTAGCAAGCAATAGAGGAGGACAAGGAGAAGAGACTGACTTTACACCATTTCAACTTACTTTTTTCTTCTTCTCCGTTGATTATTTTTTCTTCCTTCTTTTTTTTTTTATTTTTTTTTTGGGTATTTATTGCCGCCAGCTACACAACTTGACGACGTTATCGCAATTTATACCCGACAAGCTTTGATTATTAAGCCGCGTATATATATATATATATATATATTAGTCTAGTGATCTGGATTAGTTGTTTTAAATTTTGAAATTATCGTTGATTTGTAATAACTGAAAAATATATGATAGACTACTATTATTATTCGTTTATTACACGTAGTATTATGATGCCCGTGGATAATCAGACAAGACTATTATTCGTTATTACATAATAAACTACTAGTATCTAACTATTTATCAAATCTACGGAAGTTATGTGTGTGTAATATTTTTGTTATGAATATGGAAATTAAGTTGTCAACAATAGATAATTACGGCAAAAAAATGTGGAAAACGATGTAGATGAATAGGAGGATACCATTATTAGTTGAATACTAACCATAACCTATTCGTATGAATTCAATAGCGGCCACCATTATTAATAAATTATCAGACGGGTCTATTTATCAATCTCTTGTTTAAATGCGCAATAATCCCAAAATCGCATTAAATTTTGTAAGTTTCACAACATATGTAGATGTGCTAGTATACTAAAGAAAGAGGTACAGTATTTCAATTTTTCATTGTACAACATATATTCCCCTAAGAATAAGATACGTTTCTTTAATTAAGGGTTGGGTAGGCTTAAATGAAATTGGTAAACTAAAAGTAAGTAACTTTGATTTTAATTTAATCAATAATATTAGATTAGGATATATGGTTGGGAAGGAAGATTCATGGCAGTTGAAGTATGGATGATATTTCAATAGCCTCTGACGGAGACACAAGGTTTGACATATGTTTGACCTTTTTTTTATTAATGGGCCATGGTCCAAAATGTTTGTAGCCCATGCTTCAGAACATTAGCCCACGTGTCTATCTAACCGACGTCGTACTGTTATCCGGTTAAATAATAATGAGTTGCAGTGTCGGGAAGAATAATAATTAGGCAGAGTAATAAAGGGTGTGGGGTGGGGAAGATAGTTTAATTAACGACGATGATTAGCCTAAGCCTAATAATATAGTGAGAGAGGGCTCCCTTCTCCCTTGGCCAGCATTTCACTTTTCATCACCGGAGACGGACGGAGGACGATATCATAATCTCCGTCGACTTCTCAGGTTACCTTCGTTTTCTATTGCTTTCTTCGGTTTACGAATCCGTCTCTCATTTTTATTTTCTTTCCGGCATCTGTTCCGTTTTTTTTCTTCTAAAATAATTGTCTTGACCGCTTCTTCAATTTCTAGGGTTCACTCTATTGTCTGTGCTATTTTACGTTTTCAATTTCAATGTTTATGTGTTGGGGATTTGGCTGAATCGATCTCATGCTGTATTTAGTTTCTTAAGTTCTTCTTATGTGGTAGAGCTACGTTGTTATCAATTTTGAAGATGATTGTCTTATTTGATTATTATTGGACGAACATTGAAAATTTATTCACTGTCTTTGGTTGCAACTAGACTAAATCCTCCTTAAGATGTTCACATTCTTTGTAAAATTCAAGTTTTCAGCTATCTCCTACACAGAGCATTCTGGTACCTTTGTGATGAACTCTTCTCTGGGATTTTTGCTTACTAACACTTCGATAATGACTTCACTTTTACTGTTTTTTTGGGTTTGTTAAGTCAAAGTGTACTTTATTAATTAATCTTGTTTCATTCAATAAGGAAGACTCTTTATCTTCTTTCTTTCCTGCAGGGCATCTGTAAAAATGCTTCAAGGACTGTTGTCTGCTTAAGTATTTACAGTTGGTGAATATGGGAGGTTGCTGTTGTTCGTCCAGGAAGTCACATCTTGTTGGAACACCTGTTTACTATTATGTCCGTTTTTCTTTGCCTCCCTATCTTTTATTTGTCTTTTCTTTTTGTTACATATCAGAGAATGATGACTTTTAAAGTCTCCACTTTTTTTTTGTATGCTTGAGAGGTTGATTGTTAGAATACTAGAGGTTGTGGGGTTCGCTGTTGTTATGTTACCGTTGTGATAAATGTCTTCTGAACTTATTGTCAACACCATCTACAGTTATTTGATTGTAACACTCTTCATTCGAATATAACTATTTACTTAAGTTTGTTACGCAGTGTCCAGAATCTTTTGAAGAGCTTGGGCCTTCAGGAACACGAGCTGCTGTGGGATCAGCACTCACCACAGGCCTCTTGGTTGATATTGGTTTGGAGACATCTATACCTGACACCTTTTGCGCTCCTGCTCCTCTTCCATATGACATGCTATTGGGGAGACCACTGCCCACAGATTCTGAATCTAGCAAAGGAAGGGTTAGTGGAAGCAGTTTCGAAACGTTACCAACATGTGATGATCTCGGTGGGTCAGACTATAAAACTCAAGACACCTCAGAAATTATTTCGCCTAGGAAATCGGATTTTGCTAATCAGAAAGGGTGGAAGAAATTGGTAGATGAAGAGGAGGAGGAATCTTGTCCCATTTGCTTTGAAGGTAAGAAATCAAGATTGTTGAATGAACAGTTTCATATCGTTTTTGCTTTTATTAAAGCTAGCAAGATCCATAATTCATGTGGTTCATCATCAAGCAGATTATGATGTTGAAAATCCAAGACTAACAACAAAGTGTGAGCATGATTTTCACCTCTCTTGTCTTCTGGAGTGGATTGAAAGAAGCGATAGTTGCCCTATATGTGATAAGGTGTGTTTCCCGCTTGGATTTTATTTTGTATGTTTGCACAGATCAAGTGATTTCAAAAAGTTTGTCATGATGATCAATGCATTGCAGTTTTCTGTTGTTTACTTAGCAGTTCATTCCTATCCGTGTAATAGAAAGGAAACAGAGTTTGAAAATTTGTTGTTAGATATACAATTCATTGATGGTGTTTTGCTTAGATAGGGGAAACAAGTGCACAAATTGGCAACAACATACTAACATAATGTTTTGTTCTCCAATTAATGAGTGCAGGAAGTTGTGTTTGATGATTGCTTGAACTAGCATCACTAGACTACCCCATGGCTTGAAAGTTTGAGGTGTGCCGCTTGATTTGGTTAGTCTACTGCATAAAAAAATTGAATACACGTCTTTTTTGTCGTTGCTGGCACTGTTAGTTCCGTATTGTCTGCTTAGTTAATTTTTTTGTGTGGAATTGGTAATGTTGGTGATATTGTGCAATTGTAAATATTACCTAGCTTGTAGTTCGTCATGTGTGATCCAGTCAGGGTGTGATAAAGAAGAAAGGTCCATTTCAGTTGATATGATTTGCTGGCATCTCTAAAAATAATGTTCACTCTAGTCTTTTTGATAAGTCTTTAGCATATGAATCTTCTTTGTTTGGTTAAAAGAAAAGAGAGATTCAGTTTTAGATGTGGGATGGGGATACTTGCTAGCTAGTAAATCCATATAACAGTCTAAAAAGGAAATTATGAATATTCCAAATAAAATTTGATCGGCGTGCGACTAAAGTCTTGTCGTGTGTGCGTACGATATACTAAAGAGAATATATATAAAATTGATTCTTTGGTAATTCATTTTTGTTTGCCGCATAAACAATAATTAATAATTAAGACTTTTGGGTTAGGAATCAAATATTTTAAGGAGAAGACGAAGAAAAAGATGTCACTGGGTTTGACTTATAAGCACTTATGTCTGCCACCTCCCTTCTCCATTCTTACTAAAATTCCTCTTTTACCCTTTCCTTTTCTTTGATGCTGCTTTTATCACTCCGTCCACGAGAAAACATTTTAGTTTAGCCTCAAGAATGTTAATAAAACTTTACATTTTTGGATCGCATAATAATGATTAACTGACAATGGAAAACGAATTTACCAACAGCTGAAGTAGCTAACTGGAATAAAAGCCATAAAAAAGGAAAATTTTCGTGTATGAAGGACCTATAGGGGTAATATGGTCACTTCATGCCGCTGGGACTATATAGTTCCAAAACCTTTTCTTGAGAGTGAAAATATACTTTATCAAGATCATCATGTGTCTCTGAATCAAGTCGCCAGCTTTTACAGATTTATCTTTGCTTAAATTCTCTCCACAGTTCAAACGTATCTGTTTGTTAAAAGAAGAGAGAGGGAGAGAGAGAGAGAGAGAGAGAGCTCGTTGTTGCTTTTTGGAGGTTTCCCATGTCTATCAGTATCATCACCACCACCAAGAAAATATCAACACCATCCAAACGAGACATCTAAGAAGAAGAGGACTCAATGCCATGTACATCATATCTTCCTCTTCTTCTTCTTCTCCTCATCTTCCTTGTTCCACCTTCTTCCTCTGACAACAAAGTCATCATCAGAGGAAACCAAACGATCCTGAGTTTCAAATCAGTCTTCCGGCTTGGTTTCTTCAGCAGCACCAGCAGCAATGGTTCCTCCAATTGGTACTTGGGTATCTCCTATGCTTCTATGCCTTCTCCTACCCACGTCTGGGTCGCCAATCGTATCCGCCCCCTTTCCGATCCTCACTCCTCCACTCTCCAGCTCACCTCCACCGGCTTCCTTACCGTCACTACCTCCGACGGCGCCGTCGTTTGGCAGACCGATAACACTGACCCCGGTACCGATTTCCGGTTCTCGGAAACCGGTAATCTGATTTTGACCAAAGACGACGGTTCTCCGGTTTGGCAGAGCTTCGACAATCCCACTGACACGTGGCTTCCCGGGATGAATGTCACCGGTCTAACGGTGATGACTTCGTGGCGGACGCTCTTCGATCCTTCGCCTGGATTTTACTCTCTCAGGCTGAGTCCTGGCTTCAACGAGTTCCAGCTTGTTTTCAAAGGAACCACCCCCTACTGGTCCACCGGCAATTGGACCGGAGATGCCTTCGTCGGCGTTCCCGAGATGACCATTCCGTACATCTACACCTTCCATTTCGTTAACCCTTACTCTCCCGCCGCCTCCTTTTGGTACATCGTCACGCCCTTGGACTCAACTTCCGAGCCCATGCTTACGCGTTTCATGGTCGACGCCAACGGCCAGCTGAAGCAGTACACTTGGGAGCCCCAGACGCAGAGCTGGAACATGTTCTGGTTGCAGCCCGAGGGTCCCTGCCGCGTTTACAGTCTCTGTGGTCAATTTGGGTTCTGCAGCGGCCAATTGCTCAAGCCCTGTGCCTGTATACGCGGTTTCCGGCCTAAGAACGACGCCGCTTGGAGATCTGATGATTTCAGCGACGGATGCCGCCGTGAAAATGGTGATTTTGGCGACAAGAGTGATACTTTTGAGGCGGTTGGTGATCTGCGGTACGACGGCGATGTAAAGATGTCGCGGTTGCAGGTAAGCAAGAGTTCTTGCGCCAAGACCTGCCTAGGAAACTCTTCTTGTGTTGGTTTTTATCACAATGACAAGTCCAATCTCTGCAAAATAATACTTGAACCGCCGATAAATTTGAAGAATTCGAGCTCATTGACCAATGGTGATCTATTGTATATCAGAGCTCCGAGGAAAGGGAATTCTAAGGGAAACATCTCTAAAACCATCATTATATTGTGCAGTGTTGTTGGGTCTATCTCAGTTCTTGGGTTTACATTGTTAGTGCCATTGATATTGTTGAAGAAGAGTCGAAAGAAGAAGAGGACGAGGAAGCAAGACGAAGATGGATTCGCTGTCTTGAATTTAAAGGTCTTCTCTTTCAAGGAGCTTCATGTAGCTACTAATGGGTTCTCGGAGAAGGTTGGACACGGTGGTTTTGGGGCGGTTTTCAAAGGAACATTACCGGGCTCTTCCACCTTTGTGGCCGTGAAACGCTTAGAAAGGCCTGGAAGTGGTGAGAGCGAGTTCCGCGCAGAGGTATGCACCATTGGCAACATTCAACATGTCAATCTCGTTAGGCTTCGAGGTTTCTGTTCTGAGAATCTTCACAGACTTCTGGTTTACGATTACATGCCACAAGGATCCTTGAGCTCCTATTTGTCTAGAACAAGCCCCAAATTGTTAAGCTGGGAAACCCGTTTCAGGATTGCGTTAGGTACTGCCAAAGGGATTGCATACCTGCACGAAGGATGCAGGGACTGTATTATTCACTGCGATATCAAGCCGGAGAATATTCTTTTGGACAGCGATTACAATGCCAAAGTATCTGATTTTGGCTTGGCTAAGCTCCTTGGCCGTGACTTCAGCCGAGTTCTAGCCACAATGAGAGGGACATGGGGCTACGTGGCTCCCGAGTGGATATCGGGTTTGCCCATCACGACAAAAGCCGATGTGTATAGCTTCGGAATGACATTGCTTGAGCTGATTGGTGGTCGAAGAAATGTCATCGTCAATAGCGATACACTGGGAGAGAAAGAGACAGAACCTGAAAAATGGTATATAGACAATGCTGTTTACTTTGAATCAATTGTGATAGAATCAAAAGCAATGATGCATTGGATCAATGTTTTTTTTTGTTTTTTCAGGTTCTTTCCGCCATGGGCAGCGCGTGAAATCATACAAGGAAATGTGGACTCTGTGGTCGACTCAAGACTCAACCGAGAATATAACATAGAAGAGGTGACAAGGATGGCAACGGTGGCGATATGGTGCATACAAGACAATGAAGAGATAAGGCCAGCGATGGGAACAGTAGTGAAGATGCTTGAAGGAGTTGTGGAGGTGACGGTTCCTCCACCGCCTAAATTGATACAAGCTCTTGTCTCCGGGGATTCATATCGAGGAGTGAGCGGCACAAGTTGCAGCGAAGGCCATGGCTGTTCGGATCTCAATACCGGATTGTCTAGCCCCGGCTCACGGTCGTCTTTTGGTAGACCTTCTTCTCCTTGATCAATTTTAAGATGGTTTTGGTCAAAACGAGTGAGACTTAAATGTTTCATTGTATTTCTAAATTTGCTCTCTAAAGAGGGTTTAATTAGTTAATACTGTAATTGTCGGTTGTATGGGATGAAGCCTTAATGTGTCATTTTCCCATTTTAGAAAAGGGATAAGCGTTAGTGAAGTGAAGCATACATAGATTTTAAACTCGCTCATTGTTTACTCCTTTCATATTATCAAAGCTCAGTGAATGCAGTCATGAATTATTATTGTCAATCTTAATGGTGCCATTAACAGCTACTGGCTTGACTTAATCGATTGTTAACAGTTAAGTCAAAAGTTAAAACCATGGATTATATCTCCATCTTTTATGTTTTTCACGTTAATTACCATTAGGCATGTCAATCGGGCTAGCCCGGCCCGCCCCAGCCCAAAACCCGTAAAGCCCTCATATATTTGAGTCCGGCCCGGCCCGGCCCGAAAAATATGCGGGCCTATATTTCAAAGCCCGGCCCGGTCCTAACAGGGCTACAGGGTTTTTCGGGTTTTTTTGGGTTTTAGCTAACGATAAAAAATTAATTTATAAGTTCATAATAGTTTTTAAAAAACAATATTTAAAAGTATACTATAAAAATAATGTATCAAAATTTAAATAACTTATCAATATTCATTAAAACTAACTTAATTTAAGAGAAAAATTGAAGACTAAACAAATTATTTACACTTTAACCCAATAAAACATGGAACTGAAATACTTTAAAGTAGATGGTAGAGTCAATATCTATATATAATTTTAGCTTTGTTCAGTTTTGACATATATAAATAATAGAAAATATGATAGATAATGATTTTAAAAGTATTAAGTAAGGCTAGTAAGTAAATATGAAAAATTAATTCATTAATTAAATCTTCTATTCAAACTACAATATTTACAAAAATAAAAATATATTTATTTAAGGGCTTTTCGGGCCAGCCCGAGCCCGACCGGGTTAAGCCCATAAAACCCTTTAACCCGAATAGGCTTATCCCAAAAGGCCCGATTTTTTCTGAACATATATATTTAAGCACGAACCCGATGTTTTTTAGGGCCGGGCCGAACTAGCCCGCGGGCTTTAGCCCTAATTGACATGCCTAATTACCATATTCGTATAATGGCATTTATAGGGAAATTCTTATAGAGTTATTACGTGATTGAATCCCGTGTGGGAACTCTTACCTATATTAACGGTTTCAAAATCTATTTCCTTAAATGGAATGCTAGATTCTCTCATTCTTCTTCTCCACGGCTAGCCTAAATCATAGGGAAACCAGATTACAAAAAAAAAAAATTAGAAGAGCAAACATAAAAAAGAAGACAAGATGTTGTCTTCTTTGCTTTTTTGATCATTGTGTCTCAAACCCTCCCCACCCACGTGGAGAAGAATAAAAGATAAAACCAAAAGATTGCCACCACCGGAGAAAATGGAAATCCCGGTTAGAGAGGAGAGAAGATCCTCATCCTCTGCCGGACCATTACAGCAAACCATCGCCTTAGTAGCTGATGACGCCGTCGATAGCGGTCCTTCCTCTCCGCTTCTCGTCAAGGTCTCTGTCTTCGAAACAGAGCACGAGACGACGAGGCTTCATCACGCTCCGTCAACTCTCCTCGGCGAATCCACCGGAGACGCTGATTTCCCTCCCATTCAAAGCTTTGGAGATGCTAAACTCGTCTGTCTGGTCGAAACGTCCAAGCTTTGGGAAATCGCCGCACCTATAGCTTTCAACATTCTTTGCAATTACGGTGTTAACTCCTTCACAAGCATCTTCGTCGGCCATATCGGCGATCTTGAGCTCTCCGCCGTCGCTATCGCTCTCTCCGTCGTCTCCAATTTCTCCTTCGGTTTCTTGGTGATTAAGTAACCTTATATATCCTCTGCTTTTTCCTCCTCTGTTTCTTGCGTTTTCTCTAACTTTCCAGGAAAATAATGCAGCTAGGAATGGCGAGTGCGTTGGAAACGTTATGCGGGCAAGCGTATGGAGCGGGACAAATGGATATGTTAGGCGTTTATATGCAGCGTTCATGGCTTATCCTCCTGGGCACTTCTGTCTGCTTGCTTCCACTCTACATCTACGCAACGCCTCTTCTCATATTACTAGGCCAAGAACCTGAAATCGCAGAGATCTCTGGCAAATTCACAACGCAAATCATTCCTCAAATGTTTGCGCTCGCCATCAATTTCCCGACTCAGAAGTTTCTCCAGTCGCAGAGCAAAGTCGGGATCATGGCATGGATCGGTTTCTTTGCATTGACCCTTCACATTTTCATCCTCTACCTCTTCATAAACGTTTTTAAGTGGGGGCTAAACGGTGCAGCGGCTGCGTTCGATGTCTCGGCTTGGGGAATAGCGATCGCGCAGGTTATTTATGTTGTCGGGTGGTGTAAAGACGGTTGGCAAGGGCTGTCTTGGTTAGCATTTAAAGACATTTGGCCGTTCTTGAAACTGTCGTTTGCGTCTGCGGTTATGCTTTGCCTTGAGATTTGGTACTTCATGACGATCATTGTCTTAACCGGACATCTTGAAGACCCTGTCATAGCCGTTGGATCTCTCTCAATCTGGTTAATTATCGTTAGAGACCCCTTTGACAATCTCAAAGATTTACATTTTTTTCTGATTTCTGACGATAACACCTTTTTTTTTCTCTCTCAGTATGAACATAAACGGATGGGAAGGAATGTTGTTTATAGGCATCAATGCAGCTATAAGGTAAAAGCTAAAAGCAATCTTAATTTTTTTCTTCTAAAAGAAGACGACAGAAAACTTATATATATGCGCGTGGTATGTGTTGGTCAGTGTAAGGGTGTCGAATGAGCTAGGATCGGGACACCCAAGAGCAGCGAAATACTCGGTGATCGTAACAGTGATCGAGTCTCTAATCATTGGAGTAGTGTGTGCGATTGTAATTCTGATAACAAAAGATGAGTTTGCAGTGATATTTACAGAGAGCGAAGAGATGAGAAAGGCGGTATCTGATCTTGCCTACCTTCTCGGAATAACGATGATTCTCAACAGTTTACAACCGGTTATATCAGGTAAAATTAATACATTAATCAAAAAGAATTAGTAAGTAATGTCTAGTAAAGAAAGCTGAACAAGTTTTGTGTGTTGGATTAATAATTGGGGGCAGGTGTAGCAGTGGGAGGAGGATGGCAAGCACCGGTGGCTTATATAAACTTGTTTTGTTACTACGCATTTGGTTTACCTCTAGGGTTTTTGCTAGGTTATAAAACAAGCCTTGGCGTGCAGGTAAAAACAAAATAAAGCATCATACACATATAGTCACTCCAAAGTCCAAAGTCAATAAGTTGATAGTATGTATTTATCATTGGCAGGGGATATGGATAGGTATGATATGTGGGACTAGTCTTCAGACACTCATCCTTTTGTACATGATATACATTACCAACTGGAACAAAGAGGTACCTTTATTATTTCAATCATTTTTCTTTCTTTCTTTCTTCTTAATATCACCACCCACAAAACCAAGTGTTGTAATCTTCTTTCACTATCTTGCAGGTGGAACAAGCTTCGGAGAGAATGAAACAATGGGGAGCTGGATATGAGGAGTTAGAAAAAATAGCAACTTAAATATTTCAATTTGGGGATTATACAGTATGTACATTTATTCTTATGTAATAATATTATACGAGCCTACTATTATAATTTGTATATATCAGTTTCTTTGACACCAAAAATTGTATGTATATATCAAACTTAATTTCTCATACATTTTTGTAACTTTTTACTCTTATAATTAGAAAAAGAATGATTCACTTATTAATTCAGGAATGAATCAGTCAATCATTTCTCTTTCTTCTTCTCAAAAAAATTAAAAAGGAAAAGAAAAAAGAGACTCGAAATCCTATCCAAACCCAACCCAAGTCTCTAAACCGGCAACGGCGGGTCAAAGTGCAAAGGGTCGTCGGCAGAAAATGAAACCGGTTTACCCCATTTCCCAATTTCGGGTTGCTTCTCAAATAATTATTCCTTTTATGAAAACAAAAAGAAAAGGAAAAAAAAGAAAGGAAAAGGGTACAAAACAATAAGCGGAGAGTGGTGACCAAAAAAAAAAAAAAAAACAATAAGCGGAGAGTAATGGAGGCGATTAATCAGAGGTAGCAGTCAAATCAAATCGTCGTCTCATCACAATCATCTCGCAATCGTCTTCTTCGTCGGCACCTACTTCGTCCTTTGTCCTTCTCGCCTCCTCCTCCTTTATTTGATCTTATCTCTCTGTCTATACCGTGTCTGAGTGAGTTACATAACCTCCCTCTTCCGTCAACGATCGTTCCCTTGGCTTTCTCTTCCGTACTGTTCTCGCTTCTGATCGATCTCTGTTAGTCTGTTATCTTCTTTTTTTAGTCATTTTTCGTGTTTCGATTTGGCTTTTTTATTGTTTGGAGGATTATGATTGATGCCTTTTGATTCCGACGGCGGTTGATCTTTTAACTCCTCTGTATTTTATTTCCATGCTTCTCAAACAGAATAGTATTCTTCGATTGTTTCACTAACATATTTGAATTGCTAAATAAGTTTGATCTTCTAATGTTTCAGAAATTTTAGACACAACTATTATAGCTTATTTCAAAAACCAAGTAATTGCTTGCTAATACTATCTCTTGGGAATAAACTAACATATATGTTTTTCTATTGTATTGTATTGTATTGGATCTGTTTCTCGTCTGCTCAACTTTTCTAGTTTTTATATCACAGGTCTTATTCAATGGCTGACAAAGATGATGCAGCTACGCGTGCTAATGATTGGGAAGTTGTTTCCCTTACTGCTTCTGCTTACGCTGCTTCTCCTGGTCCCAAACCTCTGGATGGTGACAAGGAACTACTTCCTCCTTACGATTCTCCTGAGACTTCTCATCCTTTGTACATGTCTCGCCACTTTGTTTTCCCACCTTCTGATGATCTTGCCACGGATCCTACTAGTCGTGAGGAGCTTACCGAGGGTAGCAAGAAGTTGGATTTTGGGTTCTCTCTGGAACAACAAACCGGCTCTACTGTCAAGGAAGATGGGGGTTTGACTCTCAAGGGCTTGGATTTAACTGATGATTTTGCAGGACTAGACTTTTCCCAGGAGAAAGGCAAAACCCAAGATGACAACCTTTACAAGATGACTTCTCTGGACGATGCAAGAGCTATCTCTGGGTATGAACAGATTGAACCTGTTCAAGAACCAACTGAGCCAACCACTCCATCTGATGTTTCATCCGATCTCAATCCTACTAAAGATGACAAGAATGATGTGGCAAACAACCCACCCTGCGAAGCCTGGTGGAAAAGAAGCGCTGCATCTTTGATTGCACAAGCTAAAGAAACCAACACAGTTTGGCCCATCTTCGTAGCTGCAGCTGTGATGGGAATTGTGATTCTTGGCCAACATTGGCAACAAGAGAGGTGGCAGATATTGCAGCTCAAGTGGGAATCAACCATTGGAAACGAGGTATAGAATAACTAATTTCTCTCTTGATTGAAACATATACCATGTTATCCAACTGATGATGTTTATGCAGAAAGCTGGAAGATTGATGGGGCCGATTTCTCGACTGAAACAAGCGTTTGTCGGAGGACAGAGACGGGATTCATTCATCCGAGCCAGCTCCTCTAACGACAGTTGAAACGAAGATGGCACAAAAGGTGATTTAGCTTTGATGATGACGATAAGAAACAAGAGTAACTGTTTGGGGGTGGAAAAGACATAATGTAATGGTAAAGATCCTCTGGGGGTTTGAATGTTTAGTGCTGTCAAGGGTTTGCGAGTATGGTGGTTTGTACATATATGCTTTATTTCTTTGGTGTGAAAAGAAACTCATTTACCCATTTCGTAATTTAGGAGGGATTATAATGCTTCTATGTGTTTATACCAAATGAACATATTCCAGTCTCTCCTGCTGTTACCTTCGGCCAAGATAATAATGTTTGAAACTATGATCCATCCTTTGCGTGGGTCAAAATCAAAACTCTTTTTTGGGTTGGAGAGTTTTTGGGTTAGAGCAACCTATGGGGTGGTGGGTACAGCAAACGCAGGCAACACAGGATCCATGAAGGACCTCCTAGTAGAGAGTAAACAGATGGTTACTCTTCCCCCTCTAAAGCTAGGAACGACTCCGCTGTATCTTTGGGTCATGTGGTTCCTATGGAAGGCGCGAAACCTGCTGATTTCCAAGATCGCGATAACTCGGTGACGGACTTGCTCCTAAAATCAGTTAAGGATGCCAAGCGAATGAGATCAATGGAATCTTGGTTAAAAAAAAAAAAAAAAAAAAAAAAAAAGAGCAACGTATGATTATTTTAATAATGTTATAAATATATTGGTAGAGCATTTTTTTAATTTCAGTGGTAAGAAAGATACATTGATTCGAAACAAAATTAATTTGAAAGACAACAACATTGAAGGGTATCGACACTAGGATTAGGAATACACAAAGCATGATTAGGTTTGCCTCCACAAGTTGCGATACAATCACTCTTCATTCGGCATGGTCCTTTGAATTCACATTCCGGAAACTGATCATCCATGATTCCTCCTGATCACATTAGCAAAAGTTGCCACCATCATCATAATTCTCTTTTATGTAATGTATTATAGAATCATGAATATATATATATATATATATATATAAGCATACAGATATCTAATTAATATCCATGATAATGTTAGTTATTTTTATACAAACAAAATAGAGAACATACGAGTGGATTGTGCAGTGTTAGCAAGGAGTGAAACAATAATGGTCATGAAAACAACAAAGTGAAGCTTTGAGTTTTGCAACGCCATTTTTATGTGTATACGATGTATCTTTTTCCACAAACCTCTATCAAAGAACAACTAAAACGATAAGCTACTTATTTATATAGAATGAGTTCACGCAAATTAATCAAAAATCATTTATGATTGATTGATTTTGTTCTTTATGAAGTTTAATTTTCTTCTTCTTTTTTGTTTTTTTACGTTTCGAGAAAACAATTATAGATAGATATACGTTTCAGTCACAATTATTTTCTTTTATCAACCCACAATGAATAGGTATGTGTCAGTGTGTGTACTATCTACTATGTATTTGACAAATAAACCAAGTACTATTTTGAACTTGTAAATTTCCACATGACCTATTGATCAAATCTTCTGTAAATTAAAAGTATTCAGCACTCCATCCTCCATTAGCCAATAAGAGAACATCATATTTAACTGAGTATCTGACTCTATTTCAATTGATTTACCTAATTCACAGTACTTCTTTTTGATATCAGTTATACAGATGAAACAATTTAAACTTGCGTTTATATTGAATTGAGTCTTTAGTCTCTCGGATTGATTGATATATCTTCAATTGTTAAAACGATCAAAGTGGATTGTTTACGTCGATTTTGATCCGTCCAACACCGTCCATTTTCTTATAGACGAATAATGATTTATGTCCGACTGTCTGTTAGCGACCTCTATTGTGCATCTATCACCCATTGAAGTATATAAAAGTCTTATGTGTCACCAAAACTAAGTCAACTACAACTATTAAATGCATTTCGTAAAAAGTAGGTTGGCAAGAAGCAATTAACACCGGAAAAATATAAATACGCAATCATAATTCATCATCATTCGTATAATGATTTTAAGAAAATTAGATTCTATATTCCGCCTCATTTTTAGTTGTATTTATATGGAGTAATATATAAATCGTGAAGCCCCAACCAATACTTCAATCAAAATATCACTAGTTAGAGCCTTAGAGGCTCATTATATTGATATTGTAGGTTCCATAATACCTTAGGACGACTAATCCTAAAACTGTCTACTTAATATTGAAACTAGAACCATGATCCTGTTCAGAGTTCGTTCATGTTAGTTGTTTCACTTAGAAATTATAAATAAAAAAAGTCAACAGTGAGTGTTAATGCATTATGTATAACTGAGGTTTGGCAAGTCATCTAGCTATCTGACATCTACAGTTGTGTTCCATTTGTTACCTTTTCAACATGTTTTAAATTTATTATCTTTTTGCAAATTAAGAGTCAAATTAAGAGTCAGTGCATATATAAATATAAACATTTGTTTGGGTTCATATAAATATATTAATGCAATTATAATGAGCTACCAAATATTCCTATATACTAGAAAGTATAAACTACGAAACCCAAATTAAGTTATATATATCTTATAAGAATCTGACATACATTTTTACCGCGATGGTTAAATATTTGAAGAATTCTCGACATCAACTCGCATATTAATGTAATTTCTTGCAATATGCAGTTTAGAAGTCTACAAAAGATGTATCAAAGTAATAAGAATTAAAAATTTAAGCCTCTAGATACAATGCACACGGAATTATATATATATATATATATATTTACTATCTTAAAAATAGTACTGATATATTTACAATTGTAATATTAAAAAAAAATTTGTGAACAGGTGAAAAAAGGGAACAGGGATCACAAGGTTTTCGCATACACAGTCCCTTTACAGAGTTATATTTGCTGCTCTCTGCGTGTGGTGGTGATTTATGGTTGCCTACTTTACTTACCTAATATGTGTGTATATATGTAACACATTTGTCACATACATTATTACTAGATATATAAATCGTCTATATTTATGATCATCATATGCAGCAGTGTACACAAGTCAGCACCCTTTTGACTTTCACATCTCATGAATGCATGCCATGACATCTATATCTTACTCGAGATTTGTGCATGCACATAATGCACACTTTTGTCTTTTGCAGTTTTTGGTATTGGTAATAACAAGAAGAAGAAAAATGTAATAGCTAGAGAGACACCATAAAGGGTCTGAAAGACTGAAACTAATGACCACAATACACAATGTGTTTCTTTCTTGTGGGATTAATCAATGGCTCACTCTTTAACATTTCTTTACCCATGGAAAGAAAAGAAGGAAAAAAAAAAGAAAAAAGAAGAAGAAGTAGGAAATCAAATAAAAGAGTCACAAGTTGCTTACCAAATCCCCTCAAAATATTAAGAACTGATAAACCAAAACGAGAAGATTATATATCACGTCTCCTTAACTCTCTATTATAATTAATCGAGGTATTAAAAAAAAAAACAGTTTTCAACAAAACGTGAGCATCGGGTTACGAACACTTACAAAGTCAAACCTAAAAGGTTGTGTATTAGAACACAATGCAACCTATCAATACATTAGTTATATCATGCAAACCCTAATGTCATCACCTAAACTATACATGTGTTTATGTGTTCAACTCTTCTAACCCACATTCAGATGTAAATAAATCAATAGAAAGATTCTACTTCTTCTACTTCTACTTATTATTATTCTCATCCATATTTTTCTGTGCCTAGTTCTCAACTAATCTCATTAATTTAGCACACAGAGAAGAAACACACACATATATATAAATAATAATAAGTACAGCATGAGGATAACACCAAAACAAAAACTCATATAGATGTATATAAATAATTAGAGTCTATTTAATGGATTCATCATTAAATGAGACAACTCAATTCTTCCCTATGTGTAAATTTCTCCTCTATACACACATACACACACACACAACTATATCTCTCTCACAACTTTACTACCAAATTCTTTGACTTGGAAATCTGAACAATCTTTAAAGAATTATCTATCTAGCTCCAAAACCATAAAACTAAACGAGTTTTTTCTTCACAAAAAAAAAAAAAAAACTTAGTTGAAACTTCAAATCTCATTGAATTAGGATACACACTCTCTCAACAATCTTCATTAATGAGGGGTTGCTGCTTCTGATGGCTAGCAGTAACACTTTTATTTCCTCCACTTCTTTTTCTTCTTCTTGATCAATCTATTCATCTCTCTTTCTCTCTATATATATATATTTTCTCAGCAATAACCTTAACTCATCCATCTATCAAAACACCAATTTTGGAAGCATCACTGAGATTCCTTAAACCTTTTCCATTTTGGTAATTACATCATTCAATTCAATTCCAGTCTCCCCATTTTGATATGGATGTATCCTACGCCATGCTGCTGGTAGCTGTTGCTACTGCTTACTGGCTATGGTTCAAGCGGATCTCACGGTGGCTCAAGGGTCCACGTGTCTGGCCAGTGCTGGGCAGTCTTCCGGGCCTGATCGAGCAGCGCGACCGTATGCACGACTGGATCACTGAGAACCTCCGTGCGTGTGGAGGCACTTACCAGACATGTATCTGCGCCGTGCCTTTCTTGGCCAAGAAGCAAGGTCTCGTGACCGTCACGTGCGATCCCAAGAACATCGAGCACATGCTCAAGACCCGGTTCGATAACTACCCTAAAGGTCCTACGTGGCAGGCCGTCTTCCACGACTTCCTCGGCCAAGGCATCTTCAACTCCGACGGTGACACTTGGCTCTTCCAGCGTAAAACATCCGCTCTTGAGTTCACCACCAGGTACGTACAACGTTAACCGGACCGGCCCATTCATTCATGCAAGTACGAATTTCATGTACAGTTGTTCTGTTTCTACGGTTAACTCACTCGATTCTGGTTTGGTTTTGCGATGCAGGACGTTGAGGCAAGCGATGGGTAGATGGGTGAACCGGGGAATCAAGCTCCGGTTCTGTCCGATTCTTGAAACGGCACAGAACAATCACGAGGCAGTTGACCTCCAAGACTTGATACTACGGCTGACATTCGACAACATTTGCGGTTTAACATTCGGGAAGGACACACGAACCTGCGCACCGGGACTGCCGGAGAACGGGTTCGCCTCGGCTTTCGACAGAGCCACGGAAGCATCTCTGCAGAGGTTTATACTGCCGGAGTTTCTATGGAGGCTGAAGAAGTGGCTTGGGCTCGGGTTAGAGGTAAGCCTGAGGCGGAGCTTAGGAGAGATCGATGGGTATTTGGACACAGTGATAAATGCACGAAAGGAAGAGTTCATGAGTCAGCAAGAGAGTGGGGCTCTCCCGAAACACGACGACCTCCTCTCTCGTTTCATGAAGAAGAAAGATCCCTCCTACAGCCAGACCTCCTTTCTCCAGCACGTGGTCCTCAATTTTATCCTAGCTGGACGTGACACGTCATCAGTTGCCCTTAGCTGGTTCTTCTGGCTCATCACCACGCATCCAACGGTCGAGGATAACATCGTCCGCGAGATTTGCTCCGTTCTCATCGAGACACGTGGAGCCGACGTGTCTTCCTGGACGGCGGAGCCCCTGGAATTCGACGAGGTCGACCGCTTGGTTTACCTCAAGGCGGCGCTCTCCGAGACGTTGAGGCTTTACCCATCGGTGCCTGAAGACTCCAAGCACGTCGTCAACGACGACATCTTGCCGGACGGGACCTTCGTGCCGGCGGGATCCTCCGTGACCTATTCGATCTACGCGGCGGGGAGGATGAAGTCGACTTGGGGAGAGGACTGCTTGGAATTCAAGCCGGAGAGGTGGATCTCGCCGGACGACGGGAAGTTCGTGAATCACGATCAGTATCGATTCGTGGCGTTCAACGCCGGACCAAGGGTCTGTCTGGGGAAAGATCTAGCGTATCTGCAGATGAAAACGATAGCGGCGGCGGTATTACTCCGGCACAGACTGACGGTGGCGCCGGGACACAAGGTGGAGCAGAAGATGTCGTTGACTTTGTTTATGAAGAACGGACTTCTGGTCAACATCCACAAGAGGGATTTGGAAGTGATCATGAAGAGTCTCGTCGTAAGCAAAGAGGCAAACGACGTCGTCGCTCTTAACGGAAAATGCAACGGCGGTATTGGTGAAGGCGTCGCCGTTAATGCGGCCGTGGCGGTTGCCGTGTAATTTGCATCTTCTCGATCGGGTTAATAATATTTTTATACTTTAAATACATACACTTTCGTTTGGGTTTTGTGATTCTTGGGTAACAGTTAAAAAAAAATTGGTTTGGTTGTGTATCTCTATATGTAAAACTTGTAAGCATATACTCTTCTTCCTTTTTTGTTTTCGAGTAATACTTTGGATGTTCTTCTCTAATGTAAGCTTTTACAATTTGATTCTTATCCCCCCGCCCCCATCAAAATGTGTAAGCTTTAAAAGAGTCCCAAAAATAAACTTCAGAAAGAAAAAAAACTTTGTTCCTTTATGAAACAGACCAGCGAACCATTTTCACATATTTGACCTCACTATCAGATCAAATGTATAGCAGTGAAAGAAAAAAATATATAAAAGCTTTGCTCACACAACTTCACTGCAGCTATTTGGTAACTTGGTTCGAGGTCAGGTCTAGTCCAGAATTTTCTCTCCGGTTGAGAACAGGTTCCAGACCAGAGTTCCAATTAGATACAGTGCAACTGCTACTTTGAACACATCATCCCATGAACCTATATATTTAGTTAAAAAAACAAAACAAAACAATTTGCTGGTTAATAAAAATAATAGACAGGATTTCAACGGATCATAAATGTCACACAAAAACCACACGAATATTCACACTACATTCACCCTAGATCATAGTTAATGTCCCAAATCTGTGTCTGTGTGATTGGCAAGAATGTGGATATAGATAAAATACCTCGTTGGAGAATGTAACCAGTGGCTGCAGTGCCAAAGACACCAGCTAAGACACCTGCTGTGTTTGAAAGTCCTAAGAGTACACCCTGCAATCCAAGGCCGGCGTAGTTAATGAAGTCGAACAAGTTTGGTGACAAAGTATTAAAAGAGAGAGAATTGATGTTATCTCACAGCGTATCGTGGGCCAATGTCTTGATGATTAGAGTAGAGACCCGACTGAGAGAATGCATCAGAGCCCTGTTGGGGACAACACGAGTCTTTATGTCAGAGCTGTACACAACTCATGAAAGGTTCCATGGGTGACAACTGTCTGCTTTTTGTAGCCGACATTGCATTTAAGTTGATGTTCAGTTATAGTTGTACTCTTTGAAGAATAATCTTGTGTCGGCACAGCAGGTGGGAAATCAAAAATGGCGTAACATGTTTTTAACAGTTCCAAACTTAATATATATACACTCACGTATGCATAATTCTATGGCTCTTTTAATGATTTGATATATTTTGAAACCAATACCTGACTGCATGCCATGCAGAGAACCGCCATTGCTGGAGTTTTGACATGGCTCAGCTGACTCAGGAAGAAGGCAGGACCCAGAAAACCAATTGATTGCATAATCTGTGACAGTGAACAGTTTATTAGCATTACGTTACAATTGTAGAAGCCTTTATTGATTCATGAAAATAGTTTATTGTTGCAAAGGTTTTGTTGTCACTCCTTTAGCTAAAAGCAGCAGAACAAGTTTGCCCTTTTGAGTTAGTTAAGACATGTAATGATCAGAAAGTAGAAGAGTGTATTTCTTGCCTTTCGAACGTTTGTAATTGAAAGACCTCTGCTCACTAGAGTATCAGCAATCCAACCTCCAATATTAGCGAAAATAGCCATGGTTAGCCATGGTAAGACACACAGGAGCCCTGATTCAGTGAGGTTGAACTTCAAGACCTGCAATGTGACCACAGACCAAAATAGACAGGATTCTTTTTAATTTTTCTTAAAAATATTAAAACGTAAGGGTATAAGTCAAGTTCAAATCCATGCCTGATTGTAATATGTGGGCATCCATGTCAATAGTATGAAAGTTCCCCAATTATGGCAGAAGTGGGAAATTATGAGAGCCCAGACAGGGGGTTTAGACAGTATTAGCTTCCATGGAATAACTGTAACAGGTTCCCTTGGTTTGCTACCTCCGAGTATGACCTTCTTTTCTTCTGCACTTAGGTCCGGGTCATCCTTGGGAGAGCTATATGCCTGAAAGGAAACATACAAGTGTTTTAATAAATAGTTCACTTGGAGGTTTTGTAGATATCAGAATCATGGCTCTTGTCTTGAGGAGGAGTTCATACATATCTTAGCCATAGCATAAACCATATACTTCCAAGGGAGCCAAACGAATAGAAAACAGATGGCCATCCGAACTTGTGGATTAGCATAGGAGAGAATGCCAATCCTGTAACAGAACCGAGATACATGCCACTATAGACTAGTGCAAGCGATCTGCTTCTCTCTGATACAGGGATCCATTTAGAAAGCATGTTGTTCATAGCAGGCATAGCAACACCCTGGAACAAAGGTAGACAGAAGCAGCCCGTGAGAAGTTTTACAGGTCTGAGACAAATTTAGGAAGAGAAAGGAGATACAGAAGAGGCCAACCTCGCCAATGCCCATGAACGCCCGCACGACAAGCAAAAAAGGGAGACCAAGTCTCGCAGCAATAGGTGTCATAATTGTGGCAAAGGACCACCACACAACACCAAAACCTAAAACCACCTTCCCACCAAACTTATCTGCCCATATACCTCCCAGAATCTATATTCAAGAGAAGATGAGCATGGTTTAGGCTAAAGTTAGGATAAATTTACCCTTTTCTTTCTTTAGAGTTCTATAACATATCACATTCTGCATAGAGTGATTGTATGAGACCTGACCTGAGTAAGTAAATAGCCCCAGAAGAAAGAGGACTGAATTAAGCCAACAGTTGCACTGCTCCAATTATATTCTTGTGACATGGGAAGAATTGCAATGCTCATGTTCACCTGCCACAAGCATCTCATTAAGTAAAAACACAGTAGGCAATATATATATATATATATATATATATATATATATCCCTCGAATATGTTAAAAAAAGAAAGAAAGATATACTTACACGGTCCATATTGCATAGAAGAAATGACGCAAAGCATAACAAGACAATGACCCAGCGTCTAGGAAACTGCTGCCACCATGGAGATGTGTTGTGGAGATTTCCATCAACTAGAATAGCTTCAGCTGAGCCATCAGCTGATGGGAGGGAGTCAACAACTCCATCTGTAATATCAGAGTCCTCTGATTTGTAGTAAGCACGAGATGTGTTGATCCTGCTATTTCCCCATTCATTGATACTGCTCCTAAACCTAACTCTACGGTCCATTCTTGGTTGAAGGAAACATCCAAAACTTGTCATGTGTCCCAATTCAGGCTTAGAACTAGCTTGAAAAGATAAAATCTTCCAGGGCTGATGATTGCGGGACAATGCTACATTTAAGAAAATTGCCTACAAAAATAAATAAATCTCATACATAAAGGGGGAGAGAAGACGGCATGAAAGATGGGAAATACCATTAGGAAAAAGCACAACTCTGTTGGAAACCTCTGCACAACTTTTGCCTAGTCTCTGACAACCATTCCCTACATAGTAAGGCCGCAAATATTATAAGCAAAACTGGGATTCCAAAAGTAGATCAAAATTGATTGTAAATATTGCAGAAGAGTCGAGTATCACTAAGAAAGTTATACTAATATCTCTGCTGGAGATTCTAAAATTCTTCACTCTTGTAGTAGAGAAAGACTGAGAAATTTCACTAAGAACAAAGCTCAATGCACCACATGAATGACATGGCGAAACTAGCGAAATTGCAACGCCGAACAAACAAAGCCCCCTATCAACTCCACTAACATAATCCGATACAAGCAACCAGAATTTTACCCTAATCTCGAAGCAAAGGAGAAGCGAGATACCTGAGCCGATGAAGGAACCGAAGTTCCGATTTGAAATCAAGCCACCGAGGGCCATGTTGCCTGCTTCTCACAATAATAATAATAATAATAATAAAATAGCTCAAGGGAAGAAGAAGTGAACGATTTCAAGCTTCTTCCATAGAAGCGGAGTAAACGAAGGTTTTTGAAAAAGAAAAAATCTGAGGAGAAGAGGAGATAAAGCCGAGAGAGAGTGTGAGAGAGACGCTGAAGCGGGAAAAAAAATCAGTCACTAGACGAGTGGGGGAAGAAGAGGAAAGGGTGGGTCGACAAAGTGACACGTGGCTCATCATCTTCTACTCGTTGGAACCTCCGTTGTGCTCCGAATTACGAACCTACCCCTCATGTCTCAACCCAGCAGAAACACACCCCTGGCTAAACAAGCTCTCAAGGGTATTATTGGGAAGTTTGCGTGGAAATATCTGAGCCGTTACAGCCGAAGATGACCTCACCTCACACAAAAGAAAAGGCGTTCGTTGAACAAGAACTAAGAAGAAAGCATTGACACGTCGCTATTGGGCTTTCACTGGGCTTACTATTCCAATATGCTGTAATCATTAATATGATGGGCTTTACATTGACACGACCCAAGATCTTCCGTTTGTTATCATCACACTAATATCAAAAACAGAGTACATGTGTACGTAGGTAGTCGTTGGTTTAGTACAAAGTATTCAATGATGGATGAAATGGTTAAAAGTTGGAGAGACAAATACTCTTTAGCTAATATATTTCCTTCTTTGGGATGATGTCTTATAAGTAGATGGATAGAGGATATGCGTATTGACAATTGAGGTTAAACTACCTCGAGTCCAAATTCCAAACTACTAGTCGTTTTTTAGAGTAATGCATATATAAAGCAACCAAGCTTACACTCCTACTTTATATTCTTTCTTCAACCATGGATTAGCTAGCATCTAAGAAGTCAATGAACTTCCTTTGTGCTAGACAATAGATGCTCAATTTCGTTTCCTTGGATACGAATTGATGATACTAGCATCTCCTATTTATGTTCACATATATTATGCATATATATTAGATATAGAGTTTCCTTCATACTCATCCCATATACAAAATAGCTTTTAGGGAAAGATGAACCCCCTCTTTCTACATTAGTAATATATTATTAAAAAAATAAGATATATAGAAAAATACAATAGCAAATGCTGAAATTCATCTTCTACTCAAAAACCTTTCCTTTATCCACCAATCTACCATAATGATGATAATATCCCCGCAATGACATATGAAAATTCGTATATGACCTAGCTTCACTACCAAGCCAATGGCAATTAACTAGACAACAAAAATAAAACCCTTTAGTGTTTTGTATTTTTCACTTGTTAGAGTTGTTGATTGACTCCACCCTGCCGTCATTATTTCCAAGCAAAAGATACTTATCCTTGCGAGTAAGTTCGGTGCACTCGAATCCCAAGACAGCGCTGATAACTTTCTGGACGTAATTGGCCACCTCGAACGGAGTCTTGCCACCGCCTTTGACAGTCATTTCTTCGGGCAAGCGATCCAAGAAAGTGGCTTCGTAGCTCGGTCTCGGGTTCATGAAGAAGAAGTAAGGGTCCCAGAACTTCACACCCCTCACCGTCGTCCCGTTGAACATTCCTTGTTTACAGTTCATCGCTACTGGCACGATCCTGTCGCTTAGCTCCGCGAATAGAGCGCTAAATCTCAGCAGATACTCTTCTCTGCACGTCGTGCCTTCCGGACATATCACCAAGTCGCCTGTTATGCACCAAAACATATCAAAAAGCTCAACTACTCTGTTGACTTTCAAATCTCAACTTGAGATTAATGTGAACGTAAGACAATAGGTACCTTTCTCGAGAATTTTTCTCATGCGGGCAGCGTCAGCAACACGGTCGCGGGTGAGTGCAACAGCAGGAATAGGAGAGAGCAGAAGGGAAAGACGAGATACACTGTAAGTGACGCAGTTGATCTTGCGTCCAAGAGCAATGGCAACGATGATGGGATCAAGTGCCGTACGGTGGTTGAGGACATAGAGGTTTCCGGGATTTCCGGGGGAAGGAGGCGGAGGACGGTGGCCACGAATGGTTAAGTGAATCCCAAGCATCTCGTAAGTGTAACGGACAAAGCGTTCAGGTAATGGGAGGTTGAAGTAGACGCGAAAGATGGAGAGGAGGAAACCAAAGGGAAGCCAGAGGTATATGATAATGGCGTTTAACGGGGTTGGACGTTGCACTAAACGCCCGTCGTGGAAGATTATGCGCTTCTTTAAACATTCTTTTGGAATTGTTGTGGCTGACTTGGTCGCATGAACCATGTAACCTTTCTGTTAATCATCATACCAATTAACAACGTTATTTATTTCAGATGTATAATTAGTAGTAGTACTACTAACATGTCTCTAAATTGTTTAATCAAGATTTATACACTAAGCTTGAAAAACAAATTGAAAAAATACTGTTTATAAATTATTTACAGTATGAGTTCATTAAATGGACAGCCCAAAATGTTGGTGTGGAACTAGTAGAGGTAGTTGGGGTTGTATTACAATTGAGAGGGTCCCGTGAACTGATAGGTTTGGCCGTTTGGGTACTTACATTTATTACTACTTAATCGATTTTTTTTTTTTATAAGATTCATTCACGCGTATACATGATAACACTAAACCAGTCAACAAGCTAAGTTAATTTAGCCAAATCACACGACAAGATTTATAAACAAATAAGAAGTAATCACAAAATCACTGCAACGACTTCCAAAACACTTGCTCATTAATTACCTTCAAAACTTGCCCTAGACAAATCTAATCAATACTCAATATTGTTATATTTTAAGTCCTTTTATTTTTTGAACACCTTATTTTAAGTCCTTAAAACCTACAACTTATTAACTAATTTAGTTATTATAACCGGGATGAAATAAATGAATACCTTGCAGATAGACATGAAATGGTGGTCGGAGGTTCGATCACCGAGGCCGATGTCGGGAGATTCGCTGCCAAACTCTTTCAAAACGGCTAACCTCTTGAGATCACCGACAAGAACACCAGGCTTCTTCACGAATCCAGTGGCTCTATTGGTTTTGGGGTTGACTTCAATCTCTGTTCCCAAAACTTTGTCTCCTCCGAGATAATCTTTCACAAAGGCCTCCACCATCACTACCGGATTCGCCGTCACTACCACTTTCCTCTTACACTTATCAAACACCTCAAAACTGTCTTTCCTCACATCCGCCGCGTAAAACCTAAACAACAAAAGAAAGCTAGTAAAATTAAACACTTGCATAGTATGAAAAACTGATATATATTAATATATATACAGTGGCTAGTAAAACAGTTGAATATATAGTTGTTAGATCTATGGATATGGAGGAGGCCGTACGTACCTTGGAAGAACGGCGCGGGAGACGAGCTCGATGTCGCGGATTTTGAGACCAGCGTAGGAGATGAAGATGAGGATTTGGATACCGACAGACTCGGATATGAAGAGGTAAGAAACAATGACGAAAGGTAACGAGAGAAGGAGAATTAGTCCACGGAATAGGCTTCCAGCTTCGACTGCGACGAGCATGAAGTAAGGGAACGAGCTTCTTGAGAGCAGCAGAGTCCCGTCAAGATCGGCGGCGATCGAGTCATACTCTCCTCCGTCTTTGCATTCTGTTATCGAAGGAAAGCTTCGACTCCTCTTATCCAGAGAAGACATCTTCGCACACTGCTCGGAGTCTCTCTCTTTCTTGACAATGGAGGTTTTAAAGAGCAGAGAGCAAAAAATAATGTGCAAAGGGAAGAGAAGGGGGACGTTCTGTTTTAAATGCAAATAGTATTCACTAGAAATTACCAAAATGGGGTTATTTATAATTGTAATTGGAGTTTGATCCTAGACATTTTAAGCTAGTGGTGACATTGGAGGTTTGACCATATTTTCCTGAATAGATGATGGATATGAGGAAAATAAAAGCGGTCGGTCACAACATGAGGTGGTTCAGCTTCTCACCTGTATACAATAACAAGGCCGTGATATTAAATATAATGGCTTGTATCTATATATGTGTCAACTGTGTCATATTCACTAACAACGTAAAGTCATGCTGTAAAGTTGTATTCCCTCTTATTTACATTATTACATTCATACAAACGTAAAGTCATGTTGTATTAAAAAAAATAAAAAAATAAAGAATTAAACTAACTTATAATTAAGCTCATAGATTTTGCCCTCCTATTATCTTGAAGGTCTTCTAAAAAAAATTCTCAACCAATTCACTAAACCTAATGTTTTCGAACGAGATGTTCCTTCATTACCCATCTCAAGTTTCTAGAAAATATCGTATGTAAACTTACACAATCCACATATTCATGAATACTTTTTAATCATTAGAACATGATAACATAAAATACCAAAGCTCTCTCAATTGATATTTGAGAATCATCTATACACTTTACGACAATTTAATTCTACATTATTCTACCAATTCCAATCTTAGTTCATCTCCACCAAACAACTCAAAGAGTTTGTTTTCATCAGCTTTTAAGCATGTTTAAAAAACAAAACAAAACAAAAAAAGTTATAAAACATGGGCCTATGGGCTTAAAATTTGACCCAAACAATAGATACACTTTTCTTTGCTAGGGTTGGGAGTAGCTACCACTTCTCCTTGGGACAGGGGTTTTCTTTGCAATAACTAAAACCTAAAAATCATTCTCTCTCAATCATCAATCAGAAATAATTTCAGATTTCTTAATTAAGCGTTACTTGCTGATTCTCTTATACTTTGGTTGATACTTGCTGGTTCGTATTATTACGCGTTGATCTGTGATATCGATTCACGTTTTCTTTCACCGTAATTGCTTTGTAGGCTTTGATCTTTTTTTATATCTCAGCAGCAATAATGGTGAAACTTCGCGGTCTCAGTTCCCGTCAACATCGTCTCCCCCCAGTTTACCCGTTTAATGTTAAGAAAGCCACTTTCAGTGAGGGTTACAAGGATGGGTGGAAGCAGAGAAAGATGGAGATTCAGAAGGCTAAGGAGCTTCTTCAAAGTTATGATGATAAGCAGCTACCATCACCGTCGTTTCTCTATCTATAATGTTGGGGACTGATTGTTGTTGGTTACTGTATAGCTCATATATGTCAATGTTTTCACTTGACTCTAGCATCCATAAGCAAAGAAGAAGAAGACTAATAAGCGAGTGTTGAAAAGCAAAGCCTGCACTTAAGGCCTCCCTCCGCTTGCCCCTTTCTCTTTTGCTTCCCATGTTTTCCAAGGTATCCACAAGTACAAGTGTTGTGATGAGAGAGCCAGGCATACTTAAACAGCATAAAATAAAATTTAACCATGGTTTTTTACATAAAACAGACACATAAGCAAATTCGCTATTCCATACATGGCAAAAACACAAGCTACATAGATAAGCATAGGAATTACAGGGAAACTAAAGAAGAACAAATCTGGACACGTGGGAATCCTCTTCTTGTTCAGCTCTTGCTCTTGAAAGGAATCGCTCTGATGACGAGTGTGTGATAGAGCGCTGCTAGTGCTGCTCCAATGAATGGTCCAACCCAGAATATCCACTGCAGCCAAACCAAACCGCACAAATCCAAAATTAGACTCTATATAATCAAGTGAGTGGTCCTTTTCTATGTGTGTTGTAAGAAGCAAAAAAAGAGTCTACTCACATGGTCGTCCCATGAGTGGTCCTTGTTGTAGATAATTGCGGCTCCAAGGCTTCTAGCCGGGTTGATTCCGGTTCCGGTTATTGGAATCGTCGCCAAGTGTACCAAGAACACTGCAAATCCGATTGGGAGTGGTGCCAATATCTACAATAGAATTATTACTCATCAACCGGGACTAATTGGCTCATCAACAACTACTAATTAAACCAATAATGTAGTAACCGGAACTAATTAACTAACTGGTTCTAATTAAACCAATAAAATTAGTAAAGAGAGGGGTCCATACCGGGACGTGTGAGTCACGGGCGCTTCTCTTGGCGTCGGTAGCGGAGAAGACGGTGTAGACAAGAACGAATGTTCCGATGATTTCAGCGCCAAGGCCAGAGCCTTTGCTGTAGCCGTCAGCGACACCGTTGGCACCGCCACCGAGAGTCTGGTACTGCTTAGGCTGGAAACCCTTGACGACTCCGGCACCGCAGATGGCTCCGAGACATTGCATTATCATGTAGAACACAGCTCGGGTGAGAGACAACTTCCGAGCCAAGAACAGACCGAATGTCACCGCAGGGTTGATGTGTCCACCTGAGAAACACATACACAAACATAAGTTACTATAAACAAGACGAGCTTTATCTGAGAAACGTAGAGTAAAATTGGAGTAATGGACAGATCTAGATAAGCCCAAGCATCAAAACAAGAGAAAGGTTCCTGCTTTTCAAACTTGTCTCTGTCCCTTTACAATTCCTAGGTCAAACAGAACCAAATATACAGAGAAATTTCCTTGCTTGTTCTTTCAAGAACAAAAACAGAGAGAGAAAGCCACCAGAGAAGAGATTACCAAAAACTACTAGAAGAAGAAGAAGGAAAACCTGAAATTCCAGCAGTACAGTAGACGAGAGCAAAGATCATGCCACCAAAAGCCCAGGCGATGCCTTGGATCCCAACAGAAGCACACATGGTTGGTGCTCTCTTGACTCCCATAACAGTAAGCACAGTGATGTAGAGGAAGAGGAAAGTAGCAATAAACTCAGCGATACCGGCCCTGTAGAAGGACCATGAGCTCAGCTCGCCTGGCTCGAACAGTGGTGCAGGAGGTGGCTCTTTGTAGTCCTTCTCAGTGGACTGAGCAGATGTGCCGATGGGTTGCCTCTCCGGGAACTTGTTAGCTCCCACTCTAACATCTTCTTCTTTGCCTTCCATTTCTTTCTTTCTCTTTTAGGGTTTCTCTCTCTCTCTCTCTCTCTCTCTCTCTCTCTCTCTCTCTCTCTCTCTCTCTCTCTGTCCAAGAAAGGTGAAAGTTTTGAGTGAAGAGAGTGTGTGGTGGATACAGAGTTCATTTATAGAGAGAGAGAGAGAGGATAGAATAAATTGCCTTAACGTCTCCAAAACCATTAAATTCATTATTATTATGTTTTCTTGCTAATAAGCACAAACAAGAAAATACCCAAAATAACGTATAGTTAGATTTTTCTTTTTGTCAACTAGGAGAAGGAATACAGTTAACACCTAGTTATAGTGATCGTCTTTAAACACATTTGTGATTAGTTAGTTAGTTAGTTAGTAACTGATTAAGAAGTTAAGGTTTATATGATTTTATAACGGTAAAAAAGATTAGTATATAGTTACGGACCTGAATTATAAGTAAGTTTCCTTATGTTAATAGATCATTAAACTAGACCTAGATAAGTATGTATATGTCGACTGGTAAGTATTAGTGGCGTCACGTATCTGTAAATCATGATGGTGAATGATACCGAGGAGGAGAGTGAAGAGTGTTCTGGAACGTACCGAGGAGGAGGCTGATGAGCTGTCTTTTCTTTGCCAGATAATAATACATACATACAATATATCGTGTGGTCCTCTTAATTTTTTTGGACGGTAACAACAATCGATGAATAAAAACATTTGTTTGTTTACGAGCCCAATAAAGCCCAATAGTTGAAATGGTAAAAAAGACCAAATAAAAATAACTTTTTGACTGCCTATCTCTCTCTCCAACGAAACAATTATATAAAAATCTGACCGTTGGAGAGAAAAAACTGACAGCTTTATGAAAAGTCATTTTCGTCGGACCATGGTATATTGCCATGCTTCACATTTTAAATATTCAACCATTCATTCATTTCATTCCAGTAAATATATATAAAAAAGAAAAAAACTAAAAACTTTTACCAAGAAAAAAACAGTGTTAATGTATCCCTTGATGAAATATATATCTAATCACGAATGTGGGAATGGTAGGGACTAGGGACAATGTATCTTTCCTACCACTTCTTTTTCACTTTTGCTTAGTCTTACTCTTACCTAAAAAAATTACAAGCCTCGCATTATTATAGAATTAAGTATCAGAAGTTAAAGTAATTCTCAATTATTGGATGCATGCAATTGCAAATACAAGCCAAGTAAATAAAGTAAAAAAGTTTTAAGTTATAGTTACCAATTTTTTTTTTTTTTTTGGTTAGGGATGCTGACATGTAAAGGTTTGAACAGCTCAGAGATGAGTGTTGCTTATCTGTGCGCTCACATGCTTCGTTGCCAAATGACGACGACAACAACAACAACACTAGTAATTCCTATCCTCTCAATTTTCCCATTCTCATAAATTATAAAGTTTTAGTACTCAGTTTTGTTTTCTAGTTCCACTATTAGTTACAGTGTTGTTGTGAAAAGACATAAAAATAAAGTTAGTGTTCATTTTCGAAACGTAACCACAATAATGCATATAGTCCGGTCACACACCGTCCAGCCACCATTTTTTGGACACGTGGGATAAAAAGAGTGGCTAAACCCCGCTGAACATGTGTACGTAATTGTTTATTTGAATTGGGACGGTCCCGAGTCCCGACCGACCAAAGCCGCATATGTTCCTATGATATGACATCCCCTCCCCTCCCTTTAGCTACTCTATTTCTACTTATGTTTTCATCATCCACTCATCTATTATTTTAAGTGCAATTTCAACATTCGTCACTAAAAGTTTAAATTACATATAACTAGTAAGTTATATCCTACTTACATATATTTAATCCAACTATCATATAGTATCTAATTAGACTAATTTCTGAAAATTTTGTAGTATATATTATAGGTCTGTAAGGGGGATGGGAAAACTACATGTAACACAAAGACATATTGTAACTAGGAGGGATTACAATTAAGAGAAAACTACACTTTTTACTTTGTGATCAGTTGGATTACTTTTATACTTTCGTATATGTATACAGCTACTTGCTACAACTCAATTTCTTGGACTCTAGGCTTAACAACTACTAGTCCTCACCTCTAGATTCTTAAGACTAGTTCTACAAGCAATGTTAAACAAGCTCCAACTAGTATTTAGCCGGTAGCATCTACTCTTAGCTAGACATTAACTAACATAGCACACATACTAGCTCATTGCGTCTAATTAATCCCAATAGTCTCCTTAAGACAAAACCACCACACAAATTAAAGCCTAACTTCTATTGACTTTGCTTTCCTTCTTTGTTGGCTCTTTGCCTTCTTCTTCGCTTTTGCTTCTCGTTCGTTTTTTTTTTGAATCAAAATTAATCATGTAATATGAAATGGAGTTGCGGGAAATATATGTTGTTTTGCTTCTTCTTCTCTGTCCCTCATCCGCTTCTCACATGATGCTCTCTCTCCCTCTCCAACAAGGCCTTTTTGTTCATGAGTTTTCAAAACTGGAAAAGGCTAAAAGCCTGCAGCACGGATTTGAGGCCCATTTTCGCAGAGAGTTAGTTAAGCTCAAATAGACCCTGGAAAGGCCCCGCTCCATTCTTTTTCTTTGGTCTTCTGCACATGCATATACTTTCATTTACATCGCAATACAACAAAAGAATTTCAAATAAAGGTGCTCTCACTTTTGATTAGATTCTTATTATTTCTAAGTCACATCATTACAGGTTGCCAATTCTTTTGTGTCTTACTAATGCATATGGGGTTTTCTTCTTAAAGCATAGCTAGCTAATAACACCCATAAATTAGGGTACCAAAAACTTCTGTAAATAAGGATTATACTTTCTAATATTTTAAATTCTTCAGATTCTTGAATAATATATAATTTTCTTATAAGGTTTTTTCTTGACAAATCAAGATTAAAACGGGCAATTTGTTCAGTTTGTTATCTTCGTAAAAGTAAAGTAACTTGGTTTAGAAAATTCTTTACCCATATGTTTTTTTTTAATATAAAAAATTTACGCCCAACATTATGATTAAGGGTGCTATAATGTTGCTTATCCGTCTGGTAAAACAACTCATCTATTGCTCCTTTTTGGGCAGTTAAACAAAATTTAACGTTGGTTAGATTTGCTTTTGGCCTAACCTCTTATTTTAAGGGAAAAAACACTACAAGTGAAAGAGAAACTTCATGTGTTCTTCGTTCTCTCGCCCTTGAAATTTATAAAAGCAGTCAGCAAATTGTCCTATCAAGTTGCTTCATAATTAATTATCCTTTTTAGAAATTAAAGTTTTCCATGTATATATAGGTGAAACATCTAGATAAAGTCCATTGACCCCAACTTAGTTATGGTAGTCATGAGGCTGAACTAACTCCTATTATTGTTTATCCTACCCATATTCCTAAAGCCGATTTGATTTGATTTCAACGAAGAAATAATTTCGGAAGTACAAGTACAACTACTATATTTAGCCGTTCATTTTGTTACCGCAGGTCCAAAATTAATGGTTACCCTATAGATATAAGTATTCTATCAAATTGTATAAAATTTAATACCATATTGTAAACAATATAAATTTTAGTGATACTGTTTATACGTTTTGTAAAGCCCATCTATTAGGGGAAAAATTGCTCACAGTGCCACTCACAACATATCATTGAGTGGGAGCAAGTTTATGTCCACATCTATGTTGTCGGTCGATAAGTTCCAACCTTCCCCAAAGAAACAAACAATGTCACATTTGTAGCAATTTCTGAATCCATTATATTTAAGTTAATATTATTATACTATAGAAGCTTGTGCGCGTGCGTTTTGTCGCGTGCGATTGAATGGTAAGTGGTAACTGTGTGTTCCTTCTTGTGTATGTATATGTACACATTCTAGATATGGTCCCTGACTGACTGAATAAAAGTTGCTTCAAGAGAACTCAATGGAACTAAACTAACTGAGCATATGCATGGTCATTGGTCAAGATCTATTCGATTAAATCTGCTTTAACATATATATGGGGTTTTAGACCTTTGCTATGCCATCGATGAAATCAGACAATGCGAGCTAAAAATTATTTCTAGTTGGACCATAAAGTGCTCGGCTCTTTAACAGCAAACCCCACATAAATTTCTTGCTTAACTAAAACTTTAAATACGATTTATATATAATTCTTATATATACGATCTGTAATTGATTGGGATTCAAAGAAATAGTTTTTTTCTTTCTTGATCTGTTGTATTTGCGTATTTAATCAGATAGCTCTTTTTTAAGTATTTGCTCATCTTTGTTTTTGTGCCATTATTATTGGAGTTGAGATAGAGACGACCGGCGTGACGTTAAGAGGAATAGCGATCGTGTTCGTGAAGATTAGAATAGATGCGCACTGAGTAGTATACAACAAATACCAATTTATTCGAGTTGTTTTGGTTAAAACAATTGTGGGTATCGGATATGGTCCATAAATACGGTTTAAAACTTAAAAGCACACAAACTCTTAGGAGAATGACAAGACATATATACAACGTCGTTATGAGATTTGTTAATGAATGATAGAGAATAGGTCAATCGCATTTGGTTGGTGTAATCTCTCTCTCGAATATTACTACGTGTTCTCCATTTCCATTAACCTAAGCCAATTACGTCGCCTCTTTGCCCGCCCCCACTTCTTCTTTTCCTTTTCCTCGTAATTTATCTATTTCAACCTTGTATTCTCTAATAGTTACGATATGACCCCAATCTTTTCACATTTATCAACTCAAGCCTTGTTTTTCTCCTCCCTGGCAAGGCTTGGAATTGGCTTCAGCTGTTCAGCAGCTATCATCATCTCGGAGACAAGAATCCTCGTCACTGCCATGTCTCAAATTCAGAGCTTTGAGAAGAAAGAGAGAAACAGAGAGAGATCAATTATTTACTGGTGAGGCTAATGATGAAGGCTGTTGAAAAAATCTCTGCACATACTTTTCTTCTATGTAAAGCTTCTTCTCTCTTTCTCTCTCTCTCTCTCTCTCTCTCCTCTCTCTCTCTGCTGCTGTAGAGAGAAATAGAAGATGATGGGCCCAATCGAAAGTAGAAATATTTTCCAACTGTGCTCTTCACTTTTTTCCTCTCGTTTGGAGCTAAGGCCACGACGTCTTGTGGTTGTCAAATTGGCATAAAGCTTCCACCTTTTTTTTACTTATCTCTCTCTCTCTCTCTCTATGTCACTTTTTTCTTCTTCTTTGCCTTTGCCCAATTGAGAATCCTCCATGAAAACTAATGGTTTTGTCGGTCATTGATATATATATATATTAATATATTTTTATCATTTTTCGCTTAGCTCCTCCTCTCCTTGTTTGTCAAAAGATGCCCACCAACACATAAAAAGAAAAATATCTCTTCTTTTCTCCTTTTTATTTGAATGTTAAGAACAGTTGTTAACAACGTTTTTGTTTTACCAATTCTGTATTTCTGTTGGGTTTGTTCATCAACCGAGGAAATTAATTCCTATGATCATCTAAAGCTTTTTCCTTTTTCTTCTTTCCCTTTGTTGATCTGATGGTATGATTACGAAAGCTTGGTTTTTTATTTTTCGACAAAACCTGCAAAAGTTGTCAGATGAACAATGTGGTTGGAGATTGGATCATCAAGATACGCTAACTTATCCTCTGTTTCAAGTTTTATACTAAAGCCTTGCCAAATTGGATTGACAAAGATTCTTCTCTCAAGCTATCCATCATTTGCTTAATCTTCTCTCTCGCCTTGGCTTGAAAGAAATCCCTAATCTTTTCTATCCGTTTTGTCCGGCGATCAAAAGGCTGGTTCAGCAGAAACCTTAACTCTTGCCATCGAAAGTAAAGTGTTTTTTGGAACTTGTAGTTTGATAAGTACTTCTCGGCCTGCAACTTGCAACCCTTATTTTTTATTTATTAGATATATATATGGCTTTGCTCAAACGTAAGCAAAGCAGATGAAATACCAGCTACGATCGTTGTTGCCCTTCAATGAAGTTTGGAATTTTTAAGGAGTTGAGAAGAATCTGAGGTACTTTCTTGTACTTTCCTCTGCTGTCTTTTTCAATAGGGAAAGGTATCTGATTTGCTCCATAAGTCTGTATTGTATATCAAGAAGCTTTCTCCGCTTACTCTCCTTAATTTTTGCCTTATTAGTTGAACAAGTAAGCAATTACTAGATTGTAAAAGGAGTTTGCTTTGGATTGGGGAACTGGTAGAGGATCCTTTACTTCTTAGTTCTCATCTTAATTTCTTTCTCAAGAATTCCATTGCAGTGCTTAGAAAGGTTATTTTTCTTCTTCTATTTCTAAGTAAGTTTATTTGTGGAAATTTTTGGCCTCATTTTCTTGTTGTTTGTCTCTCAAGGATCTGAGATTGTTTTAAGTATTATTTATCCATTAGTAGCATTTACTGCACTTGTAATTTCTATCTCTGCAACTCGGATATTGTACCGTTGCCTCTCATAGTTTTTGCTGGGGTGGTGCTTAATAGTTTTCTTTTGTTCTTCTTCAGCATCTCTTAAAAGGCTTATCTCGTTAGAGACGATTAGGAAGGACCATTAGCATAGAAAGTCATGGCCAAAAAAACACAACGTCGTGCAGCTGCTCGACAGGAGAGGGATCAGTTAGGGTGCATGTGGGGATTTATGAATATGTTTAACTTCCGCCATGGACCACTGGCTCACAAGCTGCTTCTGGACCAAAAACATGGTAAAAACCCCTCATGTCTCTGGTATCTTTGGTTTTGCATTTCTCAGGAAAGACTTCTTTTGGTTAATAGTTATGTTGATTGTTCCAGCTGTTGGAAATCCTAGGAACAATGAGCTTCGCAAATCAAAATGCCGGGAAAAGGATGCTCAAGAACCCCATGTAAGCTCTTAAACTTACTGGAAACATCCCTCATCTTTTTTTTTCTTGTTGTTTTTTTTTGCTTAAGAGTCTCCTGTGGATTAATTAAGTTGTTCCTTGAACTGTTTAAAAGGTTGGTGAAGAACGCAATATCACGATAACGATTATAAAGCCAAGTGTGAAGAAACTCATAGCCGAAGAGTTGTCCATTGACAAGGAAATCAAGAAAAAGATGGAGAATGCTGAAGCAGGACAGTTCTCTGACTCTGAACTCGAAGGAAGAAGAAGAAAAAACCAGAGGAGAAAAAACAAGACTCGCAAGAAAAGCTGCGATAATTTTAGCCATATAGTTGACAGTGAAGAGCCTCAAGTTCAACGCAGAAATCATAGATCTACTAGGAGTGTTGACATTGATAATATGATTGAAGAGTTCTATTCTGAGATTCATCGCAGAAGTACAAGCCGTGCAAAGAAAGACGAAGATTATAAAGAAAAACTGAGGGAGTTGGTCAAGTTTTTAATCAGTCAGAAGCTGTTACATGGGAACCGTCCCAGAGGAAATAGTGAAATCCTTACATCTAAGGATTTGATGGAAGTGTTTCAGATTCTGGGATCGGATGAGGAACTATTTCTCAAACTCTTGCAAGATCCAGAGATACTTGTGCCAAGGGAGAAAGGAGAAGAGAGCTTGGGCTTGTTGCAGTCAGAACAATCTTCTCTAGCTGAAAAGAAATGGTCTAGCTTTTTCAAACGGAAGGATTCACCACAAGAAGAATGTGAAGCTTCAGACCGGATTTTCATTCTGAAGCCAAGATCAGCAAGCTTTTCAAGTCCAGACACAGGAAATAGTCGTGGTTCATCACCTGATTCTCATTTGATGAGAAACAGATTGCAGAACGAGAGAAACAGTTCACATTTTTTTCTTTCTGAGATCAAGAGGAAGCTGAAACATGCAATCAAAAAGGAGCAGCCGGCCGGGGGATTTGGGGAAGGGTTTTCGAAAACTAAAGATCATTTCTTTCTCGAGCGGATGGCAAAGCCTTCAACATCTCAGAAGAAATCTCATAATGAAGATGAAAAAAAACAAAGGGTATCTAACATTTACACAGAGGCCAAGAAACATCTGGCTGAGATGTTAAACAATGGAGATCTTGATTCGCAGTCAACGAGCAGACAGGTTCAAAGAAGCTTAGGAAGGATACTCTCCTTTCCTGAATACTTGTCTCCTCTAAATAGCCCCGGAAGAAGATGGGAAAAGAACTCAACTACTCACAAGAAGTCTGCTTCAGCAGATTTCATAAATCTTGTGAACATCAAGAAAGAAACTCATGCAAGTCAACCAGAGGAAAATGCTGATATTTTGGCCTGCGATCTAAGCAAAGAACCTGAAGATTCTATCCAACCAACCGCAAGTGAAGCTACTGAAACAAGTGTTGAAATTGAGGATGGAACTGCTAACGAAAATAAAATATCTTCTGCAGGTAATAATATTTCGGTCTCATAGTAAGGCTCTCTGTTTTGAAAATACAAAAACTAATACTGTAACAAGCCAATCTTCCAGGTTCTGCAGATGATGTAATGATTCTCAATGAGATGAGTGTAGTTCAAGAGGAAGAAAGCTCTACTTTGGTTGGTGACTTATCAAAAGTTGAAGTTCATGATGAAGAACAGAGAGACGGTATCATCTCAAAACAGGCAAGTAATTTTGATTTAGCACTATAATAATATATTTTTGTATGGACTTTGGAATGGTGGAAGACTTAAAATCTTTGCTGCTTCTCGTTTTCTACAGACCTCTCATGTAGAAAGCCAACCACCACTGTCTTCCTCTGTGGCCTCACCGTCTCACTGTTTAGATAAAACTGATGAGTGCAAATCATCCAATTCTGATTTTCCAGAGTGGTCAAGTCCAATATCAGTTCTTGAGCCACTCTTTGTTGAAGATGATATAAGTCCAGCAAAAATGAGATCTCAGTCGGGTATGTGAAATCCCAGCTACTACTAGACTTGGATTGTAGTACTTAGTTCTTCATTATTGACTCATCTTTACAACTCAGGTGAAGCAGAGGTGCAACCTTGGTGTATCCACTTTGAAGAAAAAGATCCCACAACTATAAACCGAGAGAATTCTGGCACAAGTGACAAAGAATTGGTGTATAAGTATGTAAAAGCTATCTTGGACGCAGTAGTGTCAGACTTCAAAGAGCTCTATCTGAAGGCGCAATTCTCTGACCAGCTTCTTGAACCGGCACTTATCAGCAATATACCATTCTGTCCAAATCAGCTTTGTCCTGACCATGAGCTCCTCTTTGACTGCATCAATGAAGCTCTCATGGAGTTATGCTGCTGCCCACCATGGGCTTCGTTTGTTTCACCTAGAACCCGGGTCTTCTCTACTGTCAAAAGCATCATTCACGAAGTTCAAGAAGCGGTTTACTGGCATCTCTTGCCATTGCCACTCCCTCACGCCTTGGATCAGATAGTTAGAAAAGATATGGCTAGAGCTGGAAACTGGTTAGACATCAGATGTGACATTGACTGCATTGGTTTTGAAATTAGTGAACTAATTCTCGACGACTTACTCGAAGAGCTCACTCTCGACTATCTCAACAACACTGAGCATGACTCTCTGGTTCCGTCTGAGTTGAAGATCGATGGGAGCATCCTTATTCTATAAAGGTCGTGAAAACTGAAAACTCTCTTCTTGATGACAAAGCCGTTGTTGATACAGCTGTAAGCTCTGATCATAGTCTCACTGTCACCATTGCTAATTTTCTAGCACAGAACCATGTAGATACTTTGTATTACTCAGACAATAACCTCACAGAGCTCCCGTCTGATCAGAAACTACAGAGAGGGAGAGGGAGGAAATAAGATCCTTTCAAGACCAGACCAGAAACTGTTAGTGGCGGGGTCATCATAGAATCACTTTCAAAGACAGTCTTCTTTTAGGATTTTTTTTTATAGGATATGATTTTTTTTTTTTTTTTTTAAATTATTTTAGAGTGTTTGTGTTTGTGTGTGAAGATCGAGAGAGATGTGATAGTGTTTGTTTTTTTAAGTTGGTTTCATTTATTACTATTTGTGTGTAATATTTTCAGAACTGACATATAATGTACTATGGATTATAGGAGTATGACCTGGTGATCATTTTAAACTTATCTTTTTACTTGTGAAACTAGAAAAAGGTCTTGTAAATTGTAATCCAAGATTGGTGGGTTGATAAGAGGAGACGATAAGTAACAATGGAGTTTCTAGTAAGAGGACAAATCTGTAGAGAGTTTGACTCAATGGAGAAATGAAAGTATTGGATCATATATAAAGGTTTTGGATAATGTTTGTAGTTGTTGCACTTTATGCCCTACTTAGTGAATAACATTTTCCTTTTTGATGGGATATGATTTTGTGGACACAATAGATAGTACACCTGATAAAGATGGATTTTTAAAAAAAATTAACAAAACAGAGTGAATATATGTATACACACACTTAAGCTAATAAATTATAAAATATTACATTTTGTAAGAATTTATAAATTTTATTAAAACTAATATACTTATTCTAACCATTAATAAGTCAATATACATTTTGTTTTAGCATACTTTCCTTTGGTTAAGTGAATCCGTTATTTTGTGATAAAAAATTAGTCTTATTTATGCTATACGAGTTTATGAATGCAATTTGTAGAATGATTATACTATTTAATAAGTTAATCTTGACCGTTAAATTTTTTTTGTTACTTTCAAATATAGACGTTGTTATTAATTATCATTATTCTTTTTACTATTCCGTTATTTAATTTGAAAAAAGAATAAAAAATGAACGTAATAGATAATAATGACTGTAAGAAAACGACAAGCTTTTTTTTACATGAGTATAAGCTATACTCATATATATAAACATAAGAAGATATATAACACTAATTTCTAGTGAATCACAACTTTGAAACCACTCAAAACTGATTTGTACTAGTATGGCTACAATGTTACCATAAAACAAAAATTCATACTCGCATATGGCATGTTATTATTGATTAATAAATTGTGTGTTTTAAACTGTTGCCAAAAAACAAACAAAAAATCTTAAAAACAATACGTGTACAATGGACCTAGGCAAACATTGATCGGATCAGAGTTTTGAATTCGAAATGCTATAAGAAAATCTAAGACGATACAAAACATGCCCTAACTCTAATAAGAGGAGCTCTAAAATCCCAAAAAGGAAATAAAAGAAAAAAGGATTGAGAAGACGAAACCCTTGGTTGCATCCATCCACTACCACCACCATCATATGTCAAAAAAAAAAAAGAACTAGACTCTAATAAATACAATTTTACCCATTAAGCCCCTAGGGACTAGGGAAGAAACCGCAAGGACAAAATCGGAAATATAAACCAGAAAAGGTTAAGATTTTCTTACCAGAACAGTGTGTGTTAGATCGAAATTCGATCGATCAATCGAGAGAGAGAGAGAGAGAGAGTTTGTTGCTGCCTGCTTATTTGATTGTTCCTTTTGTTGGTGTTTCTTCTTCTTCTTCTTCTTCTTTCCCTCGAGCACACGAAAACAATTTCACATCCCAATTTACGGAATCAACAAAACCTGCAAATATAAAAACAAAGACAGCAGAGGAGAGAGCATTCGTCGTCGTCTCGTCATTACACCAAAAGTGCAGAAGAGAAGAGATTGAAAAGAGTCAAACTTTAACAAAGCCCAAGACTCTTCTTTTGCTTCTTCTTCTTCTTCTTCTTCTTCTTCTTCTTCTTCTTCTTCTGTGCCTTTCTTTTTTCTTTTTGTTGTCTGTTGGTTTCTTTCTCTCCCTGTGAATCTCTTGCGCTCTTCTAGATTTCCCCTTTTTTGGAAACCCTCAATTTCTTCAAAGCTCCAAGCTTTGATTCTGTCTTCGTTCCCCTTGATTCGTTCGAATCTCGGGTTCTTTGAGTTTGTCCTCTTCAGGGAATTCGCGGAATTTGCTGTCAAAACCCTAACTTTGGTTCGACTTCGGATTCTGGGGTCATCTGGAGCTCCTATTGGTTAGTTTCCGATTTGAAACCCTAGTTTTTATTTTTTATCGTCGTGCAGATTAATTTGCTTGCGTACTTGGATTTGGTAATTTGATCATGCTGATTGTTTTCTAGCTCATATGCTTGTCAAGGTTGTAGTTTTAGCTGATTTTTGTTTGCTTCTATCTGGATTTGTTCTTCTCTTTCTTACTCTTGTATGTAGCTATTTGATTTCTGTGTTTAAACTGAGAATCAACTCTTCTTCGATAAAGCTTGTAGATTTATTTCAGATTCTCTTTTGTTTTTAGATATATTGTTCATGATGATTATTTTTTAACTTGAGAATTGAACTTCCAGGATTTCATTTGTCTTCTAGTTTGGTAGCCTAACTAGGGTTAGTTTACTTTTACTCGAGAGCACTTTTTGTTCTTCTTCCTCATAGTGTAAGCTGAGGTGGGATTTGTATCATGCGAAGCACATAATTTTACTTAAAAGTGATGTATGCTATAGGGAAAGTTTCTGGCTAAAGTTTTGAAGAGAATGTGGAAAGTATTAGGCGATTTAAACTAATGATAGTTAAGAATAAGAGTATTGAGCTCTTTTGAGCAGCTGATCTGTGCTATGATTTCAGATAACTGAATTTCATTGGGAAAAATTGAAAATTCTAAAGGAGTTTCGAGACTATATGTAAATTTGATGTTACCTGCTTTGCTTATATGACTTCATTGTAACTTCAACACCAAGGGTAATTTTATGTTTCAGGGTTTACTTCCATCAATGGGGTTGCGCTGTCGCCAGTGCTAAGTTTTATGCTGTAAGGAGAAATTGCAATATAAGTGGAAGTTCATGAAAAAGTTTCTTATGGTGCTAGAATGTGGATTAGTTCTTAGAGTTTATTATGGTATATTGATGTCAGAACCAGTATGCTGGCTATAGTTTGGAGAAATGCAAAGGTATCATGCTGCCAACTGCACTAGTGCAGTCAACAATAGTGCTATAGGTGGTGCATCCGCTAGGGACTCAGGTCGAGCTGATTCCTCTTCGATTGGAAACTACTCACTAAACTCCAGGCATGTCGATAGAAAGAAGTCCTTACATAGCATTATATGTTGATACATTTGAAGACGTGTGAATACTTTCTTTACTGCAGGAGGCCACCACCGTTGACACCCTACAAGTTGAAGTGTGAAAAGGACGGTCTGAATTCCCGGTAATTCCACTTTGACCTTATCCCGAGTTTAGTTTCTGGATAAATCCATTACAGATGATTCCTACTTTCGCTGGTTTGGGTTTGTAGCTTAGGAATTTCACTCTCTTCTGTCTGCAAGACTAAGTCCTTTGAATGCTTGTTAATGCATGGAGTTGGCGACTATTCCATTCTTGATTTACTTCCTTAGATGATTTTGTACTTTTTTTCTTTCTCAAATATTGCAGATTAGGACCTCCTGATTTTCACCCTCCAACATCAAGTTCTCCAGAAGAAAATCTGACCAAAGAGTATGTTCAATTTGGATACAAGGAAACTGTTGATGGACTTAAGGTGCGATCAACTAAATTTAGTTATGCTTTCTTGTGTGTTAGATATGGCCTAGATTCATAATTTGGAAAACCATTGTTTACTATTAGTGATATGTTTGCAGTAGATATAAAGATCTTATCTTGGACCCATGCCTTTGTTGTTTTCCTATAGATGCTCGAAAGTAGGAATAATGTCTTAGTCCGAATGTTCATTGTAGCTCGATAGATTGTAGTGAGGATTTCTTTAATATAAATCCATAGGATGCTTACAACTCCGTACATTATTATAAGGTTTTTTTGTTCCGTACTCCACTAGTTTTCGTCGCATTCTCTTGTAATTGAGGTTCTGCCCCTTTGGCCTGTATAGGAATCCGAAGAGATTATATTGTCCCAGGTCCATACTTTCTCGAAGCCTGTTGTCATAAAGTGCAAAGAGGTACGGTACTAGAGAGCATAAACAGTATTTTCTCCCTTATATTTTTGATCTCGATTTGGAGTTCATTTGTCACATGAAACTAAATTCGATTTTTATCCCGCAGGCTGTCAGAAAGTGTCTTAGAGCTATCAATGAATCTCGCGCACTGAAGCGCAAGGTAATTGAGATATTCTCAGACCCGTTCCTTTTCAATTTAAATTGTGCTTCTTGTGCAGGATTTTCAGTCCCAATTATATTGCTTATAATACATAATTGCCTTAATTAAATGGCAGGCTGGTCAAGTTTATGGGGTGCCTCTCTCTGGTTCGCTTCTATGTAAGCCTGGATTTCCAGAACAAAGGTCATGTGGGGAGGAGACAAAGAAAAAATGGATCGAGGTACCCTGGCATATCATTATGCTTATCCAAACTTCTTGTTAACGCTCCTTTGATCCATGTTTGTTCATGTACTTGTGGCATAGCTGCCATATGTTCGTGAAGAAAAATATTCAACTCATTCTTGCTCTCTTTTTTTCACAGAGTTTATCGCAACAGCACAAACGATTGCGCTCCTTGGCTGATAACATTCCTGGATATAGGAGAAAAACTTTATTTGAAGTCCTTATAAGGAACAATGTCCCATTATTGAGAGCTACTTGGTATATAAAAGTAACTTATCTCAATCAGGTACAATGTTGGACAATAAATTGGTATATCGAATTAATTTCTCAGGGTGTTGGAGGATATCAAGTTTGCTAATAACATGCAGGTGCGACCTAGTCCTGCTGCTATTTCTTCAGGAACGCCCGACAAGACACTAGCTTCTCGGTGTGAACAATGGACAAAAGATGTTATTGAATATTTGCAGTACCTCTTGGATGAACTTTTGTCACGCAATAGCTCATTTTCTGCTCAGCAAACTAGAGATAGGTCACCGCAGATGCTTTATACAGGATCAGTGCAAAAGATTAGTCCAGCATCAGCTAGCCTTTATGGTGAGGAAACATCTCTACATTTTAAATGGTGGTATATGGTGCGTCTTCTACAATGGCACCATGCCGAAGGGCTTCTTTTTCCGAATCTCATTGTTGATTGGGTTCTCCGACTCTTACAGGTACGGTGTTAGATTAATTGATTAATTCAAGATAGATTTCCTTTTTCGGCTTTGTAATTTTTCCTTTTGCTTTACTGCAGGAAAAGGAAGTCTTTGAAATTTTGCAGTTGCTAC